AATTCAGTCCTTCAGAGTGGTTTGATGTGAAGTGATTTATTGTATCAAAACTTACAGAGTCTGATTCTTTTACAGTGTTGGTGATACGAACCAGGGTTGCCATGTTTACAACACAAATGTAGCCATTTTATTTATCATCCAAAACCATCGGTGAACTTACACAGGCCTTCTGAGTTTTTATATATAATGTTAACATGTAATGTATGACTATTTTACCATCAACATCTGAAAAAAATGTTTTCTTTGGGGTCTGTGTTGCCTCACAACACCCTGCATGTACTCTGCCATACTTTTTAGGCCAAATGTTTAACATAAAACAATGTGTCACACATCAGGCAGCATATATGTAACCACTTCATGTAATAACTTTGTGATGTAGCCTTCAGAGGCAAGAAACTTTTAAGATGGGGGTTCGTGTCACCACCATTGTGAACAATTCACAGCAGACCGCTCTGAATTCATTTACATCTCAACCATTTAATTATGTTGAATTTTTAAAAAATAAGAAAACTGTCTTTATTTAGCACTTTGGTTCTGCATATTTGACCTATATACAAAACAAATAAAGGCTACCTATGTAATTGTCTTTACCCTGCTTTACCCTTACTAGGAGAGAAAAGGACTGCTGGAGTAGGTCTAAAGCCATCATCAAAAAAGCAGAAATGTTCTACATTAATTAAAGCTTTTTCCTAGAATCATAACCCCCAACTATTCAGGAAATTTTGTTTTTATGTTATTAAGAGTGTATATCCTTGGCACCTTCCATCATGGAAAAGGGTTATGGTTTATGTTGAACTGCTTTGAACAATAAATTGGAGGACCTAGGAGCTGAAAAGATAGAGTGAATGAGTGCCACTACAAAATGAAACTGCAGCCAGTTCACAAGTGTGAAGAAGCCAAGTCTTTCATCCTCTTCCACCAAATCCACCCTGTGATGCTGCTTAATTAGGCACATAAGCAGGAAGGATAACCTTTGCCTGAGACAAATGTTGAAAAATATGCACAAATGTCAAATGAATCATCCAAGACAGGACCATCAACCTTATCAGTACAAAAGACACTGACCCTGAGAAGAGTGTCCTCTCTACATCAAAGCTTACGCACAGAAATAGACTCCTCTGCATTTCTACAGTGCATGGAACTCTTTCACCTGTCGTATGAGAGTCATTTGGCACTCAGGAGTCTCATCGTTAACGTAATGACAATCAGAAGCACACCTCATCAAGACAAATACTCTGAGTGAAGAAATGAGAGGCAGGGAAACCTTTAGAGACAGAGACAGTATGTTTACTCATGGATTTATTTCTTTTCCGAATATAACTAGGAATATAAGGAGGGGCATATTCACATGAGAGAGAAAGAGAAAGACAGATGCCTACCTCACTGCAGTCTCAAGCCATGCCAGACATAGAAGCCCTCATAATTTATTATTGTTTCCCTGTTGGTAAGGAAATACTGTCTCAATCGTCCCACTCATTCTGTATATTTTCAGTCTTTATTTTCATTCTTTATTCACCCTTCTTTCCCCTCAGTGTTTATTTACAGTATAAACATCAGCTTGGTGCCTTACTTCTAAAACCAGTATTGAATAGTTAAAAAATGACCTCTTTCTCCTTCACCAAGATGCTGTTTGTTTGCACAGCCGTTTGGGTTGGGATAAAATTCAGGTTAGGTGCACCTATCAGGAGGCGAGAGCTGCTCAGGTCAGCACCGCAGCCGTCCCCTAATCCAATTCTTCATGTCCGAGGCAGGAGAGATGTTGACTGATAGTGCCTGTTCTACTCGGCTCAAATATCAGTGGGCATTAGCGATGGCTGCTCTTCACGCAGGGAGGGACCTTCAATCCACATGTGAAGTCAGATGTGTTGTGTCAATGGAGTCTGTTTAGGAAATTACCACCAACCTGCAGCGACTTGCATTCCATTACATTTTAATTCCGCTCTATCAAAGCCCAATCTCAGATTTTCTTCCAGGAAATCTTGCTTTAAATCCCATCCGTGTATGCATAGCAAAGCAATAAGTCTTTGATCCTGAGATAAGTCTAGGAATTACTAGAAACAGGCGTCTCATTTTTAACAACCTTCAATAAGACATGCCAAAAGCCACTTCTTTGTTTGTTGTTATGGGCCGCTCTCCCATCCTCTCCTCCCCCATACCGCATCCTCATCAAGGGTGTTGGAATTAAGAGGCCAGGCCTGTAGATGACCGCTGACCCGAGGCTTGGCTTTGATGACCGACCTCACGATCAAATAGCCAAGGTCTGGAGGCCAATGGGAGGAACAACCTCCGACCCGCCAAAGTCACCGCTGAGCCGCAAGGGTTAACAGCTATCAAGCTCCGGCGGGTGGAGGCAAGCACTAAGGGCCTGACAATCCCATTCCACAAACAACACCAGCAGCTCTTTAATCAACAATCAGGCCATTAAATCACTGTTTCAGAGAGCCGAGCCAAAGAGCAATCATTTCCATTTTAATGAGGCCATCTCAGCCTAGATACGCGCTTGTTTTTCACAGAGCGAGAACTAAAATTATGAAAATTCAAAGAGTGATTAAACTGTTTAGGAACTAATATGATGCAGCGTATTTGCATAGAAAAGTACATTATCGATGTGTACAAACGCTTTTAATTTATCAAATCTAATTTGCAGTGATTTAGCAAGCAGCAAACAAATTAGGAAACAATTATAATAGGGCGTTTGTTAGCGCAGACGGAGACAGCGGCAGACAAAAAGAAAGAGATGTGAGGGAGACAGAAAAAACACAATCAAATCGACATAAATCTTGCCGAATCGCTCCAACCTGTTCTTTTGCTTTCTTTCCCGTTCCACAGTGCTGCTTTGCTACCAAGCCTCCGGAAGGCCAGGAACAGGCCTGGAGCACTGCAGACTTGCCCAGGAGGCCAGGCTGAACGTGCCATACTTCACCAGAAGGTCCCAGAAGGCTTCAAGTGTGTGGTGCGTGCATGAGTGGGTGGGTGGTTGGGGGTGTAAGTCAGAGATCTGGTGCCCTGAAGCACTAAGAATGATGAAGAGCCTCAGTTGCGAAAACAAGGGCCCCAAAGACAGAGTGGCTTCCTCCCCTGTCCACCGTGTTTCATATCCACACAATTAAAGGAGTCAGCTTGGCCACGCAGGTCTGCACAGGGCAAGCTTAAATTCAACACTAGTCTTATCTGATCCATTATTAGTAACATTTTTTAACCTAAACAGCAGAGCTAACACAATGGCTCGATAAGGTTATCTGATAGCACAGAGTGCTTACACATGAAGTTAAGTCTAAGGATGAATGAGGGAAGTATGAAGGGCATAACTCAAGCTGGGTTAAAGGAAGGACATTTATGAGACTCCTAAGAGATAGCTTAAGGTGGAGACAGACAATTCATAGCATGGACGGTACCTCAGGAGAAAAAAAGAAAAAAGGGTGGGCAGGGAAAATAGAGAAATACACAGAGAATGAATTAGACAGAGCAAAGGATTTAATCATAGATTTTAACAAGCTCATTATGTTAGACACTTAAACAGTCAGGAAAAATGCTCAAGCCTATTGAAAGATACTATTAGTATGTAAGGGGATCCTTAAAGGGGAAGTCCACCAGTTTTTCAAAAGGTCTGCCAAATTGTAATGTGAAATGTGCTGTTTTCGAGAAACTTACTGAGTCACTGAGAACTTGTTGATAGGAACCATTTAATATTTCTAACGATGTGTTCATATTTGGCAAATTTACCTGATGTGATTGCTCCAGTATGCACTTTGTTAGTACAAATGTGAACCGTGGTGTGCACCAGATAAGCTGACCGAAACCCCCTAAGGATGTCAGTCTCAGACTGCTTCCAGATGGACTCTGTGCAGTCTGTTTTGAAGCACGAATGCAAAACGGGCCAAAGACGTCTTTAAGGACCATACAGAGAATGAACAGTCATCTCCTCTCTAGACACCCTCTTTTCTACCTGTGGCAGATGAATTTCCTGGTGCTGTTTTGACACAGGGATGTGTTTTATTATCTCTTCATGAGCTCTGACTCGGTTATTACAAAAAACGCATAGGGTCAGTTTTAAAACGTGACTGAGGAACATTCAAAGTGGCTGTTATACTTCATATACACACATATAGACCTCTAAAGTCATGACGTCATTCTGCAGTAAGTTGTCAAGCTGATTGATATGTTTCGCCATACATTTTTCCTCTGAGCATCACCAGATGCTCTTAATTATGAGGTCAGTACTGCTACCAGCAAGCTAATACTGCTGTGCACAGAATCACAAGTTTTGTCAAGTGTGGTAGCAAAGTTGTTTTGGCAGTAGAAGTCTGAAGTTTGAGTAGCTGGTGTTGTTTTATAATGCTATAGCTTAACAGCAGTTTCTTTCATGCCATGTCATTTCAGTGACCAAGACTGTTAGCCTGTTTGTAGTACACGCAGTCATATGAAAACTTTTCACACCCCCTGTCAAATTACGTGTTTCGGTAATTTTCTAAGTAAAAATAAATTAACTCATTTTCTACAGGAAACAAACTTAAATATGACATTTTTCTGCAAATTTTAATGCATGATTACTGCTCAGTTTAACATACTGGGGAAAAAAATACAACATAGCAAATGTGTCATAACTTTTGCACAGTCCACATTTCACGTTATTTTTTCAGCATGTTAAATTTAGCAAACAAACAGTATTGAAATATTGAGTATAAGTAGATATATAAGTATAAAATAAGTATAATATATAATATAAGATATATAAGTATATATATGTACTTATTTTCACTTAAAAATTCAGCAGAACTTAATTTGATGAGGGGCAGCCAAACTTTTGTGACCTCATAATTCAGATCTGGTCACAGTTGGGAGAGGGGTAGGGGGGATAATGTACACAGAATAAAAGGTTGGGAACATTTTTGTTTACTACAGCATGCAAAATCGTCTATTTTTGAAAAATTCCATCTTTTTTCCTACTAGATGCATGACTTCAGAGGTCTATAACCACAAACAATTATATTATGTATTAATGTGCCAAATTTCCACTATAAAAGCAGTAAGCTATTCAAAACTGTCAGTTTACTCCATGTTGTGGGAAAACCACAGTAATGCATACATAAAATCTACAAACTCATTTAGTCTAGAGTACAGCACGATTCCAAAAGATTGCCAGATATATGTCATAAACATGAACAGCTGGAACCAAATTCCTTGTGTGTGTCAACATACAAGAAATCTGATTCTGATAAAAATCTGCCCAATCAGCTGTGACTTTTTCTGCTTATAACTGCATGTGTGTTTACAACTTTTGGTTCAGCGTCAAATATGTGAGCGTGAACGCTACGTGAACAAGAACTAGGATGCAACCATGTGGACAATCTGGATTAAAGGAACCAAACATACAGATGTAAAGTCATCACAAAAGTTATTACACAAAAATGATTACAGATATGTGGCCTGAAGGCTGAAACACTGTTTTACACTAGTTTTGCGGTTAGGTATTGGGCTAAAACGCATGCAGATCATTGTAAGGACAAATAGTACCCAAATTTAACACTATTTTTACCATTACCAGCCTAGGTTCACTGGTCATTTTGAACACCAAATAAAATTGCTGTGTTTTGTGTTGTAGACACCACAATCTCTGATTCCCATCAGCAGCCTGTAAAGAACTCCAGAAGTTAGCAAGTTTCTCTACAATAAACCATTTCATATCAAACCACTCTGAATGACTTTTACATCTCAATGACTGAATAATGCAGAAATAAAAACATGAATTCACTTCAAAACAAGGCAATTAAATGAAATAATGGACACTATAATAGATATCCCTGAAACAGACTGCTTCAGGGCTCGAGTGTGTACAACCAAGGCTTATTATCAGGAGTCATCCAATAGTGTTTTGGACAGTGCAGACTAGGGCAAAGGTTAAGAGGTTGTAATTGGTCAGAGTTTGAGTGTGGTGTGATGAGAATCAGCAGGCGATTCAACAGAACCATAAGTAAGTGAGTGGGTGTGTGCGCATGAGCTGTGTTGTAGGAGGTTTGGAGGGTGTGAGTTGGCCAGTGATCCTGACCTATAGACCTCCAAGGCATAATCTCAGACAGAAACCCTGATACTGGATTCTTGCCTTGAAAATTCTGGATGCTCATCCTAGATACAGATACAGAACCTCCCACCACCACAGCCACATGGCACTGTCAGGACTGTCTTTCAGGACCTGAGATTACATGCCACTGACTGTTACAAGCATTATCAATGGTCTGGAAAGACAGCCCAGATGCCATTTATCTGTTGTTGGAGGTCTGCATTTGCTCAAATGGCTGTGTGTCTGATGCTTGGCCTTTTTTTAGCTTGTCTGACTCACTTATACGGCTGAAGTAAGTCTATATTAGCTTTTCACTTTTTCTGCAGCAATCCACAGGAGAGCGTCTGTGTCTGGGTCTCTCTCTCTCTCTGTCCCCACTCTCGTCCACTCACAGGTAGCAAAGTCTCTCCTCCTCCTCCTCCACCAAACCCCTGGGACATAGAAAGAAGTGAAACAACTCAAGTCACATTGCAGTTTTTTCCATCCTAGCCCAGGGCAAAGGGACACTCATGGCTGAGCAATGTTTCAAACTTCATTCCAGAACATTGACTTCAGTCACCCGCTAAGTTTGACCTTCTCCAGAGCAGTGTTAGGGCAGTGAAAGTCCACTCAAATAAACCAGAATCTTATTGTAGGCTCAGAATCACAGTGACCACTCTGAAAGTGGCCGAAGTATGGTGTCACTGGGGTCTTTAGAGCCAACAGCTGTCTAAAACAAAAGACTTCATACACTATGTGTTCTAATGTATCCACACAGCTGTCCTAATTAGTAAATCAGCTCCTTCAATTGCACACCCAGCTTATAATAACCGTAGAAAAGCATTTTCAATAGAGTGGAGCACTAGAGCAGCCCCAAATGAGCCTAAGATCAACCAATGACAAGTCCAATGTCCAATGACAAGCATCGTCTAGAGGGGAATTACGTCCTCCAGCATAAGACTGTGATGGAGCATCATCAAACACCTTTGGGATAAGTTGGAGTGATGTTTTTGATCCAGAATTGATCATCCAACAGTAATGCCTGACTTCACTAAGGTGGGGTTCTCACTGCATTTTTCTGAAGATGGAAAAACATGCGGCACACAACATAGTCTTTTACCATTTCATAATGTACAGGCAGCTTTTTGAACTACTGCTTAACGAGCCAGTGTAGTGCTGCTAGCAAAAACAAGCAAAAAAAAAGACTTTTTTTCATGTCGTGATTTCAATCCATAGTGGATTGCAATCACTAATCCCTCATCCATAAGAACTGTCACCTAAGTCCCACCTTACCTTTCATCTGATTGGTTGAAAATACAATCAAGACATAGGCTGTTTGACCGCTTTAGGTTTCATTTTTCTCAACTCAGGGCGCCTGGATAACTCCACACAAAACAGAGCACATAGAATGCGAGGCATCCAGTGCACAAAAACAGCTTGCAAAACACATCCCATCCATTAAAAACAACAAAAACACATATAGTCTGAACCTCTTAACGCAATCAAGTCCTCACAGCAACAACTACTGTAAAGCCTTCCCTGAAGAATGAAGACTGTTACTGCAGCAAATAGTGCTGGCTCTACCTAATAAGTGACATAAGCAGCTGCTTAGGGCCCCACGACCACCAAGACCGCTAACAATTTCTGGGTTATTACTCTACCACTAATGTTAATGTTAATGTTATACATTGTGCCATTTTATAGTTAAACAACAAGAAGTAGTGGATCTAGAGTCTGTCTAACAAAGCATGTTGAACTTAGACAAGCGTTCTGACTAAGGCTATATTCATACACATGTGGCCCAAATGTGATTTTCTCACCAAATCAGATTTTTTTGTTAGGCTATTCATAATATCTTTTAAATGTGACCTATATCAGACATTAGTCTGAACAGATCAATGCTTCATGTTGCATGCTCACCCAGAGGTAAACAATCATGACTGCCAATGAATGCAGGTCCGCTCCTGGTGGTTTCAGTTCCTTTGCCAGTATTACAGGAGTGATAAGCTGGGCTTTTCACCCAGAATGCATTTGACCTTGCTGTAAAAAGGGCACGTTGTTCATCCACGGTCACTTCTTTGGTTCGTGTCTTTTCAGACCTAACTTTTCTTTGATGCTGCAGCCTCGTTCTATGGCCATGTTTGGCCATTTCTTTCTAAATCTCTTTGAACATAGAGCAGTTGCTTTGAGTACCTTATTATGGTAAAAAAGCAGTGCTGTTGCCACTGCCACCAGGGTTAGATCGAACTAGGTGTCTAAGTGTAAAGTAAGCAGGGTAAGCAAGAAACACTGTGTTATGAGACAGACTCCTAGATTGAAATTGCTGAGAAGTTTACCTGTAATTTATATTGTAACTTATTAGAACCCCAATGGGCATCCAGTTATCAGCAAAACACACTTACCCAGAGAGCCATAAATGTTTATAATTTGACAGCATGTGATAGTCATTGTTATTAGTTACCTTCAAATTTTTACAGTAGCCAACTAGCAAGATGGGGGTTAATACCCTAGATTTCAGAAGAAACACTGGATGAGCAGGTGTCCACAACTTTTGGCACATATATTGTTTCTAGACTACACATTCAAATGTCAACAGTCTACTGTAGCTTTGCAACCCTAAACCCTAATCCTAACCCTAACACATATTCAAATATCAACGGTTTACTGTCACTTTGCAAACAATGAAATTTTCAGACTACACAGATGATGAATTTAAACTAAACTACTATGCTAGGCTACTATGATACTATGTGTGATGAGCCTATTTGCCTAAGACCACTGCTCATGTTAGCTACGCACAGTGGTGTACAAGTGTTGAGTAACACTGGAAATATTGCTGATTCAACTGAAAAGACCGTTACAGGGCAGACAGCCATGCTGACGTGCCTTTAGTCAAACAGCTTTCAGGAAATTTCACTGGAAATAGCAGTATGGTGTAACTGGGGTCTTCAGAGCCAGCAGCTCTCTTAAGCAAGACAAAGGCAAAATAAGTTATTCATGCTTTTATTCATGGATGACAGGCTTTTTTTTTTTTAATAGCCTGCCTTTGGAGCACACGAGTTTAGTACAGCTTTGTGGTGAAGCTGCATATTGTTGCTATTATTAAAAAAAAAAAAAAAAAGTTAAAGTAAATTAGAAAGTGCAAGCCTTATGTGTTGTGTTCTTTCCTTCGTTTATAAGGAATGAACCAAAAGAAGTTATTTTAATTTTAACTAACAGATGCTCTAAACGTTTTGTCCTTCTCTTATAAAGTTTCAGAGACACAAAGTTTTCTTATGTCAGTGCAAATATGCACAGAGCTGTAACACGAACAATCTGGCTGGTGCGAGAGGAGGCTGCCGGCCCGGACAAGCAAGCTCCCCCGTCCATATTAATGAGCCATTGTGTGCAAGTTGGCCACATCCTGTGAGGAGGGTCCTCCAGCATGCTTCTGCTACTGTCTGAGGGTCACCGCAACAAACTCCTTTTGCAGGAGGTCACAAAGGGCTGCGTGCGTCACGCTGCATACCAGCAGGTGAGCCATTCACAATGCAAAGGTGGTGTGGAAGCACGCGCCTTCAAGGATACAGGAAATGGCATCACCGTTTCTACGACTGCAGATGGGTGTTGTTTCCTGCGATCAACCTCAGCTTCGGAAGCACGACTGTTATTCTTAGGAATGCCTTCATCCAAACAGTGGTTTATTCAGGTGCTCTCCTATACAATGACCTCATCTTTCCTATTCTCACTCTCCCTACTGGGAATCTCATTTTAACACCGCAGGAACTTGGATGCTTCCTCATATTTGATGGAAAAAAGATACCGTACTGTAAACAGTAACTACTGCACTTTAAAGAGGAGGGTGAGTTTCTTTGTGAGGAATCGTACCTAAGAAAATATTAGTACTGTAACGCTAAGACTAATTCACTATTATAGTACTCATACTTAGTGTTACCTGTAGGCAGCAATTTCTATGTCCAGTGCCATCTTCTCATTGAGCAGCTCCTCATAGTCTTCAGTCTGCTCTTTTATTTGCCCTTGCAGGTCAGCTTCTTCATCTTCCAGCTGGCAGATGCAGGCCTAAACAGACACTGTGTATAAGCAGCTGGTTCCTGTTAGAACACAGCAGTCTGGAAGGTATCATTGTAACGGTCAATGTCCTTACCTCCAGCTCCTCTATCTTCAGAAGATGAGCCTCTCTCCTTGCTTCAATCTCTGCCTCCAGTTCCTCACCATACTTCCCCAGCTCAGCTACTTCCTTCTGCAGCTCTGCGATCTAGACATTAGGATGTATTTCAAATGGTTATACGCAGTAAAAGCATAACAGTGATTACTGAATCCATTTTATGTAGATGATAAGCAATGTAGGTATCTTTTGATAAACTGATTTTGCTGTTCTTAGTCTGGTATGAATGGCAAGGATTAAATGTCAAATTTCTCTAGATGAGGAGGGAGAAGAAGTCTACCCATTCCCTTGTAACAGCACAAACAAGTGTGGCAGCTAGGAGAGTTAGCTCACTATTTTCAGTGTTGAAATTACCAGAGAAATTATGAGAGTCAAAAAGACAATACATTTGAGGAAAAGGTCTTGGAACTAGTGAAGGCTTCTTTTTCCTTTTCTTTGTGTGTAAAAAACACTTTAGGTTTATGGAAGAGCTTTAGGAAATGCACATAATCATCATCATCAATCATTTTTGATTACAAATACACTTGTGAGATTGTGTACAATATACTATCATCTGATCATGGATCTGTCACTGTGTGGGGCGGACAAGCCAGAGCCACTGTCCAAAAAAAAAAATTAAATAAATAAATAATAAAATAAAGCACGACAGCTTATGTGGTGTAACACCTCACAAAATTCTTCTTAAAACAGAGAAAATAAACACGCTTCAGTTTCTGCTCAGAAACATGTAAGCCAACTTTGTTCTTGGTATGCTTTGGTGGTTCTTGGGATTGTTTGGCAGTTTTTGCTATAGGTTGTATGAATCGTACCTTGTTAAAATCATAATGGTTAAAGCTTACTTCACTTTATTTATACAGGACCATGACATGCACACACAAAGACATGCAAAGACTCTATTCTATTCTATTTAATTCTGTTCTATGAAGTCAGGCTACTGTTACATTGTAGCTTTCTTTTACTGTTGCTGTAGCCTATTATAATCATTACTAGGCTATTAATAACGATAAAAGGTTTTGTCTTATTTGTTGTTATTAACTTTGATGTAACCACAACAGCACAATCATTTAACCCCATTCATGTTTTGTGAGGGAAGCCGTGCCATTTGTGGAAGGCTGCAGCATGTTTTTTAACAAGCATGGTCAAAGTAAAACATAAAAAATGCTGCCCACTGCTGCTACAGAAGCCACACAAGAAAATGATATGAACACTGAATTCAAAGACAGCCAGACAAATAGGATTAATGGTGGTAAAGGCACAAGCATCACGTTTTCTGACACTTTCATTCACCTAACATGATTGGCAGTCACAGCAGATGGAACCTCCCAGTGATTCATGATACTATTGCCAATTGGCTTAAGCCTAATAATGAATGATATGGAAAAATATACTATTTGATGTTTTGGCCATATGCTCAGTCCTAGTTATACAGTTAGGCTAATGCATGGAGTGCAAAGCAATACAGTGTTGACAATGCAGTTTGTCTGTCAATGAGTGATGCCTACTCTATCAGTGCGATGGCATGCATGTGCATATGAAGCCCACTGGAATTTCAGGTTGCCTATCCTCCTTACAACAAACAGAACGCAGAGAGCTGTCTGCCCCACCTCTGGGCAATCCCTTGCTGTGAGTAATTACTGTAATCAGGTAAGCTAAACAGTCAGCTGGCAGAGATGGATGGAGAGCGTGGGCTCTGTTTCTCTTTCAGGTAGATCACAGGAGGCTCTGAGCTGCCTTATTAACGGGCTGATGAGCCGCCCGGCGGAGGTGGCCGTCGCTCTTCTTTGGGTTTCAGGTGTGATTGGTGAGGTCTGGCTGTCTGCCCTTTGTCTGTGCAGGCAGGGAGAAACGCAGCAATGCCTCCTTCATAAAGTCCAGCACAAGCAGAGCAGAACAGGCCTGATTTCACCATGAGCTGTTTGTTTAGCCAAGCTATGTCTGTATGAGAAACCAGCCTGCAGACATCCATCACTGACCACAGGATGAGAGACAGAGAGAAAGAGGGAGACAGAGAAAGAGAAGCAGAGGGAGAGAGATGGGATACAGAGCAAAGAAGGTGCAGAAAGCGAGCTAGAGATAAGGAGGATGCGAGATGGGTGAAAGCAGAGAGAAGGAGAAAGTAATGGGAGTGTGCGAGTGCAAGGAGGGCAAGATGGCGAGCGAGAAGGAGGAGTGGAGGAGAGGAAACGGAGCAAAGCAAAGCAGGCTGTCCATCATGCTGGTTCGCGTGTTGCAGATTAAGAAAGAACACGCGGTGTTATGAGTGCAGGCAGTGCAGTTTCAGAGGAACCGTTTATTTTCGGAGTAGGGTATGACCACAGCCGGCATAATTAGAACCAAACCGCTGTGTTTGTTATTGCAAATGAAAAGGTGTCAGCTGTGACCAACTGATGATTTTCCTGCCCTCTAGAATGTAAACTGAGGGCGATGAATGGTTCCTAATCATGTCATTGTGAAATCCTTCTCTGAGAACTTTTCTCCGTGAGCAGTAGAGCAGCAACTAATGATTATTTCTATAAGTGATTAATCTATCAACTAATCGAGTAATCCAACGATTATGCCCACTTCTGTTCTTCTCCCTTTGCTGCCAATAATGCTGCCACCATCTATTTCTGCTTTTATGGTGCAACAATGCAACAGAAGCTGCATCATCCCCAAAAACTTCTTGTAGGCATCTGTTAGAACGACTGCATGCACAGTACTGTACAAAAGACTCCACTTCATTTATTAATTTCCATGCAAGACAGTCATTAAGTACAAGTTATTTATTTTTAAGAATTAGAAAAAAGAGAAAGTATATATTTAAAAGAATAATCTCATTTAGTGTGTCCAACCTTTGCCTTTATTGCATTTTTTTTTACATTTTTCATTATTTCCACAAGACTTGCATAGAAATTTGCAGGGATATTTTTCCATACCCCAAAAAGATCAGTCTTAGAAGTTTGTATTCATTGTGTTTTCTGCTTCTCTAAGTAATCTAAGATCTAAGTAATCTTAAACACATTCAATGATGTCTGAGGTTTGAGCTTTGGGCGGAGCACTGTTGGGAGAATGCCAGCAGCTTCTTTGTTTGATTTGCACATTTTCTTTTTTTGTCTATTTCTTCTTGTAAAAAAACAGTTTCTTGACAGCTAAACATCCTTTCAGACGCATGGTGTTGTTCTCACAGAAGAAGGATGGACAGAAACACCTGGCAATTTTTTGAAACAAAAGTTATGCTTAAACTTCTCCTCTCTCAAAGATTAAAGCTTTAAGCACTGTTTATCTGATGAAGACAGTTTTGAAGGTGTTCCATGTCTATCAGTTTTGGAAACCTGTTTTTTTTCCCTATGATATCTAATCAAATCAAAAATATCTCCTAAAAATGAATAACTTGTACCTGATTGCTGTTCTGACTGAAAATGAAATTAAGTAAATGAAGGGTGATCTCTTACTAATACTTGTAGCCCTAGTGAAGCACACTAACGTGTTATTACTTTCTCCTCTGCTTTCTTCCTCCTTCCCTTAAAACAAAAAACTTCTCAGTGAGAAAGTGCAGTTGACAGGTGAGGTTTTATTACCGTGCCTCTCCTGAGACCCTGTTGGAATGTGTGAAGTTTATGAAGTTTACTGGGGGGAGAAGCGTGTGCTGGCAGACTATGAAATGTATTGTTCATAATGGAAGACAGTGAGAGAGATAAACACTGCAACCCTCACATCTCCCAGCGCTATCTCTGAGTGTAAACACTTCGGTCAGCAGGAACACTCCCGTCTTATTCCCTGCCTGTCATTCTCGCTGACGGCCGAGCACAGAGGAGCCCCTCCTCACCTCTCATAGTTCCTAGCCACTCGTTTACACCATTAGACCCGAGACGGAGACAGACATCCATCCGCTGCTGAACCAGCAGGAGCTTTGGTGGGCTCCACATCAGGGGAATCATTTGTGTGAAAGGCCACTTGGCTCAAGTGCAGAGTCACTCACCAAATCTTTCAGAGCGTTCACGTCAGTCACTTTGGAGACATCCTTTATTTCCCCTCTGGTCAGTTTTTCCAATTGCTTCCCCTTCTCCTCTCCTCCAGCTGTGATGGCGGCAACAGCAGAGGACCTGGACTCAAACTGTTAACACAACACAAGTGTGCCGCATCAGTCCAGCCCAATCACTCAGATTGACCCACTGCACAAAATGACTCTGGTGTATACAGAGAACTGTGTGGACTGATAATTCATCTCCACTTACACTAGCTCACTCTCATTCCCAATTAACACAAGAATAAATAACAGTGAAAGGAAAGCAAATGAAGGCCATCAGGTAAGTCATTGTGATGAGCCAAAAATCAGCCTGTAATTATCATTAGTCCAAGACCCAATCACAATCAATTGTGAATGAGACAACTGTACCTTGTGCAATGGTAATGAGGCCCAGACCCAGCACTAGACCCTGGGTCCAGCTGGCACACAACAAGAGAGAGGTGGACAAAATGAAGAAAAGGGAGGAATTCGAGAAGAGTTTAAGGTAAGTGTTCAGTACAAAAGCTAATGTCATTATCTTGACCTAAATCTCTGTCATACACACACACAAAAGTTTCTTTGTGAGATTCATTTCTTTGAGGGATGTTTCCATTCAGTTCTATCAATTACTGTAGCTAAATGCAGCTACAGTACACAGCCTTAACCTCAGAAACAAAAATCCAATCTTCCTGCATCTAACCAAATGTTCTCACAACTTCAAAACTCTCAAATTTTATAAAAAATTTTACTTTCTGTTCTATCTATGTTGTCTATCATTCTAGGGATATTTGGTCTCCACAAAGAGCTAAATAATAGGACTGCAACTTACAAATACTTCTTTTTTTTATTAATTGACTAACCGAACAACTATGTTTCTGTTCCAGTCAAAAATAAATTTAAATAACGGCTTAAGAAACCTGAATTTGAAAATTACCAGTGAAACATTAAAATGCTTTCATTTACATTATTGTAATATTTATTTTTCAGTTGAAACTATTGCTGAATCAAAAGAATGATTGAATAAAAGAAATTACAGAGTTCAAAAATGAATGTTTATAATTATTTACTAGAGTCACCAAACAATTAATATAATAAACTAAAAATAACTTCATATTACCTCTTTATTTATCAATTAGTGGTTATTTGGTAACATCTGATATACAATTGGCTGAAGGCTTCTCCATAAAACATGTTTTTGGCTGGCACCCACTCTGGAATTGCAATGCTCGAAAGTATCATAAGAAAAGATTTAGCATCGTCTTATGCACTATTTTTATCCTCCCTGGGGCAACTGGATGGAGTAACGTTCTCATTTCATTATTGAATTGCTCCCTCAGTATGACATTAATTACTACTCTGTGCTTAACATCACTGAAATGCTCGTCTCTTTCATGAGATATTCTGTTTAGCAAACGTAGCCTAACATTACATTTACTGGGCTGAAGTTAGCTACTAGGCTTGTTAGTTAAAGCACGCAGAATGTGGAATTCAGGTGCTTTTATTTAGTTTGTGGAACAGAGATTTAGTGTTTAGTACTGCATAGAAATACTACGTCCGCTTTGTATGTGGCGCATTGCACACTGTGACTTTTATGAGTCTTGATTTCTTGAGTTTATATCTCTCTGCTGCCAGTGTTCAAAGTTCTGTATGTGCAGCAGTACCAAATACATGGCTACATTAGTATTATTGGGTGAGGGGCTGGGATTAGGTCAACTTTATGGCTGGCCAAATTAAATGTCCACACTGGCCAACTTTGCCCTGCGGGCCACACTGCTCTGGACTCTCCTGAAGCCAGCCTCCCAGTGCAGCAGCTCTCTTCCCTCTCTAGGCCCATGCCGCCAAGGAGCCTGGGAAGGAGGCCAGAACCGTGATTACTGGCTGTGACCCCGGTGGAGAGCAGCCATTCTTGGGGCAGGCAAGGTCAGAGGGCACTGGCGTGAGAGGATGACCTTTGAAGAGCCCCCTCTTCTCATAAGCCACTGAGCACACAATAAAGCTCTGTGCTGGAAAAGAGCAGTGGACAGAGCTCCTCTAGAACGGGTGAAGTGGGAAAGAAAACACACACGCTGATCCTACCAAAATGTGTGAAAGCTCAGGTTTAGGTCTGTGGGTGCGGCTGAGTGCTGTAACACTGGCTATACAGTGGGGAGAGTGGGAAGGCTTGTGAGGAGTGACAGTAGAGCATTTTGCATGTTAAGATATTTTCTATTTAATAAACATTGTTACATAAGTATGCTAACAACATAACCTTTTGATTTTGTGTATTTCAGATCTGTGCGATGAACTAATTATAGTGCAAAGAAACTATGCCACAGAACAAAGAGACATGCCCCCATAAGAAGAAATGTCCCCAAACATCAAAGTATGCTTATTTATTCTCTATTTAAATTCTGCAATTATTGTAGTAACACTCTTATTTCATTTCCAAGTTTTGGTTGGAAACAAAAGGGTTAAAATCATATACCTCACAATGGAAACTTGTCCAATCAGGATTTTTTACCCTGTGGTTATGCCTTCAGGAGCTTGACAGAAGGCTTTACTCATTAAATTAATTAGCAACATAATTAGGAACTGACAGCTGAATCAACCCATTATGTTTTGATTCACAATAGACAATGGATTACAAAAAAATCAAAACAAACAAACAAACCACATCCTAGACCATCTGGAACTCACGCCATTGATTCCGTACACAAGCCGTAGTCTAACTAGGTTTCAAACATCGGCTAAACAGCAGCAGCTCTGTGCCAGGGCTCTCTACTGGCAGAGTCACTGTAAAACTGCTACATATAAGGACAGAAATGTGTCAACGTCTGTTACAGGCTTCAAATAAAACACTCAATGTCTTTTTCAAGCCTCAGCTGTCTGTGATTAATCTAGAATAGCTAAAAAATTTTGTGCCCCTCTGTCAGCTTAACGCTAACACACTATTAGAAATTTGCTAGCAGAAATTAACACTTCCATAGAAGTGTTTTGTTTTTCTTGGTTTTTGACATTTATGGCCTCACCAAAGGCCTAGCTCTAATAATCATGGGTCACCAATGGCTATAGCTATATGTCAACCAAATTTGTGTCCTAATGTAGACTAATTAGGAAGTATATTATTACCATAGCTACCCATGAGTCATAGGTGAAAAACTGCACTCATGCAGTAATATAAAGGGTCCAATGAAAACATTAAGGGCTAGGGGCTAAATTGCTACACTGCTGCCCCAGTTTGACTGCCCACCTGCACTGGTATTACGCCAAAAGACTGAACAACTGTAGAAGGTGTAGAAGTCTTAGTATCAGCGTAGAACAGACTATAAATGTATCCATAATGTACCTGTAGGCTCTCAGCCAGCTGGCAGTAGTACTCCTTGATATCCATGACGGCTGGAGTGATGTCAATGGAGGGGAACTGCAAAGCCACAGTAGGAGCTCCTTTATCTCCAGTCTCAGGTTCAGACAGGCTCTCAACCCTCTGTGGACCAACGCAACATTAAGAGGTTACATGTTTGTCTTCAAGTTGCAATACGTGGTCCTCTAAGAAAGAATGCCATGTTCATTAATCTTGCCTGAATGCAGCACTCGTGAAAAGAATATGCAAACCAGCACTCAGTCTGGACCCCTAAACATTAATAATAAGTTTGCAGCAGATTCATCAGGGGAGTATGAGGTGTTTGGAATATCCCGATAATGGTAGCTGTCAATTATATACAACTGCATGTCTGTTTTCATTTAATATTCCAGAACAGTTCTCGGGCCGTGAGTTATGGAGCGTGGCGCTAAGGGAGTGTGTTAAATGTGGGATGCCACTGCGATGCGGGGAGAAAAACACACACTGATGAAGTTTCCTGTGCCTCGAGCGCTCCTCTGCCCCTAGCTCCCAATGCTGATATGAGGGACTGGGCTGTCTATCACCTCTGGAGGGAAAAGGGAATAAGGGTGGAGAATGAGAGGTGGGGCGACAGAAAGAGAAAGAGAGAGAGAGAAAACTGGTGCAGGGGGAAAAAAGGTGCAGAAGGGAAGGTATAGATAAGGATGATGAGAGGTAGAGAGAAAACCTAGGAGAGACAGAAACAGAGAGATAGAGGAAAAAGGGAGGGGGTTCAGGGGAAAAAAGGTATAGAAAGCAAGGCAGAGATAAGGAGAATGAGAGACATAGAAAGAAGACTTCTTTCTTGTTATGTGGGCCAAAAGCTCCATCATCTGTGACATCTAACTCGCCCAGGCCAGCTCTTGGCTGCTATCAGCTCTCTCGCTCACTCTTTCTCATGTCACCCTGTAATGGAGCGCGCTAACAGCTGATGAGAGTGCCCACTGAGCACAGTAGCCAATTCTTTGGACATGTGGATGGGCAAGTGGTTATCTTACATATAGTTCAGTCTAACACCACATTAAGGTTTACTGTCTAATGAAACAACAGCTTCACTGTACGTGGTGCTTTGAGGGTGCTACCCACCACTTACTAGAGTTTAGATGTTGCGTAATGAATGTGAATTAGAGAAAATGCCACACAATCATCTACTGTTTGAACAGGGCTTACAAAACAAAGCTGAACAGTAATAGCGGAACTAGCTTTACCATGATCTTATAATCTTTACTGGCATGTTTACATATGTTTATATATAATCTTTAGTGGGATGTTTACACATGTTGCTTATTATTTCAACCTCAAGACCTTTGGTCTTAGAGACTCCCTGCACGCAAAACATGTTCTTTAAATGGTTGATTCCTCTTGGGTGGCTTATTATGATTATATAGATTGGTATTTGTGTCAAATGTGTTACACAGTACAAAGTTCACATTTTTCCATTGAACACACGGCCTCAGTACGTCAATAAAAAAGCATTTTATGGGGCTTAGTTTTCTACCAATAAGCTTCAACCTAACGTTCAATATACTAACATATGCTAATATAAGAGGATTAAAACGTGGTGACAGAAAAGTTAGAGCTATAGAGCAAGCAGTAACATACCCAATGAAATATGTGAGGTGTTTGGACTGGGTAGTTTGCTAAAATAGACAAATGGTGTTTATTTAATTGTGATGGTGTCAAAAGTATGTCTAATAAACTTCAAATATGGTCTGTAGAGCTGTTCTCTGCAGGTAATAGTAGTTTAGCATGCCGCAGCTTAACACACCACAGCACAGGTTTGATTCTGGCTTACTGAAGCTTCACTGACCCCCGTTTAAACTCAAATTAAGGGGAAAAAAAAACGATGTTTTCTTGTGTGGGGCTATTAGCTTAGCTACTCTTGCTTCATTACACTATCCTTGTTAGCACCAAAGGCTAGCAAGCAGATTAAAACAGCTCCATCCACCACAACATATGTTTAACATATGCATGGTTAGAGAGTAAAGACTGATCAAGTGAAGTCGAGTGACGAGTGTCAGATTAAAGAACAGAATCTAATCTATTCTGTGGTGTGTTGAGCTAAGTTTCTAGCCTGTTAACTAGCACTAGTATAATCAGCTCCACTGTGCTCTCCTCTAGTTCTGCACTATTTAGCAACTGTTACTGGTTTAACATTTATTGTGTGATGAATTACTGTCAGTAGGTTAGGACTGGGAGTCGCTCCTAAAAAGAAATGATTCTTTGAATCTGGACATTTGGGAATCGATAGTTGACTTCCAAGCTTTGGACTCAATTCCAAATAGTGACGTTCAGGTCCAAATCAAACAACATTGTCAGTGCCAAAACATCTACCCAAATGAATTGACAAGGGAGAATCAGGTATAACTTAGTCAGCTAAGCTTATTTAGCTAACATTAACACCCCAAAATGTCCTTGCTAAGGTCCAGAATATTATCAATACTGATGTCTTTCTGATGTCTTGAGATTATGGTGTAGAACAGACTCTTTGCATTCCCTCCAATTCCCCTCATTTGGAATCCTAATCATTTGTAGTAGTTTCCTGACATGACAATAACACACAAAAATAAATTAATTATATATATATATATATATCTATATATATATATGCGTTATGCTGTTCAGTGCCTTCTTACCAACTCATGCTGTCTTTCCATTTCAGCCAGCTGCTCTTCATAGATGGCCACTTGTTCTCCGAGTGCCAGGCAGTCGGCAGTGACTTCATCAACCTCCTGCAGGAGGCAGCAGAGATTAGCAAGCAAGTCATTGTACACTCAAACACATACAATCATCAGTTCCACCATCACTCTGTGCCTAGTGCTGAGCTACCACCTCTCCACCACCTGCTGTTGCACACTGCAATGCAGGCAGCTCAAGCAGGAGGAGCTTTGGACGCATGGCCAGGAGCCACGCACACAGCCTGTCCTCCGCCCGTGCGAGACAGAGCCGTTTTTATTTAGCTCATCTGGGCTTCTTAAGTGCCTGATTAATTGGCAATGAATTCAATTACTCCAAGCGAACAGCATTTGCATGTGAATGTGCCAGTGTGGCGGCAGGCCGCAGGAAGCAGAGGAAGCGCGTTCCCCCACCCACCACCACCACCACCACCACCACCACCCCCAGCCCTGAGCTGGCACAGGGGGCACTTCTTCACCGTTATCTCAATCCGAACACAAGCCTAGTACTGGAGAGAGTCTAGACACTGTCTTAGTGCTGGGGCTGAAGCCTTTATGATTAGCTTGTCTCTTCATTGCTGCTATGCTTCAGCACCATCCTCATGTGAGCAGCCTGAATGCAAACCAGGCCGGTGCCTGCAGCCATGTTTTCAATTTCAGCTGAATGCTGTCATTAAATCTTTAAGGCAATGACAGCTTCAAACAGGAGATGGGGAAAAAAAATCAGCAAGAAAAAATGCGTTTGAAATTTGACATTTCATAGAAAGACTGGATCAGCTGTGTGTATTAAAATGGTATATACTGCCCTTTTTACAATTTAAATATATCAATTTCTGTCTCTCTAGTATGTCCCTACTTTCTTCAGCAAGCAGACAGCAAACCTAATTACCGGGTGTTGTTATGATAAGGGGGATTTAACCCATTTCTCAAACGTTCAGTATGGCTGAACCCCTGCCGCCTCTGTTTTTCATTGCTCTGAGTCTCCACCAGGTCTTTCATTCTCAGTGTATTTTATAGCCGCCTCTCTCTCTCTCTCTCTTCAGCTGTCCTCCATTCAGACCTCAGCCCAGCTCCACTCCGTACTGCATCTGGCAGCGAGATATGAGAGCCTGAATGAGTGAATTATGAGACGTAGTAACAGCTTTCCCACATCTGCTCTTTTACTGGAGGAGATGTGCGCCGACATGTGTGGAGTGACAGGCCGCTTTATGCAGGCGGCAGCTCGTGTTTCAGTGTGGCCGCTGGCCCAGAGTCAGCGTGAGACTGCTAATCAACATCCTCCAGAACAGAACTAGAAACAGCAGCTGTGCTGAGCCACTCCTGGAGCAGGCAGTCAGTCTTCTCTACTGGAGGCAGGCCACAGGCAGGGCGATGTCGCTGATCCCAACGCACAGGCTAACACTGCCATCTACTGGTAAGAATCATTTACTTACTGGACATCACTAAGGCCTTGTTAAAAATGACAAGTGTGGTTGATAATTAATTTTACATAGTTTCTCTTACCCCAAACAATCTGCCAAGATAAGTCTGGAGACTGAAGTTTGCTTCTTTAGCTTTGCAATGGAGCAATGAGGCGAAGTAATAGCCACTATAGGATTATGCAGAATGCCTGAAAATTCACATGAAATTGTCAAGTAATCCCAAACAGACTTACTAATGAGGTTTCTGATGCTGTATGACAAACCTTTACGTACAAAAATAGACAAAAGTTTACTGCATAGCTAAGAACAGCGGTTGCCAGATTTAGCCATGGCAAAACAAAAATGAAGCATGTATATAGAGAGACCATTTTATCACGTCAATATAAAGCCCTATTCCGTCTTTTCTTGCATATTCTTTGTGTATTTTCAAACAGTTTGATAATTTCTTTGGTTTATTTTTACATTTTTCTCCATATTTTCTATAATTAACATAAGTTAAGCTCTAAGTGATTTACAAGTAAAGTTTCTAGCCTACTAAATGTTCTGCCATTGTGTAACAAATAATACCATGAGAAAACAACCTATTTTCATTCACTACTAACAGGTTACTGTCTCTACATAAACCACATAGTTCTATTTGAGATTAGTGCCTTGGTGAGGTTTAAAACAAGTGTGTAGTGATGTATGCATGCAATTAGCATTACGCTACACTGGTGGCCTTGAGCTTCTGTTACTTGTTAGCTATATAGCTACACTGGAGCCTCATGCAAAACCTCAGAAACCAAACATGTACTGTCTGATCAACTACATGGAAAAATGCATAAGATCATTATTTTTTTTTGAACCACTGCATTAAGGCTATGGATAATAGACTTGTATGAATGACATGTAATACTACTGGATATAGAGTCAAGCTTATGCCTCCACAGCATTACCACGGCAACATCCTCGCGCTCCAGCTGGATGAGACTCCGCTGCTCCACGACCTTGTCATACTTCATCTGCACAGTCCGTAGCTCTTTCTTCAGCTCTTCTGTGTCGCATAAAATCTTCTCCTGATGAAAATAGATAAATAGAAAAATAACCCCATATAAGACCCAGCCCGACAACATGGGTTGCCTAAGGGCATTCATTTGCAGACTCCATCACCGAAAACACATAAGCATACCCAATTTGTTTGTCTATGTTTACATGAACTGAAAAAGCTCATGGGAATGTTAGACTGAATAATTGCACTGCACACTGCCATATAAATAACCGACTCCTTTTTTGTTAATTGTATGAAACTATAAAAGTACAAGCCTAAATTGGCCAAATGGGCTGTTTAGTTATTTTGCTTTGTAGCTGTTGACACTTAGTAAGTTACTCGCTTAAGTTATTTTTTATTTATTTATTTTTAAAATCAGCTTTATTGTAATGCTCCTTGTATGTTCGCCATATCGGGGTTAGCTCACTGTACTTGATTTTGATCCAGTGGGCATGCAAGAAACATTTTTACTTTGCATGTCTCAGTCTTTCAGAATTGGATCGTTAGCCTGTTAGCCAGTAAGTTTTCTGAACACCTGCTTAGCCTAGTCTAGTGAGGGCAGAATATATCCCGTTACAGAGGATATAATGGGTAAACCTGCGGATAATAAACAACAGTCATATGTAATTTAAAGCACTATGCTTTCTTCAGAGGTTTATGCTCGTAACATTCCTGTTATTGCCATTCTTTTAGCTTCACTCGGTCATACTAACAGCCGCAACCTGCACTTCCATACACCAACTGGCTATTTTGGCCATAAAAACAAAATACAGTGGTCGAATGAAGATGGAAAGGAGGAAAAGAAATCAAACAATTAATAAACTTATTAATAAAATAAGAATGAGCCGACGTCCAATTTACTTGTTAATAAGTAGTTTATGCAGTTACTATATTCTATTTGTTATTTACAGGTTCTCTACAATTGGGCTAAATCTTTATGACAGTTGTTTTGATACTATTGAAATACAGCAGCTCTGTAATTATTGGCACCCTTAGTAAAGACAGAGACATAAAAAGGTCTTGTTAATTAGCTCAGAATTATAGTTATAATGAAAATATGACAGAAAATCTATCCTTTAATTAAAGTAAATAGTATTAGAAATAATGGAATAGTATTAGAAAACAAAAAAACCCTGATCAATTTAACAACGATTTGTTTAATAATTTTGCCACCTCTGCGTTTAGCACTTCGTGCAGCCTCTGTCTACATAACAGCAAAGAGTCTTCTGTAATGCTTAATGAGAAGAGAACACACAGCAAGGAACCTGAGACCATGCCTTAATACAGTGTTTTTCCAGATCCTTCAGGGTCCTAGGTCCTCTCTTTTGGACCCTTCTCTTCAGCTCACTCCACAGGTGTAAAAAGCTGGATTCTGTGGTCATTGAACATTGAATTTTTTTGGATCATTGTCCTGCTGGAAGTGCCCACCATGACCAAGTTTTAGCTTTTTTGCAGAGGCAGTCAGACTTTCACTTTAATATCTCCTTGTACTTCATGTTGTCCATGATGCCATGTATCCTAGCAAGGTTCCCAGGGCCTCTGGAGGAAAAACAACCCCAAAATATCGCAGATCCGCCATCATACTTAACCGTTGGATGAGGTTCTTTTCTATATAACCACCTTCAGTGTTTGTTACAAAAAAGCTCTATTTTTGTTTCATCTTACCACAGAACATGGTTCCAGTCTAAGCTCCAGTAGCGCCCTGTGAAATCCAGGCACTTACGTTTGTGGTTAGATGAAAGAAAACTTTCTTTTGGCATGCCTTTGTTGGCACAGAGGAGCATCTAACTGCTATTTTGTAGACACGGTGGTCCCAAAACGCTACCATCTACCTCTAACTATCTTCTTCACTGTGCACTGAGGGTAAAACAAACATGCATCTTCTTCCAAACAGGTTCACTATAACTCCAGTTCTTTTAAACTGCACAATTGTCACCCTAAGAATCGATATGGTGGCTGTTGTCTGACGGTCAGGTGTTTTTTTTTTAACATATTGATAACATATTGTGATATTGCCCACCCCTACTGCATTACCTTTTCTCTGCGTAGTCTCTCGATGACAGCCTCCAAGCTGGAGTCCGTGGGGCGGCTGACGCTGAGGGAGGTGGAGGAGCTCGGCCTGGCTCCCAGTCTCTTCTCCAGTTCAATGATCTGAACCTCCAGAGACTCATTCTCCTCCTCCAGACAGCGTACCTCACACACACATAAAACATGCAGCTATATGAGTACTGGGAAAGGAATGACCCTTTGGGAGTCATCGTGCATGAAACTGATTAAAAAGGCACATACAGCAGTGCAAATAGCAATTGCCATAAAGTGTTCCTGGAAAAATGCAGTTTAATTAACCTCTTCCGACCTCTCCTTCTAACGAGTGAACTCAGCAGTCATCATATATGAATAATATGATAATCAGGGCACATAGTCAGAAGCCATTACATTCACAGCTGCTCAATAAGCCCTCCTGACTCTCTTTGCCTGATGGAATGAAGAGCCTTGAGGGTGTGTGACGTGTGAAGCATTTCATATGTGAGCAAACTATTCTACACCCAGCCTCAAAGTGCTGCCTCTCCCAGTCTCACCACATCGATAAGGCCGGCCAGGCGATCGTTGAGGGCGGCGATTATGGAGCGCTCTCGGGCAAACTGCACCACACCCTCCCTGTTTAGAGCATGAGCTGCAGCAAAGTCCGGCTCAGGACACTCCATCACCAACAGTCCACCCCTACCAAACACAATGTCATCATTTTAATGTACAATTACTGTTCTAATTACTGTTTACTTGCTGAATTTAATGGGAAAAAAGGAAAACAAAATGTGGCCTGTGCAAAAGTTGTGGCACATTTTATATTGTATTATATTGTTCTATTTCTACAATATGTTAAAATCACCAAATAAAAAGAAATTACGCACTAAAACTTAATATTTTAGTGTGTTCTTTGTAGAGGTGTGTTAACTTATTCTCATCTAGAAAATCAACAAAACATTTGACCAAGGGTGTTCAAACTTTTGTATATGACTATGCGCCATTGTTTTTAAACCATGGACAAATAAAGAACAAGAGCAAGCAAGAAAAGGCTTGTAAATTGAAAGAGCCGGACCATTCTAGTAATTCTGTCATCTGACATGGCTGGTTACAAGTACATTTAGTCAATGGAAGTGCAAATAAAAAAAATATATCATACTAAACTCTCTTCCTGTCATTACATTCAGTTACAGTACTGAAAAGTACAGTGTACTGTTCTTTGCACAGCACAACAGTTAAAATAAGGGGTGGGTAATATAACTAGTTATCAGGATAATTTATCACATCACATTACATCGCAACTTGCTTTTCTAAGCATACTGTGAATATTGTCAGTGCTTGAAGTACAATGACTAGCTACACGTTGAATTAAAAAGAGAGCATAATTAGCCCTGTTTAATTGGATTTCATTAAATAAGTCATAGTACTTATAGTTTTTCATAGTATTTTTTGAAACGTGGCACCACTGGTTCTTTGCCGTCTGTTGGCAAACTTCCAAACAACTCACTATTATAATGCATACTTGTAAAAGCTTTAAAGTGTTTTTGTCTTATCAGCCACCTCAAATGATAAACAGGGATGTTCCTAAAGGAAAGCAAACGTTTCTACCCTAATCTCTATACACTGCATCTGATTACCATGGACAACAATTTCCCGGCAATTTAGCTCCTATAACAAGTGAGGTTCTGGTCAATGGACTTCCTGTTCTTTCAATAAAAACAGGGAAAAGCATAAAAATTATTGTCCAAGTTAATTGACTGTATTCTGCAGATGCAGCAGATAGACATTAGGCTGAGAAACGCTAGAGAACACTGGCAAAAAATTAGATTACCATAGCAACACACTGAAGTCACTTTCTTTTTATACCAAAATCCAAACACTGCCACAACATGAAATCCACTTCTCTCTGCATAGTGTCCGTAGCTGTGAAAAGTAAGAGTGCATGTGCTGTTCCACAGGTACTGACCTGCCAGAAGAGCGCAGGAGCTGGGCTCCACAGCGCTGACTGACCACTGCAGTCTGGCTCCACTGCTCCTCTTCAAACAGCCTGCGGTACGACGACACTCTCAGCATAGCCATGGCTGCTCCAGAGCTGTCTGACAACAGGGAAAAGGGTGGCTGCGGCTTCAGCCCAGAGACTTTATACACTGCAGAGCTGAGAATGTCACACACATATGAAGGTTTTCTTGCTGAGGACTGGACAGACTAACTATAGGAGCGATGTCAGCAGTAAAACGTTTCACATACAGCAGAAAGAACTTGACCATGGGATCAATATTCAAGTACATTGCTTAAAGTACTTTCTACTGAAACAAGTGTATAAATCACATCCTTGATGGTGTCTAGGACTGAGACAGAGAGAGTCCAATTGTAATAGTAGTAAAAACATTTAGACTGGTATGGTAACCTGTAGGAGACTCCACCATAGTTGAAGCTACAAATGCCTAGTAACTTAAATGAGCATGCCATGGATTTTTCAAGATTTTCATGTCCATAATTCAATTTTGGTGATGTAAACAGTCATTCAGAGTGGCTTCATGTGAAATCGTGCATTGTAGAGAAATAACAGAAAAAAAAAGTTCTGATTTTTTTTTATATTGGTGGAAACCAAGGGTCAGGATGTGTACAAAGTAAATATAGCCCTAACCATTTTATGCAACAGCTTTTTGTGAGGCAGCTTTTAGAGACATTAAAACACTTCAGATGTCTAGCTCCTATTGTAATTTCATTTTGATTTTTAATTGTAATGAATCTTCTTTTAAAATCTATTGTTTTAATCATGTTTTTTAATTTGTACTCCCTTTCACTTTCTTTTTTAAATTATAATTTTAATTATCTTTGCATTTCATCATGAATGGCCCAAGTGTATAAAAGGTGCTTTAAAAATAAACTTCCTTGCCTATCACCACCACGGTGAACAACTTTGTCTCTAATTTCTCTAAAATGGAGCACTTCACATCAAACAACTCTAAATAACCACTGAATTCCCCTTTATAAATGATTACTGCAATCCCTCTTCCTCAGCAACAATCGAGAACTTGCACAACATTTCGTAGAAAGCATCAGTGTGGTCCAGTGCATTTATTCAGAGAACTCATGCAAATGAATTGAACTGCCCCAGTTAAGATTTTATAGTTTTATTTCCATTAAATAAGTTAAAAGTACCAAAAAAAAAGGAGAAAAATGACAGATGTGCAAGTATTCAGTTGCATATGTACCATGAAAGACAGACTTTTGTAGAAACAAACATAAAAACACAATAACAGAAAAGAAGGTACAAGACAACGCAAGTGAGTCATCCTCCAATTAAAATCTCCCAGAGAGCGTGTAGAGTGGGAATGGTGGCCACATAGACCCAAAAAGCCTTGTGAATGAGAAGTTTGTTTGGAACCTCGGTTCCACTGACTCGAGCCAATGGAGCTCATTCCTTCCAGAGACGTCACACACTGGCTATGCTGAGCAAGTGCTTTAAGCTTCGAGTAAAGCAGCGGTCTACTGCCAGGCCCTTTTCAGGAATCTACTTATGGCCTCTGCCTTAGAGGAAGTTACAAAACAAGCAGGCTGGCTCAGCAGGTGACTAAACCTAGCGACAGACGCAGGCTTGTAAGAACAGCAGACGTGGTTAAGAGGTCAGGCACAGCAGAGATCGGCAGGGCTGAGCCCGAGGCAGTTGTACAGTAGGCGAGCAGAAAAGCAGTAGCGTCCAGTGGCAGAAGGCCGTGGTCGTTTTCGAGGTTGACAACATGTCATGTTAAGAGCTTTCAAAGAGAAAACAATGCATACTGAACTTGAAGTGAGGATGTGCTGAGGATCTTTTTCTTGTCTTTTTCCATGCTATTTTCAGCACGTCTCTGCGCAAACAAACATGTTGTTTTAAGACTTTGAGGGAGTTTTCCACTGAACAGTGGAAACAATTGATGTGATTTTACATCACACCGGCTTTTTCCTGATATCAGTAAAACCTTTCCAGTAACCATTAGAACATTGACTCAGTTTCCTGTGCAAATACATCTGACACACCATGAATGGGATATACTTATACTATACTATACTTTTTTTCCCCAAATATCTGCACAATTCAGTCATTGAGATGTCAGTAAAGCCATTCAGAGAGATTTAATGTGAAATAGTAGAGAAACTTACCAATTTATATATCTTTTAGTGATAGTGATAGGAACCAGAGTTCACAATGTTCACAATGCAAATAGCAGTTTTATTTACTATCCAAACCCACCAGTGAACCTACACGGCTCTAATGTGGTTTTGTATATAATGTGAATAACTGTAAAGTACTGGACACTCAAAAAATAAGCCTTACACTGCTTTGCATGTTCCTCAAAACCTTATGACAAAACTACTGTAAATCAATATCTCAGGCATCTGGCAGTGTATTCATAATAATTTCATGTGACCGCTTCTGTGAGGTTGAATTCAGAGGTTTTAAACTCTTTAGACGTCTGGTTCTTATCACAACCACTGTGAACAATACTGACTTGGTAGGTTTTTCTAGAACGGAGCAACTCTAAACCTAATTTACATCTAAACAATTAAATTATGGAGAAATTTTTAAATAAAATCTGAGGAAATTCACTTTTAAAGTTAATCTTCTGGCAGAAGATTATTTAACCTATTCCTTAACAATGTTTTACTTGTTTATACTTGTTTTTATTTCATTGGCAGATAATTGCACTATTTTATCAAATATTATTTCTTTAAATAAGCAAAATGACCTGCACTATTTCTCAAAACAAGTAAAATTATCTGCCAACAGAACAAAACACTTTCACTAGATAAAAACAGGTTAAATAATCTTATTCCTACAACAATTTCAAAATATAAAAAAATGACATATATTGGCTTGTTTGAAGATGGTTTCACTTGCTTACACAATTACATACTGCAATCTTGCCACCGAAAAAGAAAAAGACATACAAGCAGCAACACAAACTCCCAACAGAACCAATGACACAAAGACTGTACAGAGAGTCAAGTAAAAACGGGAATTCCAACTTTTCTCACCTTCACAACATACCTGGGCTCTAACCAGTAAAACCCTGATGTGTTTTAGGTCAACGACATCATGGAACATTTGCAATTCTTGTGACAACTTCTGTAAGTGACCCACTATACTGCACTATACAGTACGTCTTAAAATGACTATTACAGACGGGACTACAGAAATGGAGCTTCTTTGAAGGGGTAGCTTATGCTGATTAGTGTACTATAGATCTAAATCTTCAGGCAGTGCACCTAAAAACCACCTGTTAGCACCATCCTGGGTAATTAAAAGCAGTTGGGGGGGCGGGGGGCAAAAAACAAAAAACAAAAAAACAAATGGAACTCTCCCTTAAGGTTCATGTGAGTGGGTGCTGAGTGTACAGCAGCCATAATATATGTAACTGCACTCATAGTAATGCATGGGAGGACACATTTTGCATCAACATTAACACACAAGACAGTACATTAAAACAGTCAGTAGGTACAGGACAACACATTTACATCAGGTAAGATATCAATGAGGTATGACACTCTCTGAAAAGCAGAGGGCACACCTGGTTACAGAGTAAACCACTGGAAACATGTTGAGCTTAGTAGACTTAAAACAGACAAACCCCATAGTTTTCTGGACTGTAATGATTTCTGTTGAAACAGGCTCACCGTCACAATGCCTAAAAGAGTCAAGTGTTTTTCAACCTAATCTCTGCCGCAAATGTAGGCTATAGTTGATCATCACAAACACTATAAAAGTACATTCCAGTACATGTGATTCGAGTCAATGTTTCAGAGTTTTTCTCCTACGCATAAAGAAATGCATTAAAATTAGTGCTGTACCGATACAAATACTGTATCGCTATCAGCTCAATACTGACACTTGAATACAGTATCGGTATCAGCAATAAAGTACTTGAAGTCAGCAATGTGTCTTTGAGGGATTATTTCATGTTTGAGACAAGCAGTATTGATAATCACTGCAAGAACTGTAATGCCAGAATGTTGAAGAGAGGCTCAGAAACCATTCAAATGCCAAGTTTTCCAACCAGTAAATGCCACTCATTCGAGCCTAGCATGTTTTATTCAATGCTTTGGTCAAAATAAACTATTTCATTAAAAAGTAGAAATTTCAGCATTGATGTGTATGTATCGATGGAGGCTGAAATGTTTTTATCAAATATGCAATTTTAAAGAAGGTAATTCTAAAATCCCAAGATCTGCAATTTTGTTATAGCCTACATTTATCAAGAACATTGTTTTAACAAACTAAGTGGGGAATTGTAAACAAATAACTCAGAGCTTGTGCACCATCTCTAGATGTGTTAGAGCAATCGTACCCAACCAGAACACCCATGTGCTGTGCACAACACAACCACAATCAACTGCCACTCTGACACACTACATTCAGTGTTCAAGCCTCAAGTCACAAAAACTGGCACACTGGTCGCTTTTGCCAAAATCAATGCCTGGAACTCAATAGAAAATAATCGCAAGTCAAATTGCAATCAAAATACTGGTCAGAAAAAAAATGCAATTCGATATTTTGCCTAAATCGCACAATTACTGAGTAGTCAGCTTAGACTGGGTTTGTATCAGTAGCGGCACTCAGTATCAACAGATATTCGAGGATGAGGTATGGTCATCATTATTGGTAATGGAAAAAAGTGGTATCAGTGCATCCCTAATCAGAATTATTGTTCATGGTTCACCAACTGTATGCTACAGATGCAGCAGCATTAGACTGAAAAATGCAGGCGTATTACTTTAACAGCATTGGTCAGAACACAGAAGAAATATTATGAAGTAGCTACAGCATGATGGAGGTTTCGCCAGTTAAACAGTCTAAACCAGAACAAACGTTTTAGAGTCATCTTTGATCCAAAAGCAAATTCCAATGCATCTTATTGAAGGAGCTCTGACCGAGCTCTGAGAGTTCCCAAAGCAGAAAGATCAAGAAAATGACAGATGTGAGAGAACACAAAAATATATAAATAACAATATTACACTACAACAGACACACACAACCATGATTCAGGTACACTCACAGAAAGCTCTCCTCCAAAAGGTAATCGATTGTCTAAGTCACCTTTCAAGAATCACAACATCACCTGACCCACTGATGTCACATGGAGCAGGACAGTCTTTGTACAGTTACATGGTCTCTCACACTGCTTGGGCTGTGAGAAAGAATGAAAGGTGCCTTGAGCTATGACTTTTCAATTGGAGAAAGCATTCAGAACGAACACAGCAGTCAAACACTGCTCTTTCTTAGTGTACAAGTCATTTTCTGTTTGCAGGTGCATGTGACCGCATACATTATTTATATATATCCATCCATCCCACTTACACCTCAGTCAAGTGAACAGTTTTTGGTTTTGGCATTGAAACATCCCACCAGAGGTCAAAAAGTGCGGAAAAACTTTTTTTTAAATGTCTCATGGCCAGGCTAACCACAAAGCCATTAAAGCTCTCAGAGCTGGACTAGTCCAGGCTAAAACCTCACGATTCCAGCAATGGAGACGTACAGCACACCAGAGCCAACATGCAGTGTCTGTGCAAAAGGAGGCTCAATGCAATGCCGTCATCTTGCTATCCCATCAGCCATTGTAGTGCAGGGTGGGTCCATTGATATCTAGTAAGTTAAGCCACTCACACAGGCAGGCAGACACACACACACACACACACACACACACACACACACCTAAACTCTCTGGCTTCCACGGGTCACCGCCTATGCCTGGAGGGATGTATGACCCATCATCTCTGAAAGGCTCCTCAGTCCTCATCACTGCCCATTAGGAACCCTAGAATGAAGTCATTGGCTCTCTGCCGATCGTTGGATGTCTGCCTCCCAGTTAGGTTAGGTGGTGGCCGGATGAGAAGGCTTGCAAAGAGGGTAGCTGTATAAAAAGAATAGCAAAGGAGCTTAAATTAACAATGGCACATACATATGTGACTGCAGTTAGTGTAGGTTAGTACAAGCATGAAGTAGTGACTGACCTAGGAGATTGGCAGTGAGGTTGTTGTCGATTGAGTACTTGAGCAGTTCTCTGAGGAAAGCCAACAAGTAGCGGAATACGTTGCGGTGAGCTCGGGGGAGCTGAGATATTAACTGTTTAACAGAAAAAAAGGAAAGAATCAGCTTCGTTTTATTCTAATCAAGTTTAATGCTTCTTTAGACAGAGCACAGAGAATGAAATAAATGTACATACAGACAGGTGACTGTAAAAGGTAACTATTTAGATCCATTTTGGAGCCTTTTTTTGCTCCAGCATTAAAGTCTGCCAGCTGTTTTGTTAAACACTCTGGCAGGAGAATAACAGTGAGCTGAAGTGTTCATGACTTACAGAAGAAACTATAATCACTGACAAGAGGGGTTAAACACACTGAAAACAAATACACATCCTAGACTCATAAAGTGCTTCCCTGACACTGAATTTGCACACATAAAAGTACCTGAGCTCTCCATTTCCTTGTGCTGCTTCTTGATAAATATTTTGGTATACTCATCTGTTAAGTAAATATTTGACGAATCACTAATGTAACTGCAACTATAGGCATTATTTTGTACTAAGAGAAAGCAAATTCAGCCAAGACAACGGTGCTAGTTTTGTGTAGGATGCAACTGCTGCTCACTGTGCCTCACCCAAAGCTGCCTCCACATTAGCAGACAAATCCAAAGCATGTTTTTTTTTTTTTCCAAAACAGATAAATAAAATACTTTAACATTTTTAAAATGGCTAAAATATACTTTGGCGGGTGCAGATATACACCAACTAGCCACTCCGTTCAAATCACCTCCTTGTTTCTAAATTCATTGTCCATTTTATCAGCTCCACTTATCGTATAGGAGCACTGTGGTCCATCTGTTTCTTTGCATGTTTTGTTAGCCCCCTTTTACCCTGTTCTTCAATGGTCAAGACCCTCACAGGACCACCACAGAGCAGGTATTATTTGGGTGGTGGATCATTCTCAGCACTGCAGTGACACTGACATGGTTGTGGCATGTTAGTGTGTGTTGTGCTGGTGTCCACTCTATAAGATACTCCTACTTTGTTGGTCTACCTTGTAGATGTAAAGTCAGAGACAGTAGCTCATCTGTTTCTGCACAGTTTGTGTTGGTCATTCTCTAGTGCTTCCTCAGTGATCACAGGATGCTGCCTACAGGAATGGTTGGTGGACTATTCTCAGTCCAGCAGTGACAGGGGGGTGTTTAAAAACAGCAGCTCACACTAACACACCACCACCACCACTATGTCAGGGTCACTGCAGTGCTGAGAAAGATCCACCACCCAAATAATACCTGCTCTATGACAGTCCTTTAGGGGTCAAGACTATTGTAAAACAGGGTGTAAGGGGGCTAACAAAGTACGCAGAGAAGCAGATGATGGTGGTCTGTAACTGTAGAACTATAAAGTGCACCTATATGGTGAGTGGAGCTGACAAAATGGACAAGGAAGTGGTTTTTAATTAAGCGGCCAGTTGGTGTACCTCAGGGCATCACCAAAGTATAATCTGTGCACTGAAAATACTGGAACATTTTTCTACCAAAATATATTTCTTCAATTGAAATTTTGCTAAGGGTAGTAGAAAGCGCTGTCAAACACCTAGACCGAAACCATGTCAGCAAAATTGCCTCCCACAGAGCCAACCGACCTTTCACTGTAAGTGTCAACCATTCAGGTCAGTACCATTCTCTTGGTGCAGGGCACACATGCTCTCTCCCACTTGGGGAGAATATGGTGAAAGATGACTCATCTGAATGTATGACTTTTTTCCACATCTCTGTAGACCAGTGCCTCTGGTTCTTATGCTACAGAACTCTCATATGTGCATTTGTCTTTGTAACAAGGGGTTTATGCACAACAACTGTAATATCCCTCTCTATGTAGTTGTGGATAGATTGCACTTGCTGACAGAGTCTGATCAGGCCCAGCACTGACCTTCAGTCACCTGAGTATCAGTTTCTCTTCTGGTTTTCCTTAAATCACACTAATGCACAATCATCATGCAGTTATTCAACGTGCACATTCAACCACCACGTTCACTGATTAAGGAAGTACACCCGAAGGCATCTGCACTATGCTTCTTACTTATTCATTCAGCACTAGTACATCTAGTTAATAGCTGTTCGTGTGTTTACCTGTTTACAGAGGCGGCTGTCATGTGAGCATTCGAGACATCGTTGGTAGAGCTCGTAACACACCACAGGCTCAGGCAGAGCCTCCAAGAAGATCAACAGTGCCTCAGCCACTGAATGGTTACAGCCAGCTGACACACACAGTTAGGGAAAACACAAACTGAACACCCACTCAGACATGCTCACACTGTGGCCTTACAACTAAAGAGGAGTCATGGAGACCTCAAACACAACTGAAGAATGCAAGACAAATTGGAATGCAAGGACATCCATGATAATGTGCAGAGACAGGCCAAGTGAAAGCAGGAAAGAAAAGAGAAAGGGAGCAAGCCAAAGGGTTCAAACCATGTTACAGTAGGACAGAAGAGGATCTAAGGCTCTTTGCCAAAAACACTCAGTCTAAGAGGAGCCAGGTTACAGAGTGCCGAGCTGAATTATATGGGAGAGTACAGCTTAGGCAGAGCACTTAAGATGAGCATTCTCATTCACTATCATTAAGCTGGCAGAGACTGGCATTATATTTCTATAAGTAGAAAAATGTTTCGCTGCAAATCACTGTCCGACAGTATAGCAGCACACAGTGAGGTTCACATTTACTAGGAAACATTTTTCTATACTTCACACTGTCCACATATAAAAGTATGTGGACGACATTCCAGTGGCAAAGCCAGAGGGGTGGAAGGATCGCACTGAAATCTGACCGGCCACCCTGGGGGGCACTCCAAGTTTTCTTTCACACTAATTGGCTAATTAGAACGCGTCCACCCGCTTATCTGGGACAAAGTTTCAGCACATGACATTACATGTATACACCAGCAGAGCAGAGCAAAGCAAAACTGTAACTTGCTTGTAACATTTTTAACCACATCCATAATCTCTTTCACATGCATTCATTTCTAGGAATCTCAGTGTGACTGTAGTAAATGAAAATGGGTATTTGTACTGCTTACAGTGAAGCTATTATGATTTATCTCGCTGTTTTCAACCACCTTACTAAAACATGCTGTATATGCTGTGTGTGAGAGAGAAAAAGAGGGTATATGGGAGAAAGTGCAGATTAGACCTATCTGAATTTTCAGCACCATTTAAGGTGTAACAAACTATTGAAATAAGAAGGTAACTTCAACTTTGTTGTAGACTGTATGTTTATTTTGAACAAATAAAGAAGTAAGAGGCTGAGCAGGCCTCTTCTCTGAGTCATTTTAATAACTGTTAGATTTTTATATTTATATATATATATATATATATATATATATATATATATATATATATATATATATACACATACATACACACACACACACACATATACATATATATATATATATATATATATATATATATATATATATATATATATATATATATATATATATATATATATATTTATTTTTTTTGAGTCAAAATATTTTCTGGGTCATTTTTAATAAAACGTTGAAACAGCCTTGATCACTCAACGGACACTCCATGTATATAGTCCTAAAACGACCACTGCGATGGTCCAGTAAAGGTATAGCATGGACCTGGAGCGAAAGGATACGGATGAAGTCAGGAATACTGGTATCCAGACAGTCAATGATACACTGCAGCTCATCTTGCAGGCCAGGGGTCTGGAAAAGCTCCTCCTAGAAACAAAGTATAATTAGTTCAATGTCTGATGCATTGAATTCCTCTAAAAATGATTGCATTCAACCAGTGATAAAAAGTTCACCTGCTGACAGGCCTTGGTAAAAAGATGGTTAACCAGTAGCCAGATCTCCTTTGGGATTTTTAAGGGTTTGTCTTCTGTGGTAGTGCTTTCCAGTAGGAAGTTCATTCTGGATTTTTCCTGGGAAACAGAATAACATTAACATGTTAAGAAGAAATATACAACTGCACTTTTATCAGAATGTTTTTGACTTTAGTCGAGACATGATTTAAGGGGGTGTATTTCATACATTAGAGGTTAGAGGTTAAGAGAATCACACATTATTTACAGGGATAAGCGACACTGAAAGAGGGCCATTTTGTACCAGACCTATCACATTCCTTTAGACACTGTAAATGGATCCTTGCGAACTTTGACACAGGGCCAAAAATAAGCCCTGGGAATGGGTTTACACACACATCCCAACTAGAGAGATGCTAAGCAGAGTACCGTGCTGGTCCACAGATTCTCAAATACAGGGAGCTTTCAGCTTTTGCTAGCAATGGAGCTTGGTGAAACACATCAAGCATCTGAGGAGGTTTTTATTAGTGCGGGCCTGACAGAAAAAGACTAATCATGTTGGACTTGTTCCAACAGGATGCTGTCAGAGCCTAAACTTTCATTAGTCTTAATCAGTGCCTGAGCAGCACACTGAACTGGCCTAATGTGGAACGATACAGATGGGCACAGAGGGAGGAGGCTGGCGTCCTGATGAACATGTTAAAGAGACTTCAAAGCAGCATATGACAAATATTGCACACAGCAGGCTTCTGCAGGAGTCCACATTTGCAAGCATGCAAGACACAAAGCAATCACACATAACCACACATACACACTAGACACAGTTGGGTGCAGTTCTGTTCTGGGGCTTCTAGGCATAAAACACTTCAGTAGTCCTTACAGAGCTTTACCTTTTCCATGTAGCTATCTTCTCCCTGAGAATCAAGCAGTCCCAAGAGTCAATGATTGGAAAAGAGGAAGAGATGAAAGGAAAGACAACAGAGAAATTGCATAACTAGTGAAAAGAATTGCATAAGAAATGGTAAGCACATTTCCCTCACCATGAGTGAGAAGCCAGAGAAGCAGATCAGCAGAAATGAAAGAAACTATTTAAAGATGGCTACTACCTAAAAAAGACCATTCAGTCTTGCATGTATGGAAAATAGCACAGTGATAAATGCAGACAGTAATTTGAAGATCAGAGAGACCATGCTGAATAAAGGCTAAAAGGAACTAAACATTCTATAACTTTGAAGTAAAGGTTTTCATAAAAACGTTTCCTTATTCCTTACATGACTATAGGCATTTTAAAACAAGGCAACAGCAACGATCCTCAGCTATGCAAGAGTGTGAAATACAGTACTGTGCGAGAGCCAGAGACCACCCTTCATTTCTTTAATTTTCAGTCAAAACAGCCAATGAGTACAAGTCATTCATTTTTCAACAGATAATTCTGATGAGACACACAAAAAAATTAAAAAAACATTTGTATATCAAACAAAGTCACTTCTGGTGTTCTCAGAACAAAGTCCAGACCACAGTCTCAATCAATGTGTTATACTAAATGAATACTTAGATGATGAGAAGCAGAAAATTCAACCAACTTCTAAGACTGGACTTTGGAGGTGTGGAAAAATATCCCTGCAGATTTTTATTTAAAAAAAAACTGAAAATAAGCCTCCCAAGAAAAAGTTGGACATAACTTCAAGAATAAAGCCAAAACAAATTATGTTAAATATGCATTTTTTCTGCTTTTTTTCTTAATGGCTGTTTTAACTGGAAATTAAACAGATGAAGGCAAGTCTCTGACATTTTCATGGTACTGTATGCAGATTCATTTCCACACTTATGGAAGGGAACTGCTGTAGAAGGCGTTTTATTTAAAACAATCATTTCATTTTCCTGTAGTCATGCATGACGTGTTGCATCCCTAACCTTGCATTATTGTCTATTTAAAGCAGATCATGGTAGTTATTAGCTAATGGTTTGTACTGATGGATTTATGGTTTCAACCTTTCTGAACTAATTTTAACTAAATTAAAAACAAAAAAAAAACTGTAAGTGTTAGTCATTATGAAAATACCATAATTCCACTGATAATTAATGGATTCTGATTGTAAAGTCACTGAGGAAAATAAGAGATTCAAGGAATAATAAGTACCAAAACAAAAAAGACCACTTTCTTGCTGATACAAAAGTACAGCTGAGTGAAAAAACATGGCTGCATGTTACACGGGACACTTGCAGGTTATTGGCCTCAAATGTTGTGTGGTCAAGCATAGTACACTTAATTCGCACAAGAGGCATGCTTGTGGCAATAACATCTATATCTAAAATGAAACTTTAAAAATTACTATAGAGTAACATAAAACATAGCCTAAAATGTAACATTATTCTCTCTCTAACCGAAATTATAGTTTGAAAAGCCTGTGACAGCAGCCTATGCCTCACCAAGTCGACGAGTTTGGTGATAGGAATTTCACGGATGGGCTTCTTCATACGGCACAGGGTCTCCAAAGATGTACCAAAACAGCTGGGCAAGTAGTTCCCAGACACAGTGATGAAGTAGTCTTTCCCTCTGTCCAGGTGCAACACTAGAATGTCTTCAATTTTATCCTCTCCAGAGTTGAGCAAAGTTACAGAGTCTTTACTCACATATACCTCCAGGGCAATCTCCATGGTCTCATCTGCAAAAGAGAGCATCAGAGAAACACCGTGATCAACAGTGATTGTCTTACTAACTACTTAAGCTTTCAACAGTACATAGAACCTTAACTTTTTTTCTGGTATTGCATATGCTGTCTAATACTTTCTTCACATTTTGGTTAAACTGAATAATAGATGAATAAACAGGTGGATAACAGGTGTTAAGACACTCACTAGGATCCAAGAGGCCTTCACTGGGCTCAGCTCGTAACCAGGGTTTGCAATACTGGGAGTCTGTGAGTTTGGGGATGAAGGCGAAAGTACAGGGTACCTGGCCATCATTAGTGATGAGAAAACTCTGCCTCTGCAGCTGACGAAACTTTACATTCTCAAAGGTGAACTGCACAAGATAAGAAGAAAACACAGATGTTTTTACATGCTGATAAACTGGCTCTGTGAAACAACCTAGGCAACATGAATTGACCCACATATTCAGTTTAAATTCATGCAACTTTTTGGATATACACAGTGCTGAACAAAAGTCAGAGACCACACTTCACTTATTTAATTATTTAATTTCCAGCCAAATCAGCCATGAAGTAAGTTACTTTTTATGAGATATTTCTCAACATATTAGATAACCTAAGGGGGAAAGTCAAAGGACAATAAGTGGGGGGAAAAAAGGAGTTTCCAAAAAATATATAAAAATATTAAAAGATGTAGAGAAAACCATGCAAGACCATCAACACTATCAAATAAACAATATTTAAAGCTTTGGGTCTGAAAGGATGTGCAGCTGTCAAGAAGTTGTACAGACTCAATGCTCAGACCTCAACTTCACTGAATGTGTTTAGGATTACTTGCATGAGTGAGACCAAGACTGAACACTGGAGGTATGGAAAAATATTCCTGCAGATTATTTTAGAAAAACTAAAAACAAGTCTCCTGAAAGGAATAGAAACTGTAATAAAGACAAAGGGAGAGGGGGGCTCTGACTTTTGCACCGTAATGTATGCGTATACTTCCACATCACGTCTTTGACTTAGTGATACTGAAACTGGTTTGCTTTCAGCTTGCTGCATAGATGGTGCAAATGATGGAGACAGTTTTAGCACTAACAGAGTCTTGTAGCACCCTACTGTTGATCTAATTTTGATATAGACGTGTCACATATACAGCTAAAGCAGCACACAGGATCGATGTAGTGCAAGTGCACATGAGGACGTATGCTCCTGTCTTCAGCTTTCTTCACTCACCTCCCTTCGAGTCAATGCCAAAGAGGGCAGGAAGTCATTCTCCATCCTATCCATGTCACGTACTATCTCCTCAAACACCTTCTTATAGCGCTGTTCATTCACCATCTTCACCTGTAAAACACACACACACACACACACACACACACACAAAGTACAGACTTTAAGAATGACATTCAAAACGTGCCTTTAAAACATCCAAAAATGTTTGAATGAAAAGAAAAAAAAAATGCTAAAAATCTAATAAATGTGGCTGAAATATCACTCATCAGACCGGTCTAAGAACTATCAACACTCTCAGCCTGCAATGTCACTGCAGCAGAACTAAACCCAACAGTGCAAAGAGGGAAAAATAAGTGAGACAGGCCGTCTGTACGCGTGTTGTGTTGTAGAATGTCCAAACTGTGTCCATGACTTACTGAAAACACTACCCAGTTTTTATACGGTAACATTTTAAAGAAAGTAAAATTGTTATGCACTGTACTGCTGGATTTGCATCGAGGGAATGCTGGCATAGCCAGCTGAAAGAATGAATGTTTGAATGAACAAATAAACAGACAGATAGGCAGAGAGATTAACTTGCTTGTTAGCGCAGTAACACTTGCTCTGTAAGTGTTTGCTCCATAAGTTATTCAGACTTATACAGACCACAGGGGAACACAGATTTGATAGAGGGATGGATGGATAGATAGAACTTTATTGATCCCGAAGGGAAATTGCAGTGTTTCAGTAGCAAGACACATCATTGCACATAAACTTACGTATACTATGCAGAAAAAAATAGAAATAAAAAATAGACATAAGTTAAAGTATAAGAGAGTAGAAATAAAGGTATATCCATTTGCATATTTACATAGCATATAAGACAGATTTACTGTATTTACATGATAGCAAGCACTAAGTGGTATGAGGTAGTCTAAAAGCACAATGAGTATAGACATAACTAGGAGTTGCAGCAATATTACAGTGTAAAGTGCATAGTGAAAGTGTCATTACAGTGGCATGTTAAGGTTTTGTGAAAGGGACAACCCTGTGATTGACTAGAGAACTGGGTACATACACGACACGTGTACACAAGATTAGAACTGACTAGTTCACATTGAAAGATATGAATTTTGCCAAACCCATCAGCCATTTTTAGTCACTGGACAGTTATTCACAGGACATACTTTACACATGTATACTGTGTGCCCACAACAGCAAGACTAACCTATTTATGAAGAGCACACTGTTCCCAGCGGCTTGAAAAAAAAAAATTAAAAGGGATATTAGAAGACTGAACCTCACCCCAATGCTAAAGAGGGCACTGACAGGTTTGTGGTCACTGGTCTGCAGCTCCATATGGCTCCGGTAGTGCAGCTGCTTAACATTACTACCTCTCCACAGGACACGGTCACACCAGGCTGGAACTCGGCACTTCCCACTGTATCGCAAAGCAAGGAGTACACACATAACCAATGGTCAGACAAGCAGTTTAAGAATCGTGTGTTCTGATTTACCTCAGTAGGATAACTTAGAACATGCACTGCAACAATCTACAGTCATACCTTGAATCCCATCGGTCCGATTTTGCATCATATTTGTAAGTGGGGATAAAAGTGATTTCTCCCTCCATGAAGTCAGTGAAGGCTCGCTTAGTGTGCCTTTGAATGTTTAGCTAAAAATTAAAAGAGAAAAGAAAAATGACTGTGTTCATTCTTGGGACGACAGGTGAAATCTCTGTTCAGTTCACTGTTTAAATATTATAAATAGGAAATGGGAACAACAACAACAGCAACAACAAGGGATTCCACTCAGTGACTGAATTAGAGTTCCCAGACAGATTGCAGAACTGAGAAGCTATATTTTCACTATGTTTGCAATTACTTCCCTTCTTTCACGTTACTATTTATTTTGAAACACAACACACTCTGTCTCTGTGCTTACCTGATCATACTCCTGGAGCCTCCGCAGCTCATTATCAGCAATGAGTCTCTTCACTTCAGCTGCATCATATAAAAACAGTCTGTAGTTTAGATCTCCCAGCCAAATCACCACACTGAGAAATAAAGAAATGAGGGCAAATTTGTGACATACAATATATAATTTCAACGAAAGTCTGAAAAGTCTTTGTGTATGCAAGGATAAATATGGAAGCGCAATATATGCATATACAGCACTGTGCAAGTGTCAAAAGCCACCATTTCATTTCAAAAAGGCCATTAAGTAAAAGTTTTCAGCATCAGGAAAAAAGCAGGAAACATTTATTTAATAGAAAATTACATAGAAGTCTCCAATACTAAGTATAATGTCAAATGTGTCAGTGTTTAATTTGTCCATGCTTTACCTTTGTGCACCCTCTTGCCACTGGAACTCTTCCATCCTTTCAATGTTAAAACCTACAAGTTACAGCTGTGTTCTCCCTAACAAAGGCTATTCTCAAAGATTTTTATTCTTAATAGCTATTTTTCCATTCATTTTCTGCACAAATCACAATAGATAAAATGCATAAAAAAAAACCTCGATTTTCCTGATTTATTTCAATCAACTCACTTTACGTTATGACATCATTTCCCGCAAAAACTGCTGTTACATAAGTTTTGATTTATCAATAAAAAAGGTGTTTGTCATGTTTCTGTGGACCTCTGGCATCCCCATAACTTACTAATAAGGACATTCTGGTAATTTTAATAAAATAAAAAAATTCTAATGTTATTTTATTATATTTTTGTTATTAGAGATCACTTTTCTCTGCAATACTGAGCTGTCTGAGCTCTTTTAATTTCTGGAAATCTCTGTAAGAGCTGAAAAGCAGGAGCATTAATGCTCTCATCTCCTCCTCAGTCCTGCTAGAAAAAAGTTTGGATGGAAACTTGCTTACTGACATTATGTTCCCCCTCCAACATTACCACAGGCAACGACCTAAACACACCTTACCTACCTTGCGGATAAGGCAAAAGATAATCTACTTGCATAAAGAAGCAGGAAGGCAAGGCAAAATAAGAGAAAAACAAGAGTTTCCAAAATTGGAGTTCAAAAAATGTTTAAATGCTACAGAAAAATATATGGAAATACATCCCAGCAGATTTCTTTGAAAAACTGAAAGTCTCCCAAAAAGAGTGAAGGTTAAAGGCAAAGCATGGATACACTAATATACTAACTGATTTATTAATATATGTGTTTATTTTAGTATAATTACTTATTTAGTTGTTGAGGCTTCAGTATAATTTTCTGTTAGATATATGTTTTCTACTGAAACTCCCTTCTCATTGGTGTCCCTTGTAAAAGTATCTGCCCTCTTCAGTATTTACAAAACTCATCTGCTAGAATACTCTCTCACTCAAAAAAATCAGCTCATATCACCCCAGTTCTATGTCTGTTACACTGGTTACCTGTCCTACTTCGTATCAAGTTTAAAGTAATACTGCTAACTTAGAAAACTCTACAAGGTCTAGCCCAAGCCTATTTATCCGAGCTCCTGCACCCTTACTGTCCTGCCCGAACACTTAGGTCCTCTGACACAGGTCGTCTAGCCGTCCCAAAATTTAGACTGGTCACTGTTGGAGGCAAATCTTTCAACGTCATGGTCCCAAACTATGGAACACGTTATCGCAATCTCCCTGTGACTGTACTTCACTTTCCTCCTTTAAAGCTCAGCTTAAAACCTAGCTCTTCTCTCAGCACTTTCATTCTTCTCCTTACTGATGTTTCCTTTTTTCCTTCCTGCCTCTGTAAAGCGACCTTGGGTTTGAGAAAGGCGCCATACAAATTGAACTTCTCCTTCTTCTTAGTATTATTATTGCACAGAACTGCATGTGAAAAATCTAAGTTAATTTTGGACTATACAAACTTCCTAATATCTGATCAGACCAAATAGCTTATATGCAACTGTCTTGGGTGTAAATATAACAAAAAGGGGCAAGTGAAGATGTCAAATCACGTTTTACTATAGAGAGAGTGGTTAAACTACAGGTAACTCACTCATGTTTCACTATATTGAGGTGTGGGTGCTCCATGAGGTGAAAGCTCATGCGGGCACAAATGTCCTTGTAGTCCTGGTTCCGCCGCTCAAAGTCCTCCACATGGGCCGCAAGGTGAGAGTTCACAATGCAGAAGCTGGTGTTGTGGAATACAAACCGCACTGCCACGCCTCCTTTATTGCCCTACACATGTGCACAGATAAGCAACTCTATTCTCTAGTTCAGTTATATGATGATACTAAAGGACTCTCAGTGCATATAAATATAAAAACAGACACTAACATTTCCTGTTATGACAAACCATAGCCTAAAGCACAAACACTACGCTTACCATTTTATTCATGAGGCCAGTTCCCACAGTTTCAGCAGAGACATCTCTGATATGGTTCCTGTGCTCCTTTTTGACAAACACCACCAGCATCATACCCACTAACCGTATAATGCGTACCTGAGGAAAGAACGAAGGACAGGATGAAAAATAATTTTAGACTCTGTTCTGTTTCATCCCTTATGTAAATAAAACTACTCATGTTGCATTCTTACTTTAAGAAATACTACTAAAGTTAGACCTTTCCTATCCTACAGCGACACAGAACAACTTTGAATTGATTACTGTAAATTTACCCATATGCTACCTCTATGTTTTAAGGTAGATTTTAAAGTTCTGTTACTCTCAATAGCCTAGCACCAGCGTATTTCATTGACTGTCTGTTTAAATTCATATGTAATAAAAACCCCAAAACCTAGCTTTAAATTACAACTGCCATGCACGCCAATTCTATTACTGCTACATTCAAGTAATTATAATTATTGGCAAAACCTGCTGTCTGTCAAAGCTGTGATAAAAGGTCTGACTTCTGAATTGTAGCTCCGGTCCATCAGTAACTTCAGTAATGACTCACCCGTTTATACTTGGCTTTGGGATGAAGGCTTCGTTCCACTGCATCGACCCACAGCTGCTCTTTGGATGAGTCCATGTAAAAAAAGGCCTCTGTGCTCAAATCCAATTCTTGAAACCTACCAATTCACAATAATTAATTAAATTTAAAAAATTTCAAATAAACTTGACCATAATATATGATGACCAATGTTGCACCATCTCCACTGTTTTGCTAAAAGTGACTGTTAATTAAAGGGATAGCTTTATTAATGTAAATTGCCACTTACCCTAAATGCAGTCAATCAGCCATAACAAGTTTAGTGTCCAAATTTTGCTTCTTTAGTTTGAACTGGAGCTACAAGGCTCATGTTGCTAACAAACACTGGGAGTCATCAATCACCCAATAATATCCATAAATACATGGGTGAAACCTTTTTCAACAAGCTCAAACCACTTCCAGGTCTAAATTTAGGTTGCACTGGCATAGTAATACGATTTAGAACAAAGTATGACTTTCTGTGTAGTATAAAAATGGCAAAAACTTAAAACTAAAAGAGAGGGCAGCCATTTAGGACAACTGGAATCACTTCGTTCTTTAGCACAATTTGGTATCATTTTGCACAAGACAACAAAAAGGAGGTTAAGAGCATTCACAACACAGACGCACCATAGACTAATGCAGGTATAGAAAAGCTAAGAGTATACTCAGAAAAATCAATACAACTTCCAATTATGAATAGGACCACATTTCCTGCACAAATGAGCTTCAACTGTATATGGTTGAACCTGACTAAACACACAAAAAAATGCGTCAGCTGGATGATGGACCCACCGTTCAGCATGAAGCCGAAGTTAGCTTTATCCAAAACTTCACTATTGCAACATTTAAGGCGGAACGGAAAATTCGTAACGCACCAGACTACCAGAGATCTTTATACTCTGTTTTTGCAAAATGTAACGCAACACCTAATTTCAGTTTATTTCGTTATTCGATGCATAACTTCTAACTCTCTTACAGCAAGCAAGCCTTAGTAACTCCTGTGCTAACACTATGTACCAGATGTTTTATAATGCGACCCTGTGCTACAGCCTCTCAAAGTGTGAAGGCGGAATAGCACCTAAAAGTGTGATGTTATACAGATGATACTGTAGTACAAATTTAGCCTAAATTTATAAATAAGGATCCACTCCATTTTACTAAATTAATTTGTTTTAAAATGAGAGAATGTAGCTTCAACATCATTTGAAGCACACATATCAAGCCTTTATCATGTATGTATGGAATGTTTTTGATCACTATTTATTTCCAGTGTTTTTAGCATTGTTAGCCAAACAGATTCAGTTCCAAACTAAAGAAGCAAAACTTGGACATAAATTGTGTCTTGGCTTGTCTGACTGCCTTTGGCGTAAGTGGAAAATCATGTAAATCTGAAATTTTTAGTGAACTATTCCATTAATAGTCACTTACATGAACTGAATGCAAAAGAACAGCATACAGATAGATGCAACAAGATGCCAATGCCAAGCTTTAGTGTTAAATGCAGGATATATGTAAAGATTTCTGACACTGACCCCAGTGCGTACACATCAGGGGGATCAGGGTCACAACACAACCAGGGATTCAAACTGCTATCAGGGGACTGACCATTCACATTCCATGTGCCTGCAAAGAATCTAAGAAATCATGGAAAAAAATGGCAATTTAAAATACAATAAGGAGTACAAATGAAAACAAACTAATTTTAAGTAGCAAGCTGATAATATTAACCTAAAGTTGTGGATATCCACAAACTCCTTCTCCTTTTTGCCTAAGCGATATTTGAGAAGGCCCTCTCTCAGGCCTGACTGGCTGCTGAGCATGGCCTGCCTCATGCTGTGCGTGGTTGGGCTGTCAGACCAAGAGCTAGATCGTTCTGAAGAGTGACTATACCTGAAGAATCAAATAACACAGAATCAAATATCAATCTAAATCCACTGCATAGGAAGAACTGCTCTTAGAGCAGATTGTCACACTTACTCTTGTCTAACCGGTGTGCCAATTTGCATAGGAGGAGGTCTATCTTTGGGAGGTGGGCCAGCTACTGGAACAGCAGGGGGCGTGTGGGAACCTTTTCGAGGAGGAAGGGGAGGTACAGGAGGAGGCTCCCTCTGGGCAACTATCCGGTTTTGCTGGTTCTTCTTCTCCTCCACTTTTAAAGCATGGTTGAAATTCTCCTCAAAACCAAAATCTGTCACCAGTGAGACTGCAGGATCTACATAATCTGGGGAAAGCACAGTAATGTCTATAATGTGCAGATCATCTCTAATGATAACAAATAAAAATAAGTGAAGAGTTAAACCAGGCACATAATTAAGATACAAGTACATTTCACATACTTAAAGGCTTTCCTGTATTGCTGTTGTTGGTGCTGCCTTGTAACAAGTTCTTAGAAGCAGTGACTGGTGGTTTAGAGGTTCCTCTCAGAGGCGGGACTGGGACAGAAGGTTTGATAGGGGCAGGAACAACAGGCTCCATCTTCCTGGGTAGTGAACTTCTTCCTTCAACTGAAAAAAAAAAAATCATTTTTCTGACAGTGTTATATGAAGAAAACGTTATTTTTGAGAACTTCTAAGTTGGCAGCAATCAAGTATAAACTTTCACAAGACCAATACATTTTGATCTGATAAATCTGAACACAGAACATGTGTAATGCAACTAAACCTCACCTTTAGCATGAATATAACCGGTTATAAAACAAAAAAGCCTTTATGTGAAGAGAACTGATGGAAAATAGGAAAAGACGAGATAATGAACAAAAAAATAGCAAAACCACTTGATCCCAATGCTAGAATATACAGTCTCCTCTGAATGTATTGGAACAGCGCAGTCAATTATTTTCTTTTTCTATACACTTCTATACACTGAAGACATCTGGGTTTGAGATCCAAAGATGAATATTAGACGATAGATCTGCATTTTGTTGTTAAAAAGGATGAACCAACATAATGATCAGAGAATTGTCTATGGGAGAAAAGCAAGTCATTCTGAAGCTGAGAAAAGAGTGCTATTCGATCAGAGGCATTGCATAAGCATTGGGCACAGCCAACACAACAACTTAGGCTACGTTTACACAGCAGGTAAAAGTGGCCCAAATCCAATCTTTTTCCTCAAATGTGACACAGATGTGTCATCTGTGTGGTAGTGTGAACAGCAAAAAACGTGTTGAATCTGACATTTTCAATTCCGATTCGAGACGCTTTCATATGTGGTACTGAAATCCGATACGTATCCAATCCGTGGCAATGCGACTCACTCAGAACAGCCAGATCGGAATTCATGCGACTTTTACGTCAGTACAACTCGACATTCGTCATAATTTCGCACTGCTGAGAATCATAAACATTTAGGCTGATGTTTCTGTGGTAAAAAATTAGAGGAGACTTCAAACCGCTCCGTGTTCAGAGAGGTTTCGCATGAAACGGCCGAGCGTGGCCGGAGGAGACCGAGGCTGCAGTGTCAAAGAACAGTTTAAAGAATCCGAGGACACGGACCAAAGAAGTGGCCGTGGCCAAATAACGTGCACTTTTTACAGCGAACTCGAATGCATTCTGGGTGATGAGTCCAGCTGTCAACCACTCGCTCATATGATGCTGGCGAAGCCGAAACAGAAAGCTGTGGGGAGCGACTGGCGTTCGCTTGTCGTCATGACTATTTACCTCTGGACGAGCCGACACGTGAAGCACTGTTGTTTTGCACATGTGGGTCGGTTCAGGAGCTGATCTGTTCAAACTAATGTTGCACACAGGTCACATTTAAAAGATAACGTGAACAGCCAAACAAAAAAATCGGATTTGGTGAGAAAATCAGATTTGGGCCACTTTTACCTGCTGTATAAACGTAGCCTTAGAGTGTCATGAGAAAGAAAGAAACCACTGATGTACTAACAACCAGGCATCAAACAGGTCGACCAAGGAAAACAACAGCAATTGATGACAAAAATAATGTGAGAGCTGTAAGGAAACCCCAAAAACAGCAGTCAGTAACACCACAAACAACCTCCGCAGCCGCAGGGACAAAGGTATCAATCTCCACCATCTGAAAAAGACATCCAGAGCAGAAAGATGCCACACCACAAGATGCATCACGTCTGTAATGAGCCACAAAAGTTCTGAAGTTTTAAGGAATATTGAGACCATGATTAAGCTAGAGAAAGAAAGATCTGTTCATGATCCAAAACATTAGCTCATCAGTCAAGCACGGTGGAGGGAGTGTCATGGCTTGGGCTTGCACAGCTGCTTCCGGAGTCTAACCTTCATTCATGATGTAACTCATAATGGTAGCAGCAGAATGAATTCAGAAGTCTACATAAACATTCTGTGTTCCAATTTACAGAGAAACGCATCCAAACTAAGACTAACTTCTTCATGCAGCAAAACAATGACCCAAAACACAATGCCAACACAAAGGACTTCATCAAGGAAAAAAGTGGAAGGTTTTCGACCAGCCAAGTCAGCAGTTTGGTGATGTCAGTGCATCGCCAGCTTGTTGCAGTTATTGCAAGCAAGCGATGTGCATCCAAATATTAAAGTTAAGTGATAAGATTTTCTGTTCTTATACTTTCACTCACCTAAGAACTGGGTGTTCTGCCACCATATGTACCATGTTCTAAGCTGTTTAACACATCTAGCTGAAATTCAAATTTACTGTCTCATATTCATCTTTTGTTTGCAAACTCAAATGTCTTCAGTGAATAGCAAAAACAAAAGAACTGGCCTTGCTGTTCCAGTACTTTCGGAGGATACTATATTCTACATGATTTTGTGCGTTATTTTGCGAGATATTTATAGCCCTTAAAATTGGTTTCACAATAAAAACAAACAAAAAAAAAACTACAGATGCGGAAAATGTTTTTTGAAAGTCTGTGAAAGTACATCCTCCTTTTTATCAGAACTGGCAATGTGGCATGTTAATTTACATCTTAAAAAGCTTGTCTTTGTTAAACTATAGCCTGTTCACACAAAACAACTGGCTGATAAAGGACAGACTGAACATTATGTTAGTCTGGAAGAGAGCTTACTGTTGCAAGAGCCACTTTTATGCTGCTCCAGTTGACCTCATTAATGCAGTGTCACTAACAGATTAAGCATTAAAAACAGAGTAACTACGCAGAAATTTGGAAACTAGTAAGGCAGGTTTTGCAGGATGTGTCTAACCCCCAAAAAACACAAAGAAAACAAAACAGTTACCTTACCTGGTTTCATTTTGTCAGCCACATCATATTATCAACTGAAAATCCTCTCAAAGTTACTGAGACAGCAAAGGGACATCCAGATTATTTACCATATTCTGGTTGACTGCACTATTCTAAGAAAGAAGTATGCACAAGGCTCTGAGTTTCAATTATCACGTCACACAGTGGAGTAACAACTCCACTGTTAACACTACAAACAATGTGGCGGTGTTCACATCTATGACGAACACCCTTAGTTTATTTTACAACGCTTCTTAAAGTCCTCCAAAAGGCGGCAGATCTTCAAAGATAAACTGAAAACACAGCGTTCATAATACAGCATATGTCTTTGTGACAAGTGCTTTGGGAATTTTCATGTTCAAATACACCAGACTCAACTCAGCGGACAAGTTAGTAGGTGTGTTTAAGCAAGAAAATCACCAAACCGTGCTAGACTCCGGCCTTCCCGGACAGGAAATTGACAGCCTTAGTTTAAGAAAAATAGCTCATGCTAAGAAACAGCTAAAGCTTAATAGTACACTACTGTGAAAAAGTCAGAGACCAGCATTTATTTAATTAATTTCCAGTCAAAATAAGCACTAAGGACAAGCTATCAATTTTCAGTGTCAGAAAAAAGCAGAATATTTAACAGAAAATTCAACAAAAAAGACAACAACAGTGCAGAAAGCAACATTAAGTAAAGTCCTTAATTTGAGTAGAGATGTGAGATCTCATACAAAGCTACTCCTTACAAAAAATTGCTAATTCCTCTGGGAAACAATGAAAACACAAGCAAACCAACATTACTCATTTATGACCTTCAAAAAGTGCATCTCAAATTGAGGTCAAATTCCTCCAGCGAGCACACAATAAAAAAAAAGTCATGCATCTGTCCAGGTTAATGAGCAACCTTGGTCAGTAAGACAAGGCAGGGGTTGCTAAATAATAAAGCAAGTTAGACTGTATTCTCACCTTGCTGCTTGGCCTTCTTCACCTGCTGGAGAAATGTCTGAGTTCGATCATCATCCTGCAGCTCCAGCAGCAGCTCCGGAGTCCGCTCCCCTCGAATACGGATCCTCAGCGTCGCTGCCGGATGAGATGTTAGTGATAACAACTGCCAACAATCTACTGAATTTTCCATATAAAGAGGTTCGTGATCTATCAAGCTATTATGTGCTATCAGAAGCTACAAGATAACAGAAAACAGAACTCTGTCAACCATACTTACTGCTTATTGAGATGTCTATAAGAAGAGCCTCCTCAGCTTCTGAACAAAGAATAGAAAAGCAGTTAAAAGCAGCTTTGAATCTGCTGTGCAAAGGTTGCTAAGGGCTGGAATACTGCAGAGAAAACATTTCCTACAGGCTCTCTGTAATGTTTGTCTTTGACATTTACAAGGAGGTGGGGATAGGAACTTCTGAACTCTTATAAATGACGTCGTTTTACGTTAGAGAGATACGGGGTCACTTTCAACGTCAAAGGATAAGAGGATTAAGGTAGGATAAGCTGCTGCTTTTTGTCATCATGCTCAGGTTCCCCCCCATTCACCACAAACAAAAAAAAATTATAATGCAGAGGAAGCTCTGACAGACTACATTGGGCACAACCGGCACTTACCTCGTACTATCTGAAAGTGGCTAGTGATAGGTATGGACAACTGTGGCACTGGACTGGACACAACTGCCTCAGGGTTTGCCAAAACTCCCAACCTTAAAGACAAAAAGTAACCATTATTTAAATAAAGTTGTACACTACTATGCTTCTTTTTTCTGGTTTTTAACTCTAGTGTCCAGCTGTAACAGTACTACTTGGGGAGCGTGATAACAAATTGTAGAAATTTCCACAAAGCGTACTGTGAGCAAGATGAGTAATCTCAGTTGTTCCCTACAGATCACATTCACGTGTCCCATCATATACACAGTCGTATGCAAAGGTCTGGGCACCCCTGGTCAAATGACCAGTTTTGTTTGTTTGAAATAAGTTAACATATCGTCTACAAAGAAGACACTTCTGCACAATTACTACACAATTACTGTTTATTTGCTGAATTTAATGTAAAACATAAAATGCAGTCTGTAAAAAATAATGGCACATTTACTTTGTTTTATTTTTTCCAATTTGTTAAGCAAATAAACAGAAATTGGGCACTAAAATTTACATACAGCTGTCATATTTATGTTTGCTTAAGGAAATCTACTGATTTTTCAAGATTTCCGCTTAAATTCAGTCATTGAGATTTTGATGTTCTGATGTGAAATGGTAGATTGTGGAGAAACTTGACTAAAATGTCTTTACGGTGGTTGGTAGGATAGGATAGGAACCAGGGGTCACAATGTTTACAATGCAAATGAAGACATTTAGAATGACAAGTGAACCTCCATGTGTCTTTTGAGTTTTTATATGTACTATTGACAACGATAAAGTGGTAACTAAAAAAAAAAAATTATTTGAGGACTACCTTGCCTTAGAACGCCAGGCATGTACCTCTTAGCTATGAATACATTTTAAAAATAAAAATTCTGCTAATGCCCCATCACAAAACTATCATAAAACAATGTCTCGGTCATCATCATTAATAATTATAACTGTAATAACTTTGTGATACAGCTTTTGAATGCATTAAATTCTTACACGTTTCTCTCGAACGAAGCATCACTTCAAACCACTCCGAGTGACTTTGTTTACATCTTAATGATTTAATTATGAATTCAACCTGAGGTGTTCAAATTTTTGCATAAGACTGCATTGACTATATATGTCAAAATCATATGCCTCCTCCTGATGACCGTGTTATACAGAAATATCAACTAAGCACAAGTTTACAGACGCTATACTGTTTAGTAGTTAATGTAATTAATTTACTACATATTGCAGTGTCATTTTGCCATACTTGTCCATTTTGTGCAGGCCTAAACCAAAACACTGTGACAAGAGGCAGCATCTTTTATCAGCTGCAGCATGTTTCCACTAGAGAGTAAACTGCAGCATTCTCCTTCCAAACTTTCTTATCTTCTCAAACATACAGCCAGAGTGTGAAGCTCATTATTAAAGACACATACACAGTTGAGTTAATGCATGCAAGGTTAATTACTGGTCACTCACAAGTGTGCCTTGCAACTTGCCCAATCTTCCATTTCGCTCAGCATGAAATTTGATTATTGTAGATTAGTGGGAAAACCTCCAGAGCTACCTGACTGCGCGCCTTTCCAAATGGATCCAAAACTACAAACTCCTGTCCTGCCGCTGACTATCATCTCTTAGTCTGTACCAACAAACAGAAATGCGGCTGACAACTGCAGCACCAAATTCAATCAAAATAAACAGCTGAACGTTTACGGTTCTGGGTTATTCATTACGAAATGCTTACTTACTGACGTCAGATTGTGGGATGCGGTATGCAATGGCATGAGAAGTCATTTCATTACACAATGAAACAATTTATACAATGCTATTCTGGGGCATCTTTCATTAGGCTGCCATGGTCCAATATTAATTCAAAATGTGAGGCCAATTTGAAGCAGAGCTCATTCACTCTGTCCTTTTGAGCTGGTTTCCTGGACCCAGTTTAAGCTTACTGATGCATGGTGTCAACACAAGTGGATAATACCATAACCTTTAATTTAATGATACTTGAAAGAATTCAAAATTCTTATTTTGTGTCTTATTTTTTTATTTTTTATTTAGCCTAAATCATGAAGCAGTCTGATTAATTCAAAATTAAGAATCTAGAACTGCACCTTACAGTTTTGACAGTAATCTTTAATGCAACAACGTAATCTCATTTGAAGAAAAGAGGCTTTTACCTAGCTGGAAAGCAGGTTACTTATTTTTTTTTTTTAATATCACACACATACACACACACACACACACACAAAAACAAAAATTAAAAAAAACAAAAAAACAACAAAAAAAAAACACTTCTTTTCAAGGAGGACATTGAATCAGTATCGGTTCCCTGTGCTCTTTGTTCAGTGACCACATTCGCTGCCCAAGGCCTTCACCCGGCTGCATACAGTGTCTGTAACCTTCTCCACCTCACGGCACTGTTCCTCAGCCCAGAGGGCAGCTCAGCGTGTACACTTTTAATGCAGTTAGAGAGTTTGTGTGCTCATGTGAGGCTTATTAGGCTTTAGGACACCGTGGTGGAATGCAGGATAATGGGCAGCATGCTGGCAAGCAGTGAAACCTCTCTCTCTCTCTCTCTCTCGCTCTCTCTCTCTTACACACACACAAACCCACAGCCTGTGCAGCTCTGAAAACATGACTGTTAGAACACTCTCTGCACAATCCACTACACAATACTGACACACCTATAGCAACCACAACACAAGCACTGCTTTTATAACTCCTGAGAGGTTAGTTTCAATGCCAAAACAGAGACTACAATAAACACAGATGCGCCTGTAATCAGCTGCATGACAGAGTATCATTACATATGAGAAAGACACTTTAAAAACATATCTAAACGACAGCTAGTCTTTAGACTGCCTTTTGGTTTGTGAGCATAGTTACTAAGTGCAATGGACACACTGAATCCTTAGGGAGCACAAAACATTCAACAAGAAGCAACAGCTAAACAGAACTGGTTCAAATGAACAATACACTCTCACTGCTGCTAATAAAAGAAAAGCTGGGCACAGACTACAAACTTTACACAAACAAGAAATGGTCATGTCAGACCTGAGAAGTAGATACTCACGTAAACTGTCCTGAACGCTCCAGTAAAGAGAGGAGTCTAGGTTCTCGCTGGCCAGCCCTCAGCTCATGCCCCTTCACCGTCTGAACGTAGCAATTAAGGATTCAATGGCACGTGGTGAAGGACAAAAGGAAAAAATAAGGGAGAAAAATTCCCACACACTGTTAAGTTTAACACCTGACTGATCAACAGTGCTCTTCCAGAAAGATTAGACTGGTCTTACAGGGGAATTCCACCGATTTCTCAAAGTTTCGGCATAATTCAATCACTGAGATGTAAACAAAGTTATTCAGAGTGGTTTGATATGAAATGGTTCATTGTAGAGGAACATACAGACTCAGATTTCTTTACAGTAGTGGTGACAGGAACCAGGGGTCATGATGTATGCAACTCTAACATAGCAATTATAATTATTATTCAAAACCTCAGGAAACAAACAAGTGTCTTAGTTTTTTATTGCAATACAGATAATGGTAAAAAAACGTGGTAAATAGAGGGACTATTTAGCTGTTCAACATCCTGCAAATATCACAATTAATGGATTTCAAAATATTTATGTTTTCATTTCAAAGCAGTAGGAAAACTATACCCCTTAAACTCTTCAGAAGTCTGGCTCCTATCAGCCCAGTCTGAACAATTTTGACTACAGAAGTTTCTCCAGTAAGCATTTCACAGCAAACCACTAGGCAGAAATTTTGAAATTCCCCTTTAAAGGAGTGGTTCACCGAAAATTAATTTTTTGCCCCTTAACTTATATCCTGGCAGATCGGCAATGTTTCTTTGTTTGATGGAGTTTGCTTCCTTAGTTTTGCACTAGAGATGCGAGACTAATCTAATAGAAGTCTGTCACCAAAAAGAAGCAAACTTTAGACTCCAAACAGATCTTGGCTGATCGATTACATTTGGATTAAGGGCAGAAACTGTGTAAACAAGATTTTTCACTGAACCCTTCTCTATAGTGTTCATATGAAGAGGGTGCCTTGAATACATGCATACAAAATACAATGTAAACAAAGATTAAACGCCAAAGATCCGTGTGACACTCAACTAGAAAGGTACATAATGATGGCTGATTCACTGGAAGACATGGAAAACAGTTCATTTGAACGTTGACCTGACATGACAGCAAGCAAACTCTTCAGCTGCTTCTGCTGAATTTCCTTTCTTAGCTGCTAAAAGAAAGTAACATCAGTCCGAGAAGGATGGCAGTCAAGATAACAGGAAAGGTTACAGGATGATTTTGGTCTTTTCCACAAAGACCAACTAACACTCATGAAGTCATCTGCCAATTGCACCATCAGTGTCCAGTTATCCACCTCTAGCGTCCACCTCTAAAAGCTCCCTCACATCAAGTTCTTACATGAAACGGTTATGAATACCCAGCCTGATGTCTGAGACACTGATTTACGGTAGTTTCGTGGTACAGTTTTGGTCTAAAAACGTATTTTAAATGATTTTAATCTATTCATGGTGGAGGAATACATGATTTACCACTACATTAGCTACATACATAAAAAACGTATAAGGTAGGTCCACTGGTAATTTTGGATAGTTAATAAAATGGCGGCAAGTTTTTTTTCAAATGAACCATTTAACATCGAACCAAACTGAATGACTTTACTTACATCTCAAACACGGAATTATGCATTTTGAAAAATCGGTGGAATTCCCCTTTAAGTTTTACAGCTACACCAGGGTTAAGCTGACGTGTGGAAAAGACTATCATTTTAAAAGTACACCTTTTATTAACATAGTTACATGAATTTAAACGCATGTCAAATATGCAAGAAAAACAGCCAGTGAGGCTTCCTATAACACAATAGAGGACAGGCTATGAGTTAAAGTTACCTGAAACAGTTAAAAGCTGCACGTTTGACCCGGTGGTATCAGGCTGTCGAACTGGGTTAGTTTATCTAACCTTAACTAGCTAACTTGCTAGCTTCGCTAGCTGACAAAGATACTCAAAGCTAACTAGCTTGTAGCCACTGTCTTACAAATGCAGAGAGCCGCAGCGTTAGCAGCTTTAGCTAAATTCAAGTATAGAATGAGCAACTTCCAAAGGATACTGACAGGCATTTCTCCTCACAGAGTCCGAGAGAAGGATCCATAGTTTAGGTAGCCGGTTAGCTTTTCGCCATATAACTTACTCCACGCTAGCTACACGATCAGGCTGAGTATGTGGCGAAATATTTCTCCAAATGTTTTCTCCTTCCGTCCAGTCCAGTCCAGTCCCCACCTAGGAATGTTCACCCGTGTCGGCCTTCTGCTGTGGATACCGGCTCAGTGAGAAGCTTTAGGAGGGAGCTAGTTAGCCAGCTAACTGGAAAACCAGTCTCTAAGGTAACCTGACCCGAGAAGAGTCCTTCATTTCTCAAAGGTCATCGATAAAACGCACTTTTGTTAATTTCGTCGTTAACGGCGAGTCTGTACACGGACCGGCTGAGAACAGAGAGCGGCAAGAAGTCCGAACAGCCCGACAAGAAAATGCCAGACGGAGAGCGAGAGAGCCCCGCTCCGCTCGGGAGTAACGTTAGGAGGAAGCAGAACTCACTCAGTCTCTCACGATTTACGAGCAGCACTGTCGATGACAACCTTCCACTTGACAGTTAACGGCTGTTTTCAGGCACGTTTCACTGCCTGGCTATCCGTGTCGCCAGCCTGCGAGCTGACGACAATGTAGCTACACGTTTAGCGTTAAATGTTAGCTAGCATTATCCAGACAGCTCCACATCAGCGTGAGAAAACAGCAGGGCCTTGCGGGAACAGTGTCAGGAATATAGAAACTGCGCAGAATTTGCGCATATTCACTTAACATATTCTCGTTTGACTGTTAAGTCCTATTAGATTTACTCTGTCGGAGCGCTTTTAATAATCACTTTGTGTACTCTTAAACTATATTATAATATGTAATCTAAGCTCTGTCTCTATCTATCTATAGAAAAAAATGGATGTGACTGCGTTGTCATATGTTATCTTTTCTGTCTTTTTCCTTGCTGAATAAAAATATATTAACAAAGCTTTACCCTTCAATGGAACTATGGAGCCCAAAGCCTGAAAAACAGCACCACACCATTCCCCCTCCTCTACCAAACTTTACTGTTGGCACTATGCATTCTGGTAGGTTGTGTTCTCCAGGAATCCACCTAACCCAGATTTATCCATCAGACTGTCAGATAGTGATGCGTGATTCATCACTCCAGAGAACACATTTCCACTGCCCCAGTGTCCAGTGCCAGCGTGCTTTACACTACTCTAACCAACACATTGTGTATGGTGATCTTAGGCTTGCGTGCAGCTGCTCAGCCATAGAAACCAATTTCATGAAGCTGTCGATTCACGGGTCTTGTGCTGATGTTGCTTCAAGAGGCAGTTGGAAATTTGTAGTGAGTGATCCGACAGAGGAAAGGCGATTTTGTGCCTGCTATGTACTTTAGCGCTCGGCAGCCCCGCTCTGTGAGTTTGTGTGGTCTACCGCTTTGTGTCTGAGCTGTTGCTGCTGCTAGATGCTTCCTTTTTACAATAATAGCACTTACAGTTGACTTGGGCAGATCTCACTAACTGACTTGTGGCAAAGGTGGCGTCTTATGACAGTGCCACATTTAAAGTCACTGAGCTCTTCTGTGCGAGCCATTCTACTGGCAGTGTTTGTTTATGGAGAGTTAATGGCGATGAGTCTGATTTTATATACCTGTTAGCAATGGGTGTGGCTGAAACAGCAAAACTCAGTAATTAGTAAAGGAGTCCACATACTTTTGGCCATATAGTGTATCTAATATAAAATATATATGCATGCATATTTATGTACACAACCGTATATAATAGAAGTTAAAGGCAGTGTTAAATAGGAATCTATTGTAATTGAGATTCACTATTGAACCCTTTGCTCTGCAGTTGCCTCCAGACTTAGTGCAGTCTGTGTTACTCATGGAGACGCCTCCCTCTGCTGGCCATCATGTTTAACCCTCGGAGAGCTAAGCACTGAGCTTGTTGTTTGCATTTTTCCCCACTTTAAACTGTTTTTAGGAAGCCACTGACCATAAAATGCAACCATGAGTTTAAATTTTTTTCTTATTGTGGTTTCAACAAATTGTATTTCTTTTTATTTGTAACAGACAAAGGTGTTATGTATATGGCATTTAGGGATGTTATGATATTTAACATAAACAGTAAATGTGTTTGGTGTTTTCAGCTGTAGAATGAATTTATGTGCTATAAATATAAGAGGGAAAGCTGGAAAGCTGCACAAAAACATGCAGTTTAATGTATTCCTCTCCCCCAAACACCTGATCCAGCTTATAAAGGGGTTGATAATTAGCTGATGAGCTGGATCAGGTGTGCTGGGGTAGGGAGTCGTTGACAATGTGAGGGGCAGGGGGTCCTCAAGACCAAAGCCGGACCCATTGATAATAGGGAATTTTCCCATTTCCCAAAGAATTTTTCCACCACATAAAGTGCTCTAAAACAGTTTAGAGTGTGGACTGCTGGGAAATGTAGGTTTAGTGACATTTGTTGTGAAGTAGTCGTAAATAAAGCGTTTTAAAGGGCCCATGTTCTGTTATTGTTGTTTTATTATTGTCATTGCTGTATTGTTGATTGTTTCCCTGAGGTTCACTTTTGACCTTTGTGTGGTTTTATGTGCGGTTATTTTCAACTTCTGTTTATCCCTTAAAAGTGTTTTTATCACTGTGCCTTTAAGACATGTATATATATGTATATATATATATATATATATATATATATATATATATAAACACTCCTTATAACTTTAGTATGAATGGGCAGAACTAACTGCTGTAGGCTAAACAGGTGGATGACATCACAAAGCACAATGAATTCTGTACTGTGTAGACTGGGGACTGAATGGTACTTTTTGTAAATAAAACAGCATATGTACTACGTTACAAACTCTTTTAATTAAAAAATGGGGACAATTCAGTTTTCCATGGTATGAGTCCTTTAAACAGTTGTTGCAACTTTGCAAAAGAGGGTCTTTGCCACATGCAAACCAAATAGTCGCCATAGCATAGGTTTTTAGAATAGGCAGATTAATCAGGCTACATGTAAAACACAGAGCACAAACATCAATCAAATGGATATTCCAGCCTAAACTAGCATTTAATATGATATTTCTCATGTTAATACAGTATTCTGTAGTGTTGCATTGTGTTCCTTTGCCTCAGTGATTTGACAGAATTCACTACTTTTGTACTTTTTTCTTTCGTCCCTCAATGTTCTCTCACTACAGTACCCAGCATGCATCACGCAAATACACTTCACACACTGCAACAAAGAAATTCTGACTGCTAGCATAGCCACTGCAGTAGAGACTAAAACACACTGATGTGTGCTTTGCTCATTAACAGTAACATTAGCTGTATGGCTTTCCTTTGCATCAGCCAGCTAACAGAAAAAACATTTCAAGTATCTTCAAGTATCTGCCCCAAAGCAGGTGCAAGTTCCTCCCACCTTCAAATACATCGTCAGAAGGGAGATTTTCCTAGTTTTTAAACCAGAAAATCTCACATTATAAAGTACTGTGGCACCACTGTAGAAGGAGAGCAGATGTAGTTCAGATGTTTTCAACAGATGTAGTAATGCTTACATTTTTCATTTTGACCACAGTACCTCTTTAAGTTATTAAAAAAAAAACAGTACAAAACGTTTCACACTATTTATTCCATTTTCACCTTTGATTTACTACCAAAACCTTAGATTAGATCATCTTTCACAAATAAATTTTTATTCCCACTGACCCCCCTCACCCCCAAAACCAAATATGTTCAGTTATGGACATGTAACTACCAGTTGTGATTACATACAAAACTGTAATAAATCTTGTTATGCTTTCATGTGACCTAACCTTTTTATCTGGCTAAGTAATACTAATGGGTGTTAAACTGAATGGATACACTTCAAGGCAACACTAAAAAAATATACACAGCAAACTGATTACTGTTTTCTGATAAAGTCTTTAAATCATGTAGATTTAGCACATGTGAGTGGTAGCATGAGTTGGGATGTAGCCAGTCTTGACACTCAGGCAGATGAAGACTTGGTTTTGTGGATGGCGTAGGGGCTGGAGTTACAGTGTGGCCACAGGTCTCCGTTTGACACCTCTATTTTGTCCCTGTCTTCCTCCCTCTTCTCCTCCATCACCACCGTCATGACCATCTCTGGACTGAGCATGTCTGCCGCACGGTAGGAGCGTGTGAGGCGGCGAAAGGCAGAGTCCAGCGAGGCGTCGTCATCATCAAAGTCCTCAATCAGTCCACGCCGTGACCTGCGTGCGGCCTTCAGCTCGTCCTCAAGCTCAGAGACCAGGTCCTTCACATCTCGCACCAGAGTGGACTTCAGGCCAAACAGACACAGCAGGAAGACCAAACCGGCACATATGCCCGAGACAAAGTACAGAGCCACTGTCTCTGGAAGGCCTAAAGGGGCATGGAAAAAAAGAGACAATATTCAAGCATTTCAGTGGCTGATCTTCTCATGGCACTCTTAAAAATGAATGTAGAAAGTAATACAAATAGAAAAAGAACTAAAGGGGTTGTGTGATTTACAAACTGAAAGTGTCTTGACATTAATTTCGAACCCAGTTTAGGCTGAAGTAACAGCCTGGCTCTGTTCTATTGAATGGTAAAGTGTGGCGTAATTAAATTTAGTTTGTGCAATGATTCTGTATTTTTGAGTGATTTGTAAGTTACTATAATTAGTAGAGGGGAGAGGTCTTTGCTGACTGCTGGTGTCAGTAAGTGGTAAAAAAGGAAAAACAACTAAAAAAGTTATTTTATGTATGAAATACATGCTTGGAGGGCAGAGCAGCTAACCTACCCTGAACCTGGGAAAAGATTTCCAAAGTGTTGGTGAAAATGTTTTGTGGCCTGTACACGCCAGGGCCAGTGTACCAGCCACCTGCGGAGGGGGGAGAGCGGAGCAGCCTCAGCAGTCAGCAGGACCATTAACAAACAACTCACTGTACAGCCAGACCTATCTATGTCATAGACTCCTGTTAGTTCTGCTATGTGAAATACAAATTCTTGTAGTGTGTAGGTATATATGCTCCGTGAGCCAACATGGTTTAACAAGGTATAAAAAGACCACACTTATACAGTGGAAACTAGATCATTTACACACATCAGATCACCTTAACATTGTATTTAATAAAGGCATTTGAGGTCCATCATTGCATGGGCTCGTTTTGTTCACACTTTACTCTGTTATTTAAATTTTTATTTGACTCTATGCTTTTTAATATTTTATCTGATGTAGTGACTAAAACATACTGATGTGTTGTTCTGCTTCCTTTGCATCATTTTATATTTAATAGAATTCTGATTACCTCTTATTTTTTACACTTTTGATTAATTTGATCTAATTTTGTTTACCTTTCTTTTATATATTTTGTCATCTTTTTACCTCTTTTTTATGTTTTTTTTTACAATGTATTTAATTTTATTTACTTATTTACTTATTTTATGTTTTTGTGATTTTCATCAAATTTTGTTTACTTTTTTACATTTTATCTAATGTTTGTTTAGCACAAACTGAAATTTTGTAAAGGCTAAACAGAGCCTTATATATTTAAGTCAATGCAAATAAATTGATCGAATGTGTATTACACATTAGATTTTTGTATTAAAACAGATGTTCATTAAACTCCATAATAATGGATACTCTAGGTAAGGATAGAAAAAAATGGCCATATAAATGTCTTAGACTATCTCTATCTCACATTGTATGAAAGAAATCCAATGGACAGTCCATCCATCTACTGCCAAAACGTGAATGCAGCATTGCTGTTACACTGGGGTATAAATATAAGGTAACACAGAAGCCAAATTCCCTTATTCCTTCATCAACACATACACAAAAAAGAATACACAAATGAAATAAGACAAAAAATTGTGTTGAAATTCATTAATTAATGGTCATAAAAAAAGCTACACACCTTAAAATGCTCATATCCATTGTTACTTTTTTTCTAAGTTTAAATAATTGAGTTTAGAACAGCTAGAGCTGTAGTGACCCTGCCTGGAAGAGGATGCAAGCAGCAGGAGATACTGAATAAAAATCTGCCTGCCTTCACCAAAAAGCTAAAACTTGGTCATGGTAGGATTTTTCAGCAGGACATGGCCATGCTGATCGCCTGACCTAAACCCGTTATAACCTGTGCAATGAGCTATGTCCAAAATAGAGGATCTAGGACCCTGGAGTATTTGGAGAGATTATGTGTTGGGGAGTGGTCTCAGAGCCTGTTTACACCTTGCATTAGATTGTGTTTTGTGTCCGGATCATGTATGGATATACTTTGGCTGGTTTCCATTTACATTTTTTCAATAAAACTTTGTCCTCAGTGTGACCAGATGAGATCCAATTACACTTTTCCCTGTTGCAAAATGAGTCAACCAGCTCAGCTTGGACATTTTCGTCAGCCCAGAGTGCGAAAAGACTCCAGTAAACTCAAGCCTCGCACATCTTTCATCTTTTGTTTCCTTGTTTATTTTCTCATCTGCAGAGGCATTACCACTCACTAAACTGTATACAGATAATGAAAACACATTCTGTTTACACTCACATTAAATCCAATCATTGAAGCGCATTTTGGTTCAAGGTGTAAACAGGCCAACAGATACCTTGCTCTGTTTTCCCATTAAGAATTGTAGAAAAAGACTCATTGCTGTTATGTTATGACATGTTATAATTACTGTATAATTAATAATTATGTGGTCTTGTGAATCTTTGAAAAAGACTTTTGTTTTCTTTCACTTAATGTGTTTCAATTAAACATTAGATTTCTCTCATGTTGTTAGTGTTGAATTGACATTTGTATGATCTTTTTTCCATCTTTACCAAGGGATCCAATAACTATGAAGCTGACTGTGTGTGATATTCATCTTTTTGATATATATAGTCATTTTATGTTTACACATTTTTACATCCATGTCTTACCATGTGTGTAGTCTGAGATTAGGAACGGATCTGTGTCTCCGCGTCCTACATCCTCCAGCAGATACCTCGGAACTGAATTTGCAAAAACAGTGCAAAGACATCAACGAGTGGTCAAAGGATCATGTATCCGTACTGCATGGTTGTGGTTACACATTACTTGTTTTTCAGAATTCTGTTCCATCACTCACCACACGTGAATGACACTCGCAGATGTTTCCTGGTGCCGGGGAAGCAGGGGTCACCGAAGTTCTGAACATCAGCCAGCACGGTGCAGTTTGTCCTGCCGTGACACCTCCGGGACACCCTTCTCAGAGCCGACGGAGACAAGCATTCTGACAAAAACATACAGACACACCAGCACTAAGGACAGATAATGTAACAGGTTAGCATTTAAAAAATACTTATTTGTTTGTTTACATGTTTTTTGGAGTGTATCAAGGTCTGGATTTACTTTCTAAACTATTTAGGAATGATTTGCACAGCTGCTCTTAAACCTGGCAGTCAAATAAAGACTCACTGCCCATCTCAGTACTTACTTTAACATAACTCACAACTTGGCCTATTCATTTCCTAAATCCTCATGGCCAATAAAGTCATTCAAAATGGTGTGGTGTTCTAAAGAAATGTACTTAGTCAGGTTTGCTCACAGTGGTGGTGACAGGAAGCCAAAGTTCATGATGTCAACCACACAAATATAGCCACTTTAGTTGCTGTCTAAAATGACGAGTGAGCCTTCACATGTCTTCTGAGTTATCATATGTAATGTTGATGATAGTGAAATAGTCATAAATCTAAAAAAATAAGCTTACTTTAGGTACCATCTTGCGTTATAACACCCTGCATTAACTCCACCATGAATGGATGTTAAAACATACATCTGAGGTAGAAAGTTTGTCACAAAACTCTCCCAAAACAGTGACATCAGGCAGCATATTCATAACCTTTTCATGCAACAACGTTCTGTGATGTACTTTTAGAGGCGTTTAACTTTTTGACGTCTGATTCCTATCACCACCACTGTGAATAATTCTGACTTGGTAAAGTTTTTCTAGAACAGAACATTTCATATCAAACCTCTCTACATGGCTACATTTACATGTAAACCATTTAGTTACCAGAACATGTAGAAAATCAGTAGAAAAGCCCTTTCATGGCTGTTCCATTACTTTTATAGCAAAAGTGAAGTTTGTCAGATAAACCCTTAGAGGGGCGAGGTTTTGAGTAAACACTAGTGTCCCAGAAATCATTGCAAAAGACGAGATTCCCCTACAAATGCCAAAATATAATGGACAAAGCTGTTTACCATAGTAATAAAATGTAACATTGGATTTGCCATGTGCACACTGCTATTCAACACTGCTATAGCAAACTGCTCCATCTGTTATACATGACTGCTGATATAACTTATTAAAGGCAATTCTACAATTTGTCAAAATGACTGTGTAATTAAATGGTTAAAATGTAAACAAAGTATTTCAGAGTGGTTTGATTTGAAACGTGCCCTTTTAGAGAAACTTACAGTCAGAATAGTTCACAGTGATAGGGGATAGGATCCAGTGTTTGATGTCTCTGAAATCTCCCCGGAGAAAGTTATTACAGTGAATGTTTGAGAATATGTTGCCTGACGCCTGAAACACTGTTTTAAGATTTTTAAAAACTCATTTATGGTGGACAAGTACATGCATGGTGTTGAAAAGCAAAATAGTCTGCACTAATTTGCTACTATTTTACCTTTATCAACATTACATATAAAGTCAAAAGACACATTTATGTTCACTGGTGGATTTGCATAGTAAATAAAATGGCTATATTTGCAGTAAAGGCATCATGACCCCTGGTTCGACACTCTAAATCACTCTGAATCACTTCATTTACATGTCAATGACTGAATTACGCAGAAATTTTGAAAAATCAGTGGAATCCCCCTTTACTGTTCTCTGCCAACTTACTAGTTAGCAAGCGAAAGGCTACACAGACAGCAAAAACAAAAAGGCAGTACACCGCGGTTGTAAAACAAGGCTTACAGTCAGACAATGAAATATTCACAAAATTTCAATTACATTCAGAAATAATTCACATTACAACTTTAGCATGGAGGGCTAATTAGCTAGCTCACTGAGGCTAACCTAGCCAAGGGCTAATGTGTTCCAATTTAAACACATTAAACCTCCCTTTTTTCTACTTATTTGTAAAAAATACTAATACAAGTCTAGCAACAGATACTATTTCGTAGTTACTGAGGTAAATCTAATTCATTTGGATAAGTACTACAGACTGAAGAGTCTTTTTCCCAAAAAAGCTTCTCAGCGTTTTTAGTGGTTTGTTGGTTTCTGTTAACTCTTACAATAACTCTTCTAATTTATGAAAACAATTCTCTTTGCAAAATGTGAGTTTTGTGTTAAAGCATATTCTCATGTTAAATGTGAAGTTTGGATGCCTTTTTACATGTTTTTGTTATTCTCACCTTTGTTCAGGTTTACCAGTCCAGCCTGGAGCCATGAATGCTTACAGAATGGCAAATAAGCATTAAGCTAATAAAGATATCAGAAATGGTTGATTCTATATTTTTCTAAGCCATTTGTTCATTACTGTACGCAACAGTTCATTTAATTTGAGTTGTTTTAATTGAGGCCAATAATTTACACAAGCAGCTGTGTTTAATTCAAGTTAACCAAATTAATTCAAGAGTAAGCATGAAAGTTTGAAAAAGTAGAGCACTTCCAGCTCAGTGGAAACCGCTTATAATTATTGGGCTGTCTGAGTTAACCTCACTTGGTGCAGATCACTGAAAATTATAACATATCTATAACTCATAAGTAAAGTTATTTAAGCTTGACAGTAAAGTGACTTAATTTGTTGTGGCAATAATTTTGCATGACTTTTTTTAAGTTAAACTAACGTAAATGTACAATGTAGTACAGACTCTACTGTTATTACAAACTCTGCCCACTAGATGGCACAATTGAGTTATCCTTGTTCCAGACCCATGTCAGGCTTTACGTTGGACCCTTGAGGACATTCATGGTGGTCATGCTCCAGGTGGCCAAACGTTGCCGAGTAGATGGCCAGGACGGTGTCGTTCTTACAGGCCAGTCTCAGCCTCTCGTTCTCACACACCGTCCTCGAGCGATGATGCACTTCAGACAAAGAAAGACACAGCCATCACACACTGGTCTCTTAGCAACAGCATAAGTGAAACTGTTGCGTGCAGGTGTGCTCTAACCTGGACGGCATTTGTAGGAGACGATGATGTACTTGCTGGTTTCAGGGCAGGGATCCTGACCAAACACAGCGCTGACCACAGGAATCTCACACGCCCTCCGGTCCTGGCACTCTGCCAAGACTTTCTACTCACACACAGAAACAAAAGAACACACAACAGAGTTCAAGCAGGCAAAAGAGAGAGAAGTTTTTAACCCTTTAAATGACTGGCTTATGATTTAGTTAAGGTAGTAAGCTAAAGGTTCATTATTTGGTAACTACTATGAATGATGTGGAAACTGCTATGAAACTATGTGTTATGTAGTTATGAGAGTGAGGAATTGAAGTCTAGACCTGCTCACTATTATTTAGTAACATTCTTAGTTACTACTACTACAACTAGTTTCCAAAACCTCTGGATTTTGGAAACGTTTTTGTCCAGTTTGCATGACTTTGAAAGCCAGCTAGATGGTGTAGCCATCTCAGGCCTTGTTGTCGAAAAAAAAAAAAAGTTTGATCCTTAGTGATGCCACAGCCATCCGTTGCGTGGTGTCTGATGTGGGGTCTGGCTTTGCATGACGCCTTGCATGACTCTGTTCTGTCACAGGGACAAGTTTTGTAATATTTAATTTTGTTTTTTGGTGATGTTTTTTCCTGCCTTTGCTGTCATTGTACTTCCCAGAGCCTGGGTTGTGAGGAATGTGCTGGATGGGATCTGATCAAACAAACAGTAAATTTTCTTTGCACATTTGCAGTGGTTGGTGACTGTATAAAGTTGATTTTTTTCTGGTATGCCAATGCTTTTTTGTGGGAGGGGGTGTGACAACCCTCTGGGCCATCTGGTTTGTTGTGCTGTAGGTTTATTGCAGGTGCAATTGGGAGGCAGAGCATGGACCTGAGTTGCTAGTGGGACATGCCAGTGCAAACAATTTTTTAAATAACTTAATGTGGAAAACTGGTTTATTGCAAACCATTTTTTAAAAACTTAATGTGAACAATAAAGACAGGTTTTTGCTACAAAATTTCACTCCTTTTGTTTGTTACGAACTGGTTAAAAACCAGTCTGTAAACTTGAGCTTGGTAATAGTGTGTGATAGAGGATACTTAACTACTAGGTGCGATTATCAATGACTAAAATTGAGAGAAAATGCGAGTTCACATTAGTGATTTACAATTTAATTGTGTTACAGAAGTAGGCAAATGTAGCTTGGGAGTCTTGCCCAAGGATTCTTCTTGGTGTAGTGTGGTGTGTTTGTCTGGTAATCAAGGGTAGTGGTAATAGTCGCTATGCTACACTAACCATGCAAAGAGCTCTCTATTTGTTTGAAGTTGAGCAAAAGTTGGGCAAAGAAAGCAGAAAGGAGAGGAGAATCCATTCTGTGAGCACCAGCTAACAGCACCAAATAACACTGCATTACCAGATACAGTGAAATGGGGGTGGCTTAGTGAGGTAAGGCTAGTTGGCATTAACACAAAGTCCAGGCAGGAAAGTCTGTTGGCCAGCTTGACAACGCCCCCGGGCAGTTATTTCCACTTATACAATAGCAGACTCCTGTCTCTTTGACTGGAGAGGGACCATAAACCTCAAACTGAAAGCCACAGTAGTGTTTCAATGACATATTTATCTCTAGTAAAATCTTGGCTCATCATTTGGCTCAAATAATGTGCAAAAATGTGTTTCTTTGGGTTGCTTTGGTTATTGTGCATGCACAGATCTTCACAAGAGGGAAGGCCTTTCCTGCAGCAAGCTGATTTGCTCTTTTTATTAAGGGATGGGGCTTTCCCCATAAACACCTTTCCCAAGCTTTCCCATTCATTACTGACCAGTGAACTGTCTCCTCCTCCTTTATAGTGGCTCCGGTTAATGTTAATATTAGCAGTAATGTAGCCCTTTGTTATTTCTGGAAAAGAACTAAACAAAGCATGATGACCACTTTCATCATAAATGTAGGTGCAAGTGTAGGTACAAATTTAGGCCCTTGCAGTTTAAAGGTTAATAATATATTAATAAGTGAAAATGATGGAAAGCCTTTGAAATGAACAGTGGTACAATAGTAGTATTTTATGTTTCAGCAGCACCTGTACCTGAATAGCTATGGAGGACATGCACTCAATGCTTTCCACAGTAGTGTTTGCATTTGTGGTGGGGCATAAGTGCTGACTGGGCACTCGGCGTCCATAGAAAGCAGACAAAACAGCCACCGAGGTCTTGGAGGGGCACCTGATGGTCAGCGTATCCCCCTCGCAGGCGTGAACTGTGTGGTTCCTCAAGATTGTGTAGAGAAAATCTGAGAAACAGAAAAAAAGACGCTTAGACAGTTCGCAAACACCAGCCCTGGACGTCACTGATGCTGATGTAAGCAGTCAGCAAACAAGTTGGGCATTGAAACCCCATTTAATACTGGCAGAGCGCACAAGCATTGTGCACCAGAAGTAATGTGTGCTTAATCTGAAAAGCCATTGTTGGTGATCGCTAAGAATATGACCGTGCTCAAACCAACTCCCTCTCTTATCTAATCTCTTTAGGCGTGGTGTAATAGGTGCTGTATTATACAGTGCACACCTCTTAAGTCTTATCTTATTTCAGAGTAATCGCAATGTGAGTGTAGCATTTCAACTACAAATCCTTTGCAATGTACATTGCAATGTATGTTAATTTCACAGCTTATTTTGATGATTGATATGGAGCTGTAAGAAGCACATAAGATGTCAATGATATATTTGAAATAAGGGATGCATTGAATTGACTTCATTCAAACGTGTACATCATCCACGTCATCCACATGAATAAAACATAATATAGCAACACAGATGTGTCTTTCAGTTCATTTAATTTGGCATGTTGCTGAGAATCAGTTGACAGTTTGGTTCATGACTGTCATCACTTTTTCAGTGATGATCAAATTAGGAATCCTCCTTTCCTTTTTTTCTTGTTTTATCACTTAGCTTAACATGTAATGCTCTGTTCTCACATCCAGGGAAACGTGGGGGAGTGTTTGCTAGAGAAAGAGAGAGACAGAGAAAGAGGGCAGGGTAGGTTGGCCAGTAGTGATGTTCTTTCTGCTTCTCTGCCAGGTCAGGCTGAACGGCTGTCTGACTTGTAGGGCAGAATTATAGACCATCTGATGGGCGGAGCCAGATACACACACAAATACACACATACACACACACACACACAGACAGACAGACAGACAAACACACACACACACACACACACACACATACACACACACACACACACACACAGACACACGTATACACACAGACACACATACACACACAAATGCACATATACATACCCACACTCACACACATACACACACAAATGCACATATACATACACGCACACGTACACACAGACACACATACACACACAAATACACACATACATACACACGCTCACACACATATACACACCCAGACACACACATATACAAACACACACACACACATATTGATATGTACACACACAAACACACACATATGTACACACGCGAACACACACACACAAATGCAGACACACAAACACATACAGCCACACACAAACACACACACATAGATACAAACACACAGAAAGATGCATGTACTGCCACACACACACACACACACACACACACACACACACACAGGCATAAACACAATGAGCTATTCTTAGCTAATAATCACTCTCAAAGCCACTGTGTGTTGTGAGTTAGATACAGAATGACTCAGCCAGACCAGCACAGATTCACTCTCAGAGATCAATGGCTGTTTTTAAACTGCTAATTTACAGTCATATGCAAATGTCTGGATGCCCCTAGTTCAATTGACACGGTTGATTGATTCTTTATGTGAAAATATGAACGTATCTGCTACACATTTTAATTCACAACTTCTGTTTTTTTGTTGAATTTAACTTGTCAGGAAAAAAACATAAAATGTGGCCTGTACAAAAGTTATGATGCACTTTATATAGCTGTTGATCTATGCAATATTTTTGTTCTTCAGTAATGTTCTTGGGATATAATTTGAATGGAAACTGGAAGTGAACTAGATTTGCCTATTTAAAAACATTTGTATGTACTGTGGCAGTTGTACTCGATTTTTTGATATCAGGAAAGCTGCAGTTTTATCTCAGCACAGCTGTCTTTGTCTTTTTTCACCCCTCATTGCTCACTAACAGCTCAATACACAGAGCCAACAGGGTCCTAGTTATTCTGATAACATGGGGAATTGTTTTATTGAATTATATTATTTTAAAACATCCAAGTCGATTTTCAACATTAAATAAAACAGATGACACACCAAAATACGGCAGAACTCACCGTCTCAGCCTGTTCACAGCCAGGAATCTACCGCACCCTGCAAGATTTGGGTTAATAAACTGTAGATAACAGCAGTCCCTTCCTAAATGGTCTGTTCTGAAATCAATGGAGGGACGACCCGGACTCTCGTCTCTTTCAAGCTGACGCTGTCCAGCTGCTTTGCACAGGATGTGTGAAAATTCTCAAAACAAACCCTCTCCTTCGGGAGGTGCCCTCCAAGTGCTACACTCACTTCCCCAGCACAGAATCACAGAAAAAACACACTTACCAGAGAAATCTGGAGCACACAGGGCGTTCTGCAGGTGGAGAACCAGCAGACAGGAGAGAAAGCACCAAGTCCAGGTAGAGAGCCATAGAGGGGACATAGTGAACAATACACATAACGGTGTGGTTTAAATGCTCACTGCCCTGTGACTTCTGACCAGGAGAGGACAGTCAATGATGCCATTGTAACGACTGAAGAACAGGACCTCTTTTCACAAGCACTGCAACAGCTGACCGCCCCTGGATTGACACTTATTTATTTATTTATTTATTTATTTATTTACAATACTGTGCAAATGTCAGAGACACCCTTTCTGTTATTTAGTTAGATATAAGGTACATACATAAGTGAAGTAACTTTCATATTACTTGGATTGTGAGAAGCAGAAAATACAACCAACTTCTAAGACTGAACTAATAAAGCCAAACAATTAGAAATTTTATATTATGTTGTAATATAATATAATATAATATAATATAATATAATATAATATAATATATGTTTTTGGCTTTTCTATGATGCTGAAAGATAATTAGCTTGTACTTAATGGCCATTCTGATTGGAAACTAAATAAATTATGGGTGGGTCTTTATTTATTATATCTTTATTTATTAAACTGGGACATTGTGCATTAATCTAGCCAAAGATAAATTTGCCAGTGTTAACCTTCTGGGGCAGATGTTACAGTCCATAAACAAGTCCAATAAACACAGAGAGTAAAGCACACAAAAAACACAATACGGCAAGGTACAGCAACACAAAACTCTAAATTAAGCATTTTCCATACAATTTCTCATGCAGCCTCACTAATAGCTGCTATTCTGATTTAATCAGAAACAAAAACAGTGCTGAAATAATAAAAATTACTTGTTGACTGTGACTATTTTATTTCCTTTGCATGTGATAAGGTGCTGGCCCCTGTTTACAGAGATAAAGAGAAGATTTTCCAAGCAGCTGTCCTGGTCGCTGGATAGCCTGCAGGCAGCAGATAAGTGCTTCCTCTAGTTGTGATGGAAGATGGAGGTCAGTGGTAAGGCACAAGCTGTGTTCTCGGAACGTTTTTTTTCTGCCAGCTCTTTAAATTCCTTTCGGTTTCTACTGATCTCTCCCTGCAGAAAAGAGATCTGCAACTGATAATGAATTGTGAAATATCTGAGGTCTGCGGGGCTTTCTTACTGAGCCATCGACCCAATGATATATTACCTACAACCAGCTCTTGTGAAAACTGCATATCTGAGAGAACTTACGCTGCAGACCAAATGTTCGAAACTAACAGTATAACCTGCTGAAAAAAATCAAAGAAACCATTAAAAGCTCCTTGGTTGGTCCCTGGTGGTGTCCAATAATCAGCAATGATATTTTATGTTTTCCTGATGAGTTGATATCACCGTGTAAAGTGGTAGTAGTAGTAGTTAGTAGTAGTAGTGGTGGTAGTAGTAGTACAGTAACAATTATAACAGTAACATTTTAACCCAAACACTCACATTCAAAATTTATTCGGCCATTTAGGTGCAAATAATTATTGGACAGAACAGATCAGGTGTGGATGCAAATCTGCTGAGCTGCAATACTGACATACAATCTCATCTCCAGAAGGATGAATAAAAATGTTGCCTATTCTAGCTTATGATCAATATAGCTAACATGTAATGCTAATGCTTGTTAGCCAGAGAAACTCACATGAATATCATGATGAAAATTTTGGTGAATAATATTTCTACCAAAAAGACTTGAGAGACAAGTATGATGGAAGACAATACTTCAAGTCAAGTCAAGGCAAAGTAAATTTTTATGGTGCTTTGTACAACAGGAATTGTCACAAAGCAGCTTAACAGGAAAAAAGTTCTGTTGAGTCCTCATGAGCAAGCCAACGGCGACAGTGCCAAGGAAAAACTCCCTAAGAGCAAGTAACCTTGACATTTATAGTATTTATGCGACAGAATCTGCTGCACAGTAATGAGCAAACCTGCATGACGTAGCGTCTGAAATCGTTAACTACCATCACAAATACTGTTCCCTATAACAGTGTTCTATATGATGATCCAGATTTTCTAATCTGATTTTCTAAAAAAAAAAATACCTCAGCTTGGATGACTTCACAGCTGACAATAAGCAGAAAAAATGGGTTTGTGCAATTAAGAGGGACAAAGGAATACAGTTTGTCATATGGGGAGGAAATTTCTTTGTGTCAGCATTTCACCACCGCTGACAAGCGTTACCCTGAAGGCAGTTCATGTTTCAAAGTTAAAGCTGTTTCCAGCCACTTTCAGTGTAACAGTTTTCATGTTCCCCTTCAAAACTGTCTGCCTTTGAGAGAGCAAGTGCTCAGCGGTGAGCAGATGTTCCAGTTGTGGAAATAATCTACAATGACGCTAAGGACCATGACCACATGGCACACCCCCTGCCAGTATGTGTGCATGTTTTCCTTTTTGCCAACTAGTTTATTGTTAGCAAATTGTTTTAGCACTTCAAGCTAACATGGCTAGTCTAGCTTTTTGGTTATAGTTATTTTTACATATCCATTGTTTTGTCACTCTGTAGAAGTTAGCTGATGTTATTGTACTCCAATAGCTGTGAAGGAATTCTTCCACAAAGAATGCATATTATTTGTTCAGCTTGGACTCCTACACTGTGGTGTGTTTGGTGTTCTCCAACAATTTTGGACACATCCTTGAATTTCAATTATGGCAATTATGACAGTAAAGTGATGAAGTGACTGATCTTTCCAAGGTGAGCTGAAGTGATACGAACACAAATATTTCTGAAGTTAATAATTGTCTGCAAGGCAATAGCAGACTTAGTTTTTTGCTTTTTTTTTTGTGTGTGAAAAGGGCCTATTAGGTCTGTCACAAAAATGACATTTTCTCTGACCATTAATTGTCATATAAATAATTGCAATTAATGATTTAATTTCTTTTTCTTGTTCATTCAGTGCATCTATTAAAGTACAAGCCCAAAGTGGCCAAAGTGGCTTATTGGCCATCTTGTTCCTAGTTTAGCTGGTACTGTTGAATTGGCACTCGTCTTAGTTTAAATGTGAATTTAGGCAAAAGGTTATATATTTTCTTGTGACTGAAAATAATGGCAAAAAACCCCATCATTCTTTTTTGTTTTCAAAAGTTCCATTATTCTTCTGAATGAGTGCTTTCTTTTGTTGCATTACATATTACTTATTATGTTACGTTACACAACCCTTTACACTCATTCAAATTCACATTTGCACACAATTTCACAGGCTGATAGTACACCTCTTAAAGTTATTGTGAAATCTAGTGTGGAAAACGATAATTACAATCATCTCAAATTATTGTGATAATGTGATTATGTAATAATTGTGATAGATCAAGGGCCTGTACCACTATCTCATATGGAACCGAGTGATGAGCAAATCCGTGTACTATTAGCCTGTGAAATCATGTACTTGATTCCTGACCTGTGTTCCCTATAATTCAATATAGTGTTTCTGATTTCTCAGTGTAAGAAATTGTGTTTAGAGACCATTTTAAATACAGAGTAGGAGTTTTATAGAATGAAACACAGTGTAAGAGACTTTAAAATATTTACCACATAATACATTAAGAATTACTGCAAAACAGTGGAATATTTTGAAAAAAAAAAAAACTTCCTTCTGTGTTGTGTTGGATATTGACATTTCAAAAATGGCGGCTCATATATCTGGCGTGTTTGTGCAGGCTGGAGAACAGGGCAGTGTGTGTGATTGTTAAGTTTCTGAGTGGCCCAACACACTGCTTCATCAGCACGGCATCCGTAATCACACACTTCCTCCCCCGAAATGAAGGATTGGAGCAGTAAAAAGGAAAAGCTGCTCCCACTCAGCATGGCTCCAGTTACTGTGAGGAACGCTCATGAATTAAACTGCTCTGGGCTGTGCTCAAGTCATGCAGCAGCGGGCAGTGCATCAGTGTTGACCTCTGTTGTGTTTGTCTAATGTTGACTGTGCTGACAGCAGTGGAGGGGCTGGACCAAAGAGCTCTTCCTCACATCCTTAGATTGGTATCTTCATGGCAACTCCTCACATTCCATGAAATGTTTGGAAAACAAATCAAAGCAATATGGCTTTTATGAAGGCTTACTGCTTTCATTTGAGGCCAACACAGTACAGGTATGATAAATCACTCCAGTGTTAAGTTTAATGATATTATTTATTATCAGTAATAATTATAACAAAGAATAAACAAGCATGAAGTTGATTAGCAGCAGGTCATGGCTGCCAAGAAACATTATAGTCAAACTGCATCAGGTTTTTAATAACTTGGCACAACAGAATCTTATTGTTGTGTGTAGTCAGATGTCTGTATATGGCCTTTGAATGTGGCTCAGCCAATCAGATTTTAGAAACTGAACTCTTCATTTTATAAAAAGGCATTTTGTCATTCAACCTAAAGATGTACTTCATGTGGTAACAGGCAGTGTTACTGGCTTCATGGTTGGAATCTTCTGTTTCATTTTTAATTTTGTGATTTCTTCTTTTTTTGGCTACTTCCTTTTCTCAGTAATGCCTTCTTGACAGCTACACATCAGACTCATAGCATTGTGATGCCTTCTGGAAGGATGGACAAAAACAACTGGATTTTTTCAGATGCAAGAGTGGGTCTTTATTGATCTCCTCTCTCTCAAAGATGAAAGAAGTTATGTTTACATGATGGTGACAGTATTAGTCTACAAGGTCTTGCATGGTTGTTAGGCATTCCATTTTCTCTGTATCTTTTAATTATTAATTAATTTTTTGAACTCCAGTTTTGGAAGCTCCTGTTTTTTCACTTATTTTTCTTTGACTTTTCCCTTCCTTATGCAAGTGGATCTTACATCTTATATCTTACATCTAATTACCTCATAAATATCTGCAAAATAATGAATAAGTTTTGGTTAATATCCATTTTGACAGGAAATAAAATTAATGAAAGGCAGAGGGTGTTTCATACTTCAAATCTGATGCTGCACATTAGAATTTTTTAAAAACCTACAACCAAATTTATGACGGTATAAAATGAACCTTCCCACAACTATGTTAATTTATCTCTGTGTGAGGTCCAGGACCGCCCATTAGTCACTGTATCACACATCAACAAACAAAGAAAACTTCTGCTTTACTCTTTAAAATGTCTGTTTTTTACTTGTATATACTTGAGTATGTTTACACACTTCTTGACTTTCACTCAAGTACATTCATCCACTTTTGACTAACACATACTTTTACTTAAGTATAATTTTCTGTACTTTTTCCACCCATGCTAGGTTTATTGAAGTCAATAAAAAAAGTGAAGCAAGGCAAAATAACAAAAGCAACACTCATCATCAGTCTAGATTCTCACAAACGCACAAAACAACCATTTTATACACTGTGGGTTTGTTAATATCTGATTATAATGGGAGTTTACAGCAGAGGTTTACAATCAACATGTTTGTGTGTGTGTGTGTAAGTGGAGAGCAAGCTCTGCCCTGGCCTGTTTCCTGTGCTGGCTCCAGCGCAGCCGCACTTCATTTCCAGGATTTGTTAGTCATTTCCATTTCAAGGTTTTATTTTGCAACCTTCCATTTCATACTGGAAATCCCCCCGAGTGAGAATCTCTGTGAGTGGAGAGCAGAACAGAGTCTTTACCACTTTTAAACAGCAGTTCTGTGCCTCTTTTTGTTTCTCTACTGTGTCTGTATCTCTCTTGAAGGGCATTCCTTTCTCTTCTGGGGCGGTGTTTTGGACAGTTCTGAATTCCCCAAACACAGCAGTGAATCCCCTAACAAACTCATCTGCGCTGTTAAAGCAGAAATGAAACTCTTGCCTGTTATGAGCATGATCCCATCATTTGAGTGCTTTTTGTCATCGGTATAAAGTCAGACAGAAATACAGTTTAGTGTCTTCGAGCCTCATTCACCAATATCTTCCTAGGTTTTTCCTTAAATTTGTTCTTGAGAAAGGTTCTAAGATAAAATCTACGTCAGATTCATGACATGTTCTTAAACCACAGAACTGTTCACACTTTTGTGCTCTTGAGTGTGTGTAGATTCTGTTCTTACCTAAGAACAAATCCTAAATAAGGAAAACATTAGTGAATGTCAGAATCTTCATGAAAACCACGTAAGTGGGTTTTAAGAAGAAATTTCTTCTTAAGAAGGGTTGGTAAATGAGGCCCAATGTTCTTCTCTCTTTTCTTTTTTTCTGCTCTCATCTTTGTTGTGCAGCCTGTTTCATCATTGCTAGGATAACCAATCATTTCTATAAGCACTTCTCATTGAAAACCAACAGACGTGTAATTAAAGCAAAGAAACACAATTTGCACAGCTTCCATGGCAACATACAAGTAACATTTGACTTTTGAGTTCTAGTTTAAGTGATGATGTCATGAGCCTTAAACCTCATATGTGACTCAAGCCTTCTGTATCTGTAACTATGGGCTCTGCCTATTTGTTTGAATGAACAGTCTTCCCTAGAGATTGATCGCACACTCACAAGTACCACTCCCCCCTCTCTCCACAGCCCTCCGCATGCTGGACTCACTAACCACCCTGTTCATGACTCACTGCTGTAGCTGATATCACAGTCTGGTGGTTTACAAGAATTTCTCAGACCTTTCTGGAAATCCAAGACAGCCCAGAGAACAGTACAGGGATGAAAATCTGAATTCCAACTGAATTCCTGACAAACGTCTGATACTCCACAGAGAGCCCTGTAAAGAACACTTTACATGCATAAGTTCAAAGACTGCTTTACATGTCTGAGTTTCGAACTGAAATTACAGAACAATGTGTATTTCATCAGCTGTGGGTGTACAGTTACAGCTTACATGATGCATTCAATTACATAGGCCATATTAGTTGTACTAAAGTACCTAAATGAATGACTGATCATCATACATTCTGTTACTCCTCCCTGCTACATACAGCAGTTGCTCATAAGGAATAAACAATGCATCAATGAAACAGCAAAATGAGAAACCATAAAACAAAGAAAAAAAAAAGAAAATATTACATTAGTATGATGGCTTGATTATTTACATGCCTAAAACTTCAACTAGTCATAGTCTGGAATTTAAAAGTAGCACAATGCTAAAATTCACAATTAGTACCATTTAAAATGTGTCTTAAACTTTCACTAAAAATCAATATTACAATATTTCCCCCTTACCCTAGGCATGTCACTCAGCTGTGATAGATTTGGTATTTGAAATTTGCTTCTGTTGTTTTGCCCTGGCGCTACAAGGCTAATGTAGCTAACAAGTAATAGAAGCTTATAGTCACCATTTAGCATCATGCAAACTCAGTGGGGAACCCTCAGGGCCTTCAAGGCCCTCAGTGGAGTCCTAATGACTTCTGTGTAATAAAAATTCAGTTCAGTATTATTTAATATTATCATCATGCTTGTTGCATCTCTGCAAGTACTGTAGTAAATCTTTTATTTCATTGTAAAGGTTGGAAAGTGTTATATCTTCAGGAGCTGAACTGAAGGCCAAACGTGTCAGATTAACTATTTAATCATGTTTTGATTCACAATGAGTGTGATCTATTTTGTGAGAAAATCACTTTAGGCTTTCTTGAAGTCCTGCATACGTCATTGACTGCATTTCAGTGAGATATAAGGAAAGACAAGCAAGTGCAGCTCTCACAGAAAGAGCCACTACAAAACTGCTAAACATAAGGTAAAATATGTTAATGTCTGTTACAAGCTTCAACTGTAGGGATTTCATATAGAACAACTAAAAATGTTCATGTGAATCGTCGTTACCTTAGCGCTAACATACTGCTAGAATCTCATACAAATGCTAGTGGAAAGTTGCATTATAATGAGGTGTGTTGAGTTGGTTTTCCTTGTTTTTGGCATTTATTGTTAGAACTGAAGGCCTAGCTCAAATAGTCAAGGTTTGCCACTTTGCAATCTGCATGCCTTAATTATCACGCTTGCTTTAAAGCATGTGGACTTGTTAAATAATCTCAAATCTCAGAATCTTGGTTATGGGATATGGCTCTCTTGCTATTTTTAAAAATATGCAACCCTACACCAAATTCAGGCTTTAAGATACAGGCTACTGCTGCTTTTAGCTTTGTGATGTACTTTGGACATTCCTGTAGATAGCATGTCCTGCAGTGATAGCCACCACATAAGCAAGTCTGTTTGGGATTACTGATCAACTCAGCATAGTTCAAGGTAATAGTGTGATGATTTAGCTGTACAGTTTGCATGATGCTAGCTGGTAACTATAGGCAGGACTTTGCTATGAACTTCTATTACTTGTTAGCAACGTTAGCTAGTAGCTCCAGTGCAAATCTAAAGAAGCAAACTTCAGGCCCCAAACACATCTAGACTGATCAACTTTTTTGGGGTTAAGGGAGAAATTGTGTAAATCTGATCTTTGGCCGAAATGTAAAAACAGGCAGAAATGTCAAAAGTGCCTTTGAGCCACTTAGCTGTACCAGAAAGGGCCTCACCATCACACAGATGTGGTAGTTCAATTTGTTTTTACATTTGTGCTAATTGCGTTAGGTAAGAAAGGGGGGCATTGTGGCTGAGCATAGTGGGCGCTTTGTGTGGAGAGCCACTGCGCTGAGCACTAAGAGTAACATTACTGAGTGGTCAGCATGAGCAGTCACAGCTCTGTGCGAGGTGTTGATGACTTCAATGAATGGAACGTGAGCCTGCTCCATATGTATAATGACACACTGATGTTTCTCTCTCCATGGAGGAATAATTCAGACGTGTGTGTGATGAAATGCGAGCTATTTTTGAGCACTCCCTCTACTTGGCTCAAGGTTTATATGAGTGGATGCCACGCCCATCCTTTCTAGCCTCCCTCCCCCTTACACTTAAAGTATCAAGCCTGAAGGAGCAGATACCCAAAGAGTCAGCTCAGGCTTCAGCGAGCTCCCACACAAGTACATCACAACTATTTTATTCAGGACTTCTTTTTTTGTGCTTCAGGAGGAGTTTTTCCACTCAGCTTCAGCTCATTTGTGGGATAACTTCTGGATTAACTGGCATCTCACTTACAGAAGAAATGGCCCTGCGACAGAACTCGGATAAAGAACCAATCATTGAGCTCTTCATAAAGGTCAGTAATAATTTTGAGTTGTTTAGGGTTTTTTTTTGGGGTCAATCTATTTGTGTAATAAAGAGAAACTTGCTTTTTGTTTTCCACATTGCAACTAAATAAGGTTTATAACTCCAAACTGATGTAGTTACTTTGTCTCTAATGTATTTACCCTTTTATTACTTGTCTGCAAAATAGTTGTACCTACAAAATCAGTTAAATTTTTGCTTCCACTTTGAAAAGTGGTAATGTCAACTCACACGCTATTGGAAAAAAAAACAGTACTGGCCAGGAATAACCCATAAAAGACTATGTAAAGTTTTTAAGGTACTACATTCATTTTCCTACAAGAAAGGTGCATATTTGTACTTTTTCATGACTTTTTTAAGAAGTGAAAGCAAATTAAAAAAAGCCTGTAGTCAATGCAACGGAACACAACTATGTTCCCTAAGTAATGGTGCTGAAAATGTACCCTTGAGGGGACCACCCCAGTGACCGAGTGAAAGAACGAAGCTCTCCTGACAAGAAAGTGTCATGCATTACTGGCCAAGCAGTACTGAATGAGACTGTGCTTCACGCTGAGCTGAGATTTGTGGGCTTTTATCAGCACTCTCAGTGTGTAAAGGGGCAGAGATCCTCTTTACGGGCAAACCGGGGCTCTGCTTTTCTGTCACCATGTTGTCGTAGTTATGTAAAGCTGTGACTCTTCGTGTAACTGTCCCAAACCCGTCCCCTCTTCCGCTGTCTTTATCATAACACACACACCTCCAGAGTCTTATCATCAAACTCGCACACACAAACGGGGAGAGGGGAGTGCACTGGAGACCCCTGGCCCCTTCCTGAACTGGACACACCCACACGGAGAGCACACACGTATATACATACGCACACGTTCACATATACATCTTAGCAAAAAGGGCTCTTTGTAGTACAGAAAAAACAATTCAATGACTTACACTAACAGAGCCCTTTAAAGAACCACACAACAGTTATTCATCATAGAGGACCATTTAGTCATGCTAAGAGAAATTCAAAATTTTTTTGAGTTGTCACAGTTTACTAATCTCTTGTAGAACTCCCTTTACGAAGGGCCAATATCATGGAAAACAGTTTTTTGAAATAAAAAAGTTTGATGTTATATAAACATTGCGAAAGTTTCAAAACATGCCACGCACTCCCCAGTTCATGAGGTCTATATGTATAAATTATGCTGCGAAAATATAAATTAGAACTAAATTAGAAAACTAGTGTTTTTGTGATGTCACAAATACCAACACATTTACATAGTCCCGCCCACTCATGCTGAAGTTATAAGGAGTGTTTCAACCTAGGCTGTTTTTTTTAATCGAGACACTACACAGGACAGCCAATCAGAACAGATTTCATCTACATATATCAGTCTTAAAGTCACAGTAAAAAAAACAGCCTGTTTAATTTGAAGAAATGAAGAAAAAATTAAGTTTTTTTGGTACATAAAACCACACAAATGTCAAAAGTGGACATAAAAAACCGATTAAACTGCAAGGGCCCAAACTGAAATTCCTCACCCTCATTACAACATAACTTACATTTTAGCTTCACACCCTTAAATGGTTCTTGGGTAGTTCTAGAAACATCCTTAAGTTGGTAAGAGAGCCATTACATTACATCCTTTATTACATTAACATTCGCACCATATAAAAAACATCCATCCATTGAACCATCCATTGGAAGGAAGAACCAAAAGTGGTTCTGCTATGACTTCACAGCAAAGAACCCTTTTTGGTATCTGTATTTTTAATAATGGACCCACTTTCTGACTCTAATTCCCTTGTGTATTATGCTGTCACTGATCTCTAATGTATCGCCACAACAATGGAAAGGCACTTTTTTGATCATGAAACATTCACACAATGTAAAGGGCAGCTAAAAAAACTGAGATACATGGTTTTGATATGACTGCGTTGATTTGCGATTCTTTGATAACAGTGTTCTGAAAAGGCTGCCTGATACTATGAATAATGCCTTTCTGTGTCACTCACTGAGTTTGTTTACTTTGTTATTTTCGGGACAGGTGTGCTTTGACCGGACTGAAGTCATTGTGCATGTGTACTGTCTCTTTCTTCAAGACAATGCCTGCTTTTCCTCTCTTTGGATCAGGCCCTTTAAATAGCCACACCACCCAAACATGCACACATGTCTATTTATGTCCTTTTCTTTAAGGATGGGAGTGGCAGGACAATATGCTGCGGCTTATCACGAGATGATAAATTAGGAATTAGATGAAAGGATTTCTTTCTGTCCTGTGAACTCTGGTCTTATTATTCAGTTATTAAGCTTACAATGTACTACTATACCTTATTCAATATTATTCAATAACTACTATGAAATTAATGTAACTCCTTATTCTTTAGGTCTAAAGGGGTTAACACTGCTGTATGCAAAGCAGTGTTCTGCAAAAAGGGGTTCTGAGTTGGGGGTGCCAAAATTTTTAGCAGCATATACCTGATGTACACAAAGATGTCATGCAAAATGATTTACCAATTAGTTTTCATTTGAATTAGATTGTTGATATGTGTCACAGTAACTGATTGTGTCACACCTGTAGCCAATCTACACTGTGAGATTCAACAGACTGAGTTGGAGATATGATGGTTTAATCAAATTAATGTACTCAAAACATGGTGCATTATAATGTTTTAAAGCAAAAATAAAATTGGGCTATTTCAGGGCACAGAAATAGCCTACAAGTCTGCTAAAACGCAAGCACCTAAACCTGCTTGCGTTTTAGCGACACACCCCTAAACGGCCAACAGCTGGCGAAACATTTCAGCTGGCTGCAGATTTTGATGTGGCCTGCACAAATGTTATTTTATGTTTAATGTTTTTTTTTTTCCAATATGTTAAACTCAAATAAAAACAATTGTGTGCTAAAATTTGCAGAAAAAAACTTCCTGCTTAAGGATCAGGATGGGTTTACTTATTTTCACTTAGAAGATCAACAAAACATGTAATTTAACTGCAGGTATTCACTACATTCAAATTATTTTTACCAGTTGTAGCTGAAGAATTCTGAAATCTGGGGTTACTGTGGCCACCTCAGACCACTTCAGATGCACTGAGGTGGGTCTGCCAGAGCATGATTTTCTGCTCCTCTGCTCTGAGGGCTGGGCCTTTGGCTCATAAGGTTTTCAGTTTGTGCCATTACATAACTTGGAAACTAAGAACTAACCTCATTCCAATTCATGTTTAAGCAGTAAACTGGCTGCAGTGTTAACCATAGACTTCTCTTCCTGTGTTTTACGTCTCCAGGCTGGCCATGATGGAGAGAACGTGGGGAACTGCCCGTTCTGTCAAAGTCTTTTCATGGTGCTGTGGCTGAAAGGAGTCAAATTCACAGTGACCACAGTGGACATGAGGAAGTAAGTGCTGCCAGAAAACTAGAACACTCAGTTACAAAATATGTACTAACCCAATGAAGCAAGATGAATTTTCATTGGTGCACTGAAGAAAGTAATGCATTGTATTTACTTGCTTCAGATATCTATATATGTCAGAACAACAACGGTCCCAAAAAGTATTTGGACATTTGTGCCTTATGTAAAAAATAAGTTCATTGTGTTATGAAACAAATCCACTGACAGAACATTCAAAGACAGACAGTGATTTTCTTTTTCGTAGAGATTTTTTCTAAAGGAGGCTGTTTCTTTGCAAACTTCTGCAGGTTCACATCTAAAATGTCTTTGTACATGATCATCAATGAACACAAGTCCACTGACACCACTGTAAGAACAATAGGCCCAGACTTTGACGTTTTCACCTCCATGCAGTACTCTTAATGCAATCTGGCTGGAATTCTTCTCCAGGCTATCTCCACACAATCTACCATCAGTGTTTCTCATTTGTTAACCCTTTTGTACATTAACCTAAAGAACTCCATTAAAGTTTACCAATGGTTAAATGGTATCCAAAAAGTATCCAAATACATGTTGTGCCCGGGGCCCTGTATGGAGGATCTAGGGCAAACTTTGTTTGCATTAAACAAATAAAATCAGTTCATTCAGGCCATTGCTAATAAGTGAGCCTTCGCTCCTGTCACGGCCAGGCGCTCCCACATCCGTGTGCTTTGCTTAATGAGTAACAAAGACGTTTGAAAGAGCCATTAATCTCCATCTGTCTTGTTCAGAAATAGATGATAGTGAGTGGACTGTGTGATTGTTCAACCCGTCCACACCCTGGAGGACATATATTGACTACTCCAACTTTTGCTGTGTAGGAAGCCTGAGGAGCTGAAAGATTTAGCCCCAGGGACAAACCCTCCTTTCCTCCTATACAATGGGGCCCTGAAAACTGACTTCATTAAGATCGAAGAGTTCCTGGAGACAACCCTCGCCCCACCCAGGTATTGTGAACATACAGTTCATTTACAGTCTTAATCATGACATTCATCATTAAATATGAATATATTATTTCTGTAATAGCTGCATATATCAAGTAAACACACACTAGTTTCATAGTAGTTACTGAACTATTGAGTAAGCCTGAATACTGAAGCCTAGAGTTTTAAGGGGTCAGTGTACTTCATTGCAAACTTTTAAAGGTTCCTTGGCAGCACATCATGTTCTTCATCTCCTGGAAAGCCACAGTTAGCTTTAGACTTAGCACTTAGGAACTGGCTACTCACATGAATCTCACTGTTTCTCTCCCGTCTTCAGATACCCTCACCTCAGTCCACTCAACAAGGAGTCGTTTGATGTGGGTGCTGACATTTTTGCCAAGTTTTCTGCTTTCATCAAGAACAGTCCAAACAACAGCAGTGAGTTATGCTGTGTCTTAATGGTCCAACATCAGTGCTCTATTTAAACCTGCATATGGTTTAAATTTCATATTGGCTTAGAATGCACTGGTGTGAGTGAGAGGGATTATGTTGCCTTATTATATACAATTTGATACTTTTTTCCAGTCAACACAGCCATTATTTAACAGAGAGACTTGCATTCAGCTTAAAAAAATCTGCAGGGATATTTTTCCACACCTCCAAAGTTCAGTCTTAGAAGTTGGTTGCATTTTCTGTTTCTCACGATCCAAAGAATCTGACGTTCAGTGATGTTGAGGTCTCTGGGGTGGGTCTACCAAGTCTTGCATGATTGTTAGCAGTCCAGTTTTTTTCTTATATCTTTTAATAACTTAAAACTCTAGTTTTGGAAACTTCTGTTTTTTTCTTTTATTTTCCTTTGACTTTCTCCTTCCTTATGCAAGCGGATTACCTTATATCCAATCTGCTCAGAAATAAATAACTTGAACTAGATGGTTATCTAGACTGGAAATTAAATGAATGAAATGTGGTCTCTGACATTTGCTTAATATTTATTTGTTAATTTCTTGGCTTCACAGTACAAGAGCAGGCTTTGCTGAGGGAGTTTAAACGTCTGGACATCTATCTGAACACGCCGCTCCCAGAAGAGATTGACCACAACTCCAGAGAAAACATTACTGTCTCTGAGAGAAAGTATCTCGACGGCAACCGCCTGACGCTGGCAGACTGCAACTTGCTGCCCAAACTGCATGTGATCAAGGTGAGACAGACACTTTCATGTCAGTGCCAATAAATAATCACCCACCCTTGTTCCTGTGCACTTTGGTAGCCTATTAAATAAGCTACAACATCTCATATTATTAAAATATGAATTTTTCTTGCTTTTTTAATAAAAAAATAGTTTGCTGTAGTTTGTACTCTTTTCTAAAGTTTCAGAAAGTACCATTTAGGTCCTACAGTTCATGTATGGAAACCCACCCCAATTAAAATGTTTTTGTGATGTCAAGAAAACCAACATACACTATGTGGCCAAAAGTATGTGGACCCTCCTAGTTATTGAGTTCAGGTGTTTCAGCCCCACCCATTGCTAACAGCTGTATAAAATCAAGCACATAGTCATGCAATCTCCATAGACAAATACTGGCAGTAGAATTGGTTGTACTGCAGAGCTCAGTACCTTTAAATGTGGCACTGTCATAAGATTTGGCAAATACCAGGAGAACACTACCTACCAGAATGCATGGTGCCAACAACATAGGTTGGAGGAGGAGAGATTCCGGTCTGGGGCTGTTTTGCAGAGTTTTGGCCTCTTAGTTCCAGTGAAGGGAAGTGTTAATGCTACTGCACACAAAGACATTTCAGATGATCATATGCTTCCAACTTTGTGGTAACAGTTTGGGGAAGTCACTTTCCTGTTCTAGCATGACAGTGCCCCTGTGCACAAAGTGAGCTCCATAAAGACATGGTTTGATGAGTTTGGTGAGAAGGATCTCCAGTGGCCTGCGTGGAGCCCTGACTTCAACTCCACTGAACACTTTTGGGATGAAATTGCAACGTTGATTGTGAGCCAGGCCTTTTTGTCCAACATCAGTACCAGACCTCACAAATGCTCTTTTGACTGAATGGGCTCAAATTCCCACAAACACACTCCAACATTTTGCAGAAAGTGTTCCCAGAAGAGAGGAGGCTGTCATGGTCTCAAAGAGGGGCCAACTACATAGAATCCAAGCTCACAAAGGTGTGATGGTCAGGTGTCCACATACTTTTGGCCATATAGCGTGTATCCACTTTTTCAGCCTACAGCTGATTATCCTCGCCTATTCATGTTGAAGTTTAAAGGAGTGTTTCAGCCCAGACTGCTGTTTGAATGAGACACAGCAATCGGAAGAGAGATCATTTACATCTATCAGTCAAGTAATAGTAACAAAAACAGCCTGTTTAATTGCTAGGGACAAAGAGAGCCTGGAAAATGTTACGTAAAAATGTTTTTGGCACATAAATCCACACAACCGTTATATAACGTTTTATAAAAAGAAAAATGGAGAAAATGAGCCCATTATATTGGTCTATTAAGTACTGGGTGTCTGAAAACTAAAGCTCAGTATAGAATTCTCCAGAATGTATGCTAAAAATGAAACCAAAAGTAAAACCAATGAATTTCTGTCTCTTTTACTTTTCTCTGATTTTGAAGGTTGCAGCCAAAAAGTACTGTCACTTTGACATTCCTGCCCACTTCACTGGAGTACATCGCTACCTGCAGAATGCTTATGAGAGAGAGGAGTTCAGCCAGACGTGCCCCGCTGACATTGAGATTGAGAAAGCCTATCTGAGCGTGGCCAACAGGAGATCATAGTCAGACACCGAATGGGAACATTTCTACAACCTCTATACACGGGACGCGGAGGAGGCCATTCAGATTTATCTCTGTAAATACGTATAAATCAAAGTGTTTAAAAGAATACTCCAGCTTTTTTCAACCGTGTCAGGTCAAATATCATTTCAACATTCCCCAATACTTAACAACAGGACCCAAAACAGAAAAAAAACATTGACTTGAAAAGCACTTACAATAGAAGGCAATGGGCAGCTGCTGAAGAGGGTTTTCTGTTTGTAAAGAAACGTGACCAAATTATTGTCAGTGATAATTGACTGTATGCTACAGATGCAGCAGAAAGGTTGAAAAATGCTGGAGGATTTCTTTAAATGATTGACTCACTGCAGGTTTGTTATGAGACGACTGTAGTGTCGATATGCAGAAATATACTATAGTTAAGTTTTACTATATTCATTGTGCCTATGATCCCAGAGCCCAAGGCATAAAAATTGATAATAAAAAGGGAATCGCTGGATAACCGCCCAGCGTTCCCTCTGCAGTAGGCCACATGTGCAATTAACTGTAGATCAAATGTGATTTGCTTTGTCCATAGTGTATATATGTATTTTAATACACAGGTAACTACTTTTCCTCTAAATGTCTGTGTATATCTATTAAATCATATATTCATACAGCTGTAAGCAAAAGTTTTGGTCTAATGACATGTTTTGTTGATTTTCTAAGTGAAAATAAGTAAACACATCCTCCTCAGAGAACACACTTCTGGACAGTAATAACGCATATATACATACACACACACACACACACACACACACACACATATATATATATATATATATATATATATATATATATATATATATATATATACACATATATACACATATATACACATACACACACACACACACACACACACACATATATATATATATATATATATATATATATACACATATATATATGTATGTGTGTGTGTGTGTGTGTGTGTGTGTTATTTTTCCTGACATGTTCAGCTCAGCAAATAAATAGAAATTGTGCACTAAAATTTGCAGAAAGCTTCATATTTATGTTTGTCCCCTGTAAAGGACGTGTAAAGTTTTTACCTAGAAAACCAACAAAACGTATTTTGACCAAAGCTGTTACACACGACTGGATGTAAACCACAACATGCTTACTGAGCACCCTGACAAAAGCACAAAGCCAACAGTGCCATGTACATGATACAGGTTTCACATACTCAATGGTTGTTTTATAGGAAAGGTTATACTTGGTGCACAAACCAAATACATGCACAGTACCGCTGTTGAAGGAAAAAAGGTCAAACGTGTTTTTGTTTCACATTTTAATGAAAAATAAAGATCATTTCATACTTATCAACTTTTCCAATTCCTCTGCATGTTTATGTTTACAGATTTCTAAACAAAGACTGAAAGAAAAGCAGATGGATCAGATTTTGCTGCAATAGAGGCGTACACAGTGATGGTCTCAGGCATACAACCTAGATCTTTATTTTACAGAGTTCTTCATTTTATTTAAAAGCAAAGTCATGTTGAAGTTACTGTGCTGTGTAAATTTCTATACACATTGTTACAGAGGCTGTTGGATTGGTATTTAATGGAGACGATAAACAATGATGTTTGTACAGAATGGGTGGAGTGGGCTGTTCCTCTGTAATTCCGAAGGGATCAACTCTTAATTTGTTACGCAGTACTTCCAGAAACAGGCTGTCAGGGAAAGACAAATACAGAGCTTTAGTGTTCAGCATTGTATTCGTTCAGTACTGTTTCATTTCTGATGGATCTTAGGACTAATCTGGATATGAGCCTCTAACCCTGATGAGTAATTCTCATTTGGTGCTACTAATGATTATAAACACTTTCTCATGATGTACATTGCCAATACAGATGAGCATGAGTACTGCAATCAGCAGGTGTAATAACACTAATCCTGCAGTTCCTCAGAAAGGTGACTCTCACCTCTCTTGTTGGGTTTGGGTAAGTTCTGCTCCGACCTCAGAAAGCCTTGAGAGCGCAGGTTATCAGCTGCCGCCAGTTTCAACACGGCTGCTTTTAAGTCGTCCACCTAAGAAACGATTCAGATCAATTCAATTCAATTCAATTCAACTCAAGTACAATTCTTTAGGAAATGATGCACAATTTTGAATTATTGTTAAAAATACAGCGACTGGAGGATCAGTAATTTCAAAAAGGTACTTCATGAGGAAACAAGCAGTTTAACTGGTTTTATTCAAGTCAAAGAAATGGAAAATAAGTTCAGATGAATAAAAGGAAAATTTTTCATCGATCAAAATCTCAAAATTAAACCTACAGTGCAATAATAACATCAAGCTATGTTTAGATTTTTATCTTATTAACCTTATCTGAGAATTCACATTTGGCCAAAAAAATGAGCATAAACTTTATTCATTTTGTTAGAATGAAGTATAACAGATTATAACACTTGAACCACCATCTTCAGATCTTGATTTCATGCATTTTTACAACCACAAAGCTTATGATGTTGATGTTACGTCACTGGCAGATCAGTCACTCAAGAGATAAAGAAATATGAGGCAATGCTATCACTTCATTAAGAACAGGTTCTTACCATGTTGTTCATTTTCGCTTGCTGTAGAGTTTCCTTTGTTTCTGAGACATAAAGAAGTAAGCAGGTTTAAATAACCATGAAAGCTGAAGACCACCACCACTGGCAGCCAGTGAAAAACAATTTCAATGCAAACAGTCAGATTTTCTCACCTTTAGGCCAGGAGTCTCTCTCTCTTTCCCTCTGCAGCAGGACAGGAAAGACGGTTTTGACGTCTCTTTGTTCACTCAGGTCATCGCTCTGGCCTTCCTCCACTTCTGCCACCAGTTTCTGAAGGAGGTCTGTTACAGGAAAAAGATCAACATTAATCAGATAATATAAATATAGCTAAAAGCAAATTTCATCGCTGTCAGAAAAACACCTAAATGTCCATTTTGGTAGTTTTTCATCATCGACATATTAAACTGGCTACAAACATCCAAATATTCAAGCTGCCTTTAAACATTTATACAAGCTCTATTTGTTAACATTGACATTATCTATCCAAATCCTATGGAGTTCCATAGACCAACTACTATTTCTATTGGATTTTGACAGAATCTAATATCCATACAATATGTATAAAAACTCAGAAATCTCTGGAAAAGCTCTGGAATCATGCTGTTCCCAGAAAGTTCCTTGGGCAATCAATATATCCTTCAACTGTCTTCGGTATGTCAATAACACAACACAACAAATTCTATTTTGAAGTGTGAAATTCTGAGAGTGTGTTTATCCAAAGACACTACCATCTGTGTTCCTGTGCCTCTTAAGGTTTACATGAACATAAAGTAAAACATTAGATTTTGTCCCTCAGAATGGTCAGTGAGCAGAGAGTGAGCTTACCTTCCTGTGGTGTCAGCACTGTCTCTGGATATAATGGTAAAGCACGAGTTGCGGAAAAGACCACAGCCAAAATGTAGAGCAGTGCCACGGACAGCATGTTGAGAGAATCTAAGGTCACTCCGGTCTTCACTGGCTTGCCCTGGAAGAGGACTTCTGTTTTATATCTTCTCAGGTCATCTATCCTGGACGGATCAATACCACTCCTGTCACCCCATCCCCAGCATAAATGGTTTTGACGTGATGGCACCCTCGTCATAGGCGCAATTCAGGGTGCGCTGACAATTCATAGGGTGCCTATCTCTGCTTACACAGTGAGCCCTAACAAATGTTTGCTCTCCCCCTCCCAGTCAGCCACTGCCCAGCCATCTCCGATTGTTTATGTCCTGTACGGTTATTTAGCGGTATGGGCCATACAGGCTGTTCCACTGGTCACCATTAGGGCCTCAGAGATGCAAAAAAAATGTAATTTAAACAATTTATCATTTACCCCATATGCAGTTGATCACAACATGTTTGATATCTGACATGCTTCTTATTAGGTTAATGTTGCTAACAAACACTGCACCAACCTCACCTGGGTAATACATGCCGAAATCTTCATTTGCTTCAAAAATCTATAGAATGGTTTCATAGACAAGTTTAAAAAAAGGCATTCACAGACCTTCTTTAAACATTTAAGCTAAAACTGGAACTACATTATCATTCGCATAGCGTACCGGTTAGTACTCCTCTTTCAAACTGGACTGCGAGGTCTGTGTTGTTCAACAAAACGTAAACGTTTAAGTAACGTTAACCTGCTTTCGCCTGTTTTATTTTAATTAAGAGCTCCATTCTGGGTTCTGCTATAGCTTTGCCTCCCACACTGTTTGTTCATTTCATTAAACTAAAATTTCAACCCTTTATATATTTTAATTAATGTGAGTGAAACTGATATACTGACAACTTCACACATCAATGCTAAAATTATAGCTGGTCGCCCATATAACGACAGGATGCTAACATTCTTCACTGTCATTTATGTGGTAAACTGGTACTAATTTTCATGAACAAAAGGGGCATTACAGAGTGGTCATTCCAGGGAACTTATAGAGAGGGGAATTACCACTCTGTAATGTCTTCCGGGTTTCTCAAATGCTAGAGGAAGCTCCCAAGCGAGTCCAAAATGAATGAGTTAAGATGGACCATTTGAGCAAAATCATAGTTAATAAATGGTTAAACATATTTATAATATAACAATACCTTCATTTCCTGAACACAGAACAGCATAAAACGCTTTAACACCGCTGTCATATTTTTGAGTGCTTTTGAACTTGAGTTATTGGAGTTTAAAACACCGCCTCATGTACGTTCATGACATCAGTAGCGCGAACAGCTAATGAGCTGCTCCGCTTGCCAACCAATCAGCAGTCAGTAGCACTAATGCTAGCGTCCTGATGCCCAAAACCTGTTTGTTATAGAAAAAAGGACAGACATGTAAGGTTTCCCTGCTTTTCTACTGTAATACATCCATCTACTTTCTAAAATTAAAGGAAAGTTCTGGGCAAGTGATTGAAAACTATTTTAACTTTTCACTCCATTAATCCCCATTTATTGAGGACTTGTTCGTGGGCGCCCTCTGGCGTTTTGCAGTCATGTTTTCGATATGACGGGGGAAATAGGAATTTCTTGGCTGAAACAAGGACGTGGATTTGAGGTAAGCATGTTAGGTGTTACTTTTATCTTCGCTGTCCATTTTGTGCTCACTTAGCTGTCATGTCATACACAGCTAATATGCTAGATAAATGTTTCTTTACACAGTTTGACTGTAGAAATACATAAACATCTTTATTTGTTAAAGTGCTGGAATTAGCAGCTCCCACTCTTCACAGCAGAGACTCTCCACGAAAACCTGCCGCTTTCCACAAGTTCACCCAGTTCCTGTCATGTGAGGAGTCACCAGTATGTCCGGTCAGTCACTGGTGGGTCCTGCATCCAGCTGACACATTTGTTAATGAATTCAGGTTTAAACATATACAGTTGAGGATCATTTGTGCTGAAAATGTGGTCATCAAATTCGTAATCAGAAATTATTTCGATTTTCTGAGTATAATAGCTTCTCTGCCAGGTTACCTTTGTGTTTAGGAATTCACGTAGCCCCTCGTTTGGTCGTCTTTTACCACAAATTGTGCTGAGGTGAAACTGATTTCTGTTACTCACAATGGTGGCCTCACTATTCATCTGGTGGTGTTTTAAACCACATCAAATGAAGATCTGGCGGCATTTTGAGCGAGTTGAGAGACGTTTTTGGGCAAGTATTTACAGAGATGAGACTGATGACAGTCCGATGTTTGTTAGCAGCGTTAACCTAGCATCTCCTGTTGTAAACTAAAGAAGCAAACTTCAGATGCCAAACATGTCTTGGCTGATCGACTGCTTCTTGGGTTAGTGATAAATCGTGTTCATCTGATTCTCGCCGAATTATTCGCTTAAATTACACAGTAATTAAATGTTTTAACAACTAAATATCAAATTTTTCAGTTAGTGTGTCCACGCTTCAGATTTGTTACTACTTTCATTCTTTTTGTGAGACGTGATTTCAGTTTTTCAAAGAAATCTGCAGGGATATTTTTCCACACCTCCAAAGTTCAGTCTTACAAGCTAGTTGCATTTTCTGTTTTTTGTAATCTCAAACACATTCAGTGATGTTGAGGTCTGAACTCTGGGCTGGACAGTCCATTGTTCTGGGAACACAAGCAGCTTCTTTGTTTGATTTGCAAATTTTCTTCTTTTTTTCCTTTTCTCAGTTACAGCCTCTTGACAGCTACATATCCTTTCAGACTCAGAGTTGAGTTGTCTTCTCATAGTGGAAGGATGGACAGAAACACAAGGATTTTTTTTTAATCTGAAGCAAGAGTGGAGCTTGACTTTCTCCTCTCATATATGAAAGTTTTAAATGTTTGAAAATTGTATGAAAGTTTTAAGTTTGAAAAAATGAAAGCTGTTAGGAGTCCTATTTTTTATATATCTTTGAATCATTTTTTTACTTCAGTTTTGGAGGTTTTTGTCACTTATTTGGCTTTGACTTTCCTTTTCCTAATGCAATCTTGTATCCAACCTCCTCAGAAATATCTGCTGAAAAATGAGTAACTTACATACTTAATGCCCGTTTTGACAGTAAATTAAATAAATGAAGCGTGGTCTCTGAATTTTGCACAGTACTGTAGATCTTCAGCAAATGAAATCCTAACGGTTTACTTACTAAAAAGTCACATTTGTCTTGTTTAAGATGTTACAGAAGAACTGGAAGTTCTGAGAATCTTTATGCTAACATGGTTAGTTGAAACATCAAAAAAAGGTTCAGTAGTTTGTTTACTGAAACCAGCAATGCATTAAATTTATAGATTCAAATGTGTGCATCATTTCCACAGTATAAAGTATATTACTTATATACCACTTCAACATAAATACTGTGAAAAATAAACCAAAAGATGTGTTGATGCAATATACAACTGTATTCATGTTGAAATGGTGAACACATTTGAATGTAGTAAATTCAATGCATCACAGTTTTCAGTGAACATATTACTGAACAAAAACAAAAAAACGACTAAATTGTTGATAATTTTGAAGTTACAACTTGCCTCATGCATTTTTAGTTAAATGACCTTTGACTGTCAGTATGTGCACTCAGACACTTCTTACTTCAGTAAAAGAACTGACTATACTGACTTTTCTGCTGTTTTACTAAGCAGACTTTAAGTCACTGTAAGTTAGAAATATGTGCATGTTCAGTTTAGCTCTTTATAAACTCGAATAGAGCATATATTCACTTAAACAGATACACAGAAACCTTACACACTTGGTGACGTTTGTTGCCGGTCACTGCTATTGCTTCTCTGGGCTGTATTTATCAAAGTGAAAGGTGTGTAATACGGCACAGAGAGGCTGGTGTCAGATAAACAACGACGCTGCATGATGATAGATAAGGCTGTCTGCAAGTTTCTGAAATTGCAGCTGAAAGTATCGGACACCACCAATTTCTCTCATGAGTCTGATCTTTGATAAAGCGTAGTGTCAAGCTGAAAAAAAACATCAAATCACTGTTAGAAAGTAAAACCACTAAAGTCAATACTTCAAGATATTTTGTACTACGAAGCCACGCAGGCTTCTGGTACCTGTTGTACCAGGTTAGTTTTTTCCCAGTTATGAGTGGAATATTGAACCTGCAGGTTCATTAGGAGAGAAATCACCTCCTCTTTTTCATTCTTTCTTTTAACATGCGATTCACAGATCTAACTTGATGGTCACTTTGGTGAGAGAAAAACTGGAGCTACAATAGCAGCTGTACAGGTATAGCTTATTATACAGGTTACTTACACAGGTATATGTTAATACATCTTATTATATAGGTTATTAATACAGGTTTAGGTCAGTAAGCCTAATGTGCAGGTTAATTACACAGGTATAGGTTAATATGTCTTTATATTATATAACTTTATTATAAAGGTATAGGTTCTTACAACTTATACAGATGAATTACACAATCATAGGTTAATATAATAGTCTTTTTATACAGGTGTATTACATAGGCATAGATTAATGTGTCTTATTATATAAGTTAATTACATAGGTGTAGGTATGTATGACTTATTATAAAAGTTAATTCAATTTCCAGCATACCATGCCCTCATACTGCCATACGGTATTTGATCCCACAGTTTCTGCCTGCAGTCAGGCTATTAGAATAAAATGACTTGCTAAAGGAAGGATGAGTTATATTGCACCATACTTGTTTAATTGCACTCTCAACAACATACAAAGTTTCATGTTCTTTATGAATACAGATGGACAGAGGTCAGGCTATAAAGTCAGGCATGCCCCTAAATCACTTATCATGAAAGAAAGAAAGAAAGAAAAGGCATTTAGTTAGCTGTCAGCTCCTCACAGAATTAAGCCAGTGTACAGCAGATCAGACAGCATGATATTACACCGTTAATGTCCAAAATGAACAGTAAAACCCTATGTAAAGAATGAATATTATGTATATCTTGAATTTTCAGAGATAGAAAAGACTTCAGTCAAAGCTGTCTGTGATAGTTTCAAAGAAATAAAAGTGTTACTTAAATATACTAAAACTATACTGGCTTTTAAATAGATTTAAAATAAATAAAACTTCATTACTGTAAATTATGGGACAATTATAGAATCATAGAATTTCCATACCATAAAAAAATTATTGATGAAAATCCTTTGACAATATGCTTATACATCACAAAAGCTTTTTAGTGCACTCAGTGTTTCCACTATGAAATACATCTACCACAAAACAATACGTAAAACACATGGAGAAAAATAAGTTACACAAAAGAATGTATGTACTGATTGGCAGGCCAGAAATCATCATTGGTGCATCAAATTTATTTTTCAGATTTTTGTCACTCTTCACTCAAAGTCTGAGGAAGTATGATAGCCATCTGTCCATCATACTAGATTTTAAAAATACTATGTAAATTGTGATAAATAGACTGGCGTTTAAAAGGGACGCAAAGGGAACAAGGTCAGTCTGATATCTAAAACGTATAGCAAACACATCTAAAATGTCAGACAGCAATTTGTATAAAACTACTAGAATGTAAAAGCTTTTCAACATGTATTAAAGACAAGAGGGGACTTTTTTGGTTAATGAGTAAAACTAACTGTCAAATACTGAAACAGCTCAGATTGACTATGCAGATTCTCTCAACATTTCAAAGACATCTTCAAAAAAATACGGTTATGTCAGAAATTATATGTACATAAAGATTTAATAGAACATTAAAGTGGTTAAGAGCACTGATTTTAACAAGAAGTAATAATGTGTTGTAATCTTGTCTGTATCTTGTTCATAATCACCAATAAATGACTTCTGGATTACAGAGTAGAAATAAGAACATGCTGAAGGTAAAGAGGTGTCCTGTGTGTTGTAAACATCACATCTTGTGGCTTGAATTCTGATACTGAGAGGTGCAGGGGGTAGGAAGTGCCTGTTACTCTCATTTAGTAACTGACAACATGCAATTTAGCAGTACTAAAGCATGTAAATCCTACTCCCACACTTTTAATGTATTGTAGTACACTTTGGATGACTTTCAACTCAGACTGATGTAACAGCGTGTTGCTTAATCCAACCTATGACACAAAATAATCAGAAGCGATACTATGTTTTGCTTGAAAACTCATACTGTTTATATTAGTTTTGATTTCCAAGTATGTTCTTATTTCCTATCTGCAGAAAAGTAGCACACTGAGTAAAGGCTGCTTAACACAGGCAACACCTACTGCAAAAAGCTGCACTCTACACCTCCCTGACTTGACTGATCATTGACCACTGATCTCTGTTTGACCCATACAGTGTCCTGTCTTCACTCCCCAGATAAGATAATTGTAGTAATCAGGTGTTTTATAACTAAGCGATTCAGTGTTTTACTCAGGAAACAGTATTGTTCATCTGCAGTGGGCTGGCCTAGAGCTTCTCAAAGCAGATAGAGCAGAGAAGAAAGATGGCATACAGGACCATGAGACCCAGGCCTAACCTGCGGTCCAGTCTCCAGTGGTTTAGATGTACACTTAGAACCTGCAGGACAAAGAAAGAGTAAACACATAACAGGCTATGTGAAACAGTAACTGATAGTTGTGTTCCTCCATAGCTCTTATAAACCATTCTAGACCATTCAAGCACAAAAATTGATTCATGAGATTTTTCTATTACATTTGTCATCTGTAAGTGTTAACAGATTGTATACTACAGATGCAGCAAATAGAGATTAGGCTGAAAAAAACGCTCTTATGCTATCCTTAAACAAGAATCTCACCTATTTTACTAATTTTCTGTATAATTTATTTATTAAGATGTAAACAAAGTCAAAGTCAGGGTGGTTTGATGTGAAATGCACCATTTTGGATTTTGTATGGTAGAGTAAATAAAATGGCTACACTTGCGACTCCTGATTCCTATCAGCAAAGAAGATCTAAAAGTCAGTAAGTTTCTATACAAAGAACCATCTCCCATCACACCACTCTGAATGACACTCCCAATGATTGAATTATGCAGAAATTTGTAAAACTGGTGGAATTCCCTTTTCAAAAAGAAGACAACAGGCATTATTATCTGTACTTACAGTGAGAAAAACTGAAGCAAGCAGTAAAATGACTGAGTACACCAGTCCCCTACTGTTAATGAAGACCTGACAAAGAGAGAAAAATGATCAGAAAATTGAAAACAATTAAGTCATTTTTTGGTAGTCTCTATAAATTATAAATTATAGATTATAAGTCTATAAATTATATTATAAATTATAAGTCTATAAATTATAGACAGATGCTCAGAATGGTAGCAAACTATCTAGTGAAACACTTGATTACCAACAACCTTAAATGGCCCAAATCATGGAAAACTGAATTTTACTCAGTGGTCGATCATTTAGTGTAGTAGCTCACAAATTATGGAATTCTCTACTCAAGTCTATGCAGCATGCCTCCTGTTCTATCCTCATTCAAATCTCTGTTAAAGCCATATTTTTAGTCACTATATTTTCAAGGTTCTATTTGTCTCTGAATATAATGTTTACAAGCGTCTGATGTCTTTTAGTTGTTAATTATGTACCTCCTAATTAATGTGCTCATGTTCTACGATTGTAAATTGCCCTTGGAAAAGGTGCTATATGAATACCAGTGATGATGGTGATGTATGTAAACATTGTTAGTTTTTAAAACATTCCGTTCACTTTCTACTTCACACAGTCCATATATGAAAATTAAGCTGCAAGCCTGTTTTGAATTCACTGTTTGTCACAAACACCAATGCATTTACACATCTCCATCTATTCAGCCTACAGCAGTTTAGCCCCATCCAGTCATGCTAAAATTATAAGAAGTGTTTTAACCTGGACTGTTTTCGAATAAGGTGCAATACACAGCAGCCTTTCAGATCAGAGCTCATTTACATAAACCAGTTTTAAAGGTACAGTAACAGAAACAGTCGGTTTAATTCTGAGGGATAAAGAAAGGTTGGAAAACAGTCATGTAAACATTTACTATGATTGTTTTTGGTACATACAACCACACAAACGAACCTCAAGTGGACCTCAAGGAAAAAAAAGTAAAATACATTAAAAAAATGTTGGATATGGGCCTTTTAAGGTTAGGTGTTGGTTTAGGGTTAGCTTTAATAAAATCTGCTACAGAAAAAATCAGTTCAGTTGCATTTAATAGATCTCCAGTTGAATGTTAGAGAAAGACAAGGTGAGCATCTGCAGTGGACTATAAAACCACTTTCCTTACTCAAATTCAAGAAAGTAAAATGAGAGTCCAGACACAAAAGTAATGAAAGCAGTAGAAACTAACAGTTGACCCGTAATCCACCACTAGCGTGCGCAGAGCCCATGGGAAACCAAGGCCCAAGAGAATGTCAAAGATGTTACTGCCTATTGAGTTAGATACAGCCATGTCTCCCATACCTGCAAAACCACACACACACACACACACACACACACACACACTCACACACACACACAAACAATGCATACCCACCCAGGTTTAGTCATTATGCAAATAAAAAGTCATACAATCAAACTGGTCTACATCTACAGTTTTAACCGGTAAGTGGGGAATTTTTGCACCTTGACGGGCAACTATGAGACTGGCCATGCAGTCTGGGACGCTGGTACCCGCTGCTAAGAATGTGATCCCCATAATAACGTCTGGGATATCCAGTGTGAAACTGATAATGGTGACCTGGAACACAGAACAGAAATTCATAATTTGCCCTAAAATGAATTAAGGAAAAGAAGATCCTGGATCCTGGATATAGTATCATCAGCCAAATATTTTCACCATTTCAAGTGTCGTTTCCATAAAATATTAGTAAAATGAATAGGGGTCAATTAGGGGATGATCCGTACCATCCACACCATGAGGTAGGAGAAGACTGCAATCCAGAGCGTGGAGACCACAAAAGTGACCATGAACCAGCGCTCCCAGCGTGGCAGCACACAGTTGGGCACAGTGCAGTATAGCAGGCAGCTTAAAGGCCACGAGAACAACCACCTCACCCGTTCACTGCACCCTCCTGTGGACACAAGGAAAAATACATTAAAGCAGTTATTAGCTTCACAGAGTAGATGGTTTTACATGCCCAGGGTGCCCTCTACTGGTCAAAGAAGTGGACAACCCAGGGTTCTTGCACTTAAAAATAATGATGCATGGAATTTATTAACTCTGATGTGTACATCCTAATAAATGAATCATATTATGGCCAAAAGCAAGTAAACCCAAAGTCAAAGTCTTATTTTTTTGGTGTTGTAGTGCAAATTCTCTTCCTTTGTCTATTTCCTTTTCTCAGTCATCTCTCAAAGATGAAAGCTTTAATTACTGTTTATGTGATGGTGACAGTTTTGCTGGTCTCCTGGGTCTTGCACAGAGACTCTTTTACAGAGTTGCATTTTCCCTGTATCTTAATTTTGAAAGTTTTTAAAACTCTGTTTTGGAAACAGCTGTTTCTTCCACTTATTTTCCTTTGATTTCCACTTCTTTATGCAAGTGGTATTATCTTATATCTAATCTTCTCAGAAATACCTTCTAAAACATTAATAACTTGTTCTTGCCTGAAACAGCAAAGACAATTCTTCTGTTTTTATTATACACTAAAGACATTTGTGTTTGAGATCAAAAGATGAATTTGAAGTTATACATCAGAATTTCAGTTTTTATTTCCTGACATTTACATCTAGATGTGTTAAACAACTTAGAACATGGGACATTTGCTTCATTTTTCAAAGGAGCAAAAATATTGGAACATTTGACTGACAGGTTTTTCTTGTTGCCCAGGCGTTCCCTATTAGATTGACTGTTTAAACAAGCATTGTACCATTGGTGTACTAACAGCATCAAACTGGTCGACCAATGAAAACAACAGCAGTTGATGACAGAAACATTGTGAAAGCTACAAAGAAAACCCAAAACAACATACATAACAACAAACACCTTCACAAAGCAGGAATGAAGGTATCATGATCCACCGTTGGTAAGAAAGACTTTGAGAGCTGAAACATTGAGGCCATACCACAAGATGAAAAAACTCATCTGCAGAAAGATCTGGAAGGCCATATTAGAATTCACAAAGAAATACAGAGATGAGCCACAAAAGTTCTGAAACAGAGTTGTATGAACTGATCAGACCAAAATTAGCCTCTACCAAATGATTGAAAGGCCAAAGTGTGGAGAAAGAAAGGATCTGCTCATGATCAAACACAAGCATGTCATGGCTTGGGCTTTGAATGGCTGCTTTTCAAATGGACTCACTAATCCTTAATGATAATGTAACTCATGATGGTATGTCTCAGAATCAAACTTCAGAGAGTCCCTGTTTAGCTGCTTCACCTACAATCAGCGAGCTTCTGTCTTTAGTATTCTCAACTAACTAGAGATGCTGCACTGGTCTGCCTCAAGGTGGCAAACTGGTTCACACAGTTCATTCATCACTGTATTCAACCAAATTTTAAGTGTTCTTTAATTTACTTTAAGATTATCTGTTCTTGTATTTTTGCCTAAAAATTGCCTAAAAATTGGATGTTCTGCTACTGTAGTTCCATGTTCTAAGTTGTTTAACACATCTAGATGTATATATCAGGAAATTAAAGCTGAATTTTTGATTTACTGTCTCAAATTCACCTTTTGATCTCAAACCCAAAGTCTTCAGCGTGTTGCAAAAACAAAAGAATTGGCATTTTTAGTGTGGAATACTTAGTTGCATCATGTAATGTAAAATAATTTCTCAGCTCAAACCAGGCAACATACTGTACAGTGATGAAATTTTTGTTTTTTGACATGTATACATCAGTATTTGATAATCAGCTAAACGGTATATATAGATAAATGTTCTTTTTTTTTAGACAGCAAAAGCTTCCTCCTGGCGAACCTCCCATGTAGGTCAAATTTGTGCAGTCTCATTCTAATGGTAGAGGCATTCACTCTGACATTCACAATGGCAAGAGCTACTTATAAATCTTGTGATAAAATTTGGGGTTCTTGAAGATTTCTTTTATTATATTAAGATCTGCTCCTGGGTTAAATTTGCTGGGGCAGCCTCGCTTGGATATGTTAGCAGTAGTTTTACATCTTCTCTATATGTAGATGATTTTCAGAACAGTAGGTTTGATTTCTAATATTTTGAAAACACTTCTCAAACCCATTTCCAGACTCATAGGCATCTACTGCCTTCTTTCTGTAGGCCTCAGAGAGCTATTTGATCAATCATGATGACATCACACACTCCAATAACAAAGAGCAAACCAGACCAGATATCTGAGGTTTATATAAGACAAGTTCCTCCAAGATATTCTCTAATATTGTTGTTATCATTAACACCTGATTGGGCGCACCTAATTTCAATCTGACACATCTGAAGAAATGATATATATATAGGGATGTACTTACTTTTTCCACATAAGGAAATTGCATTTCTGATAATTGCAATTATATAAAGAGTGACGAAAATGTGTCGCTTGTTAAATTATATCACCTTTATCTATTAACACTATTTAAATGGAGACCGGATATCTGTACATCCAAATATGCTGAAAAAGTCTAAACATTTCATGGGTTGTACTTACTTCTTCACATAACTGTATATCTCATTTTACCCACCTCCAACTCTGTTCACCCTTCATCCTCTTTCACATGGAACTATCTTTATCCATGCATTAGGAAAGTTCTGACGATAATCAGCAACCACTATTAGTCTAATCTTTGTGTACACATAGCTAGGGACCACTCAGGTGCAAGCTGCTGCTGAAGGGGCTTTTGCATCAAATCTCATTTATCTCAGTCAATCTGCCTGACAAAAACACAGCACATCCCCCTCATCTGGAAATGTCAGTCTGTCTAGAGGATTATGGTCATCATGTGCAATTAAGCATGAGGACCATTTTTCTAATCAGGTCATCTGAAAAAAGGTCATGGGGCCATGCCTTCAAAAATAACAGACAAAAAGGCTGGTTGAATGCCAGTTCAGAAAATAAATAATATTCAGCCTTCCTATGTGTTTATCAAGCAGACTGTATCTGTGACACGGATAAACATCATAGATTGACTAGCCTGGCACAATGAGAGGACTGAAGGGTTGTCCTTCCTCAACCTCATCATCATCATCTTCCTCTTTGGGCTGGGCGTCTTCTGCATCCGCTCCCCGATCCAGTGCTGACCCCTCGCCCCTCATCCTGGGGTCCTCCAGCGGCTGCGTTTCACTCTCCAAGGCATCTCCGTTCTCCAGCCCCCAGGGCACCCCCTCGAGCCCTGAGTTATCCTGGCCAGGAGTGTCCCCGGCACCACTGCCACTGTCCCCTGAGCTCCGGTTCCTTATCAGCCTCTGCCTCTGTGGGACGAAAGAGAGAATGTCAGGGAAACACAATAGAAAAGGTTGGCGAAAAGGAGGCAGCACATGGAAAGAGGAAATTACCAACTGCTCCTGCAAAGCTAGCTCATTGTAAGTCCAAAGACCAATGCAAAGCAGCACATGAAGAGCTCTCTTAAGGATGACATGCATGAGTTGCAAGAGGCAAACAAACAAGCAAGTCATGTAAGTGCATGTAGATGGAATAAATACATGGAAGAAATAAAATACTGACATTAAATGGCCCATATCACAGATAAACTGTTTTTTGTTGATAAAGAGAGGTTGCTAAATGGTCATGTACAAATGAATTATGTCTGTTTTTTCTTCATAATCCCACATAAATAACATCGGTGGATCTCTTGGAAAAAGTAAAAAATGTAAGATATGAGCCTTTTAAGACTAAAAAAAAAGTTTTTTTTTCACCAAGAAAGGGTGGAATGGCAATTTACACTGGGTTGCCACTTTACACCAACCTTGCATCTACACTGACTATTTTATCATTTACAGATGCACTTTGTAGGTTTACAATTATTGATTGTATCCCATTTGTTGCTGCAGAATCTGTCAGCCACCCTTCACCCCATCTATTCACTAATTATAAGGGGTGTCTACATACTTTTGGACACATAGTGTAGTAGCAGCATAATAGTGGGTGTTGTGCTAGTATTAGTGTAAACTGGCAACACAGTGTATATAGAGTTTTAAAGCAGCTAAACATAGCTAAATGAAGCCTCTCATATCTTTTGGGCAGGTAGATGAAAGCAAATGTTATCTGAAAGCAGTATAGCCACTCTCCTACCATACGCAGTAGTTTTTCAGGAGAGGAGAAAAGACTTGTACTACTACCAGACCTGCTGCAAACAGTCATAATGTCAGTCTGTTCTCAAAACAAAACCAGTGTTAAAGTCTATCGTTGGCTGAGAAATGCAGATGCAGCCGATCCTTCCTGCCAAGTCGGGAGCGTGGCAGGCAAGTGGGCGTTACCTCGGTGATGAGCATGCGTCCGGCCATGCTGAGGCGGGTGCGGGGGGAGAAGTGGGGCGTGATCATGACACGGAGGCTTGCCTCTGAGAAGGAGAACTGGTGAGGGTGCAGACTCATCAGCTCATCCACCATCACCACGGGCGAGTCCTGTTCGCCTGCACACTGACCTGAGGGATGGAGAGTTTCAAGGGCTTTTGTCCTATGTAACCTACAGCACTGTGCAAAAGTCAGGCACCACCTCAAGAAAACTAAATATTATAAATATTTTTCAGTATTTAGTGTGTCCACCTCTTGCATATATTACAGCTTCCATTCTTTACTTTTTTAAAGAAATCTGCAGGGATTTTTTTTCCAAAGTTTAGTCTTAGAAGTCGGTTGCATTTCTCACAGTGGAAGGATGGACAAAAACACAGATTTTTCTTAGATCTGAAGCAAGAGTGGAGCTTGATTTTCTCCTCTCTCCAATACGAAAGCTTTAAGTAGGGTGACAGTTTTGTTGGTCTATACTCTTAAAAATTAATTTCCAAAAAAGGTTCTTTGCAGGATTCCATAGAGGAACCACATTTGGTTTAAAAAAAAAAACAACAACTTTTTTTTTTAAACCAAATGAGAACCATTATTGAAAATGAGATTTGTGAATATGAAGAACCATTATAAAGTTTAAACAACCTCCACAAAATGCAAATGTAGGAAGAACCCTTCAATTGGTGTACATTACGTGAAGGTTCTTTAAACATTTAAATGGTTCTTTACCCTCACAAATCTCTCAAAGATGGATGTTTAGGCAACCAAAGGTGGTTCCTCTATGGCAGGGGTTGGCAACATGCAGCTCTGGAGCCACATGAGTCTCTTTTACTGCCCTGTTGCGGCTCCACAGCAGAACTAGATGTTTTAGGTAAAAATAAAATAATCCTCCTTTGCAGTAAAATAAAGCTTTGCTGATTGTTCTAACACAATTAATTCACCCTGTTGATCACCATAGCAATGCAGACAATCTTGCCTAGCTAGTAGCTAACAAAAAGACAAAGAGAGAGATGTAAGATGAACATGGATAATTTGGAGATGAATGGACTGTATATGCATTTATAAGCACTCAGCTGGTTTCCTGACACATTTAATCTGTAAAGAGAAACTGTGAAACACTAATGATTTTTTTTCGAAAATTCGAACAAGAAACTGGCGAACAAGAAGCTGATTTCAGCTTTGTAAAAAAAACTGAACATTAAGAGACATTGTACAAAAAACTTCTACTTTTGCAGAAAAGTTTTGTGCCGGAAATGCGAGAAAAGTGGCTATTGCTGAGCTGAAGCTTAAAGCAGAGCAAAGCAAGTCTGTGTTTTTATAAGTCTGTGTTTTAGCCTATACTAGTACAACAACGCATACTGAGACATATTTACAGCCAAGATGGTAAAATGGTCATTAAATGTTGTGGCTTCAGAGGTGGTTTGATTTTTGTTGAAAGGACAAAATGACTCTTCTTAACATTTGGGTTGCCGACCCCCGGTCTATGGCATTGCTCAAAGAACTTTCTGTGGCCACCCTTTGTAAGAGTGTACCAGGTCTTGCTTGGTTGTACAGTTTCCTTTTTTCTCTATATCTTCTTTATATCTAACTTCAGTTTTGGAAACTCCTGTTATTTCACTTATTTCCTTATGCAAGCGAGTCATCTTATTTCTAATCTCAGAAACATCTCCTGAAAAATGAATAACTTAATGACCGTTTTGACTGGACAATAAATAAATGAAGGGTTGTCTCTGGCTTTTGCACATTACTGTATTTCCGCAAATATGGTGATGAATAATAACTGCCATGCTTTAGTGACATGTTAATGTAAACATGTAAAACAAACTATCAGTCAATAACACAAAAATAAAAACACAAACACACCCACTCCAATCTACCTTTCTTCATCAGGATCATGGAAGTATCGCAGTGCGCTGTGGCCTCTCCTACTGCTATATCTCTGCGTAAGCTGCTCACCAAACAGGGCTGCCCGGGAATCCCGCACTGCTGCTCCACCCAGCCCCAGATTTGACTATTAAACCTAAAACACACACATAAACAAATGACATGAACCATCGATACTATTATTAGAACAGTGTTTAAAGCATTTTGTTACAAGTAGAGATCACTACGTACTTCATGATAAGGATGTAAACTCCATACATCGATATGAGGACTATCGTCTCCCACCTGTGATAACAAAGTAGTCAGTGGTCATATAACAATATGCTGTTGAAGCATATCTGCTTTATTTCAAAAGCTATTAAAAATCAGCTGTAACATACCAGAGAACTTTCTCATCATAAATGATCTGCAAGTCAAGAATACAGTTGCCTGTAATAAATCAAGCTTAGAATAAAGAAGAATAAGAGATAGCTTTAAAAGCTTTGTACTTAATTTGATGAAGGCTTACCAGAATCAAGGCCAAGACAGAGAATATGTAGTAAACAGAGTCACGGAAGAGAGGCCACCAGGTGAGAGAGATCGTCTGTGAGGAAATGAAAGAGAGACAGGGATGCGAGGATTGCGGATTTCTATTAACCAAAGGTCTTTCCTACTGCGGGGAAAATTGCTGCAAAGGACATATTGTACCTGTCCGGCAAAGATGCCACACACTCCAATGATAACGAGGATATTAAAGACTGCAGAGCCCACTATGGTCCCAACTCCCACATCTCCCTTAGTGATGAATACACCTAAGATAATATTATATCACAATCACACCATAGGAATTCGTTTGTAGAAGATATTTATTACATTTCTCAAGAAAAAACTGTGACTTGGGGATAGGAACGCCACTTTGACCAATCATCACGTGTAACTGCTACACTGACCGATCAAAGAGGTAAAGAGCTCTGGAGCAGAACTTCCTGCTGCCATGAAGGTGGCCCCTGCTACATCCTCACTCAGATGCAGGTTCTACAAACCAGAAAAATGCTTAGGATATAATCATTGCTGCTAAGCCACAAAGACCCCAATAATGGTGAATGCACATTATCAAAGAGCAGCTCTGACCTCACAGATCTTCTCCAGAGATGGCACAAAGTACACATCACAAACAATGGCAAGGGCGTAGAACATGTAAACTGCCTGTGGACATAAAACACAAGACAAGAAAATCATTATCAGGGACAGTGTGGCATATCTATTCTGCTTTACCCTAGTAGTTGGCAATATATCATCTATATCAGTGTAAAAATCCTCTCCAGTTCTGAACTCACTATTAACAGTCTAGACCTGAACCACCCATCTCTGACTATGATACTCACATACTGTGATACTGTTTTAGCAACTTTTTAATAATTTATCTGATAGATCATGGGATATTATGGGAATTATATCCATAACTCATCCATGCCCCAATAGTTACCTGTAAAGAATGAAATTTACTGGGTGCTTTAGATAGTTTTGAAAGAACAGTATAAAAAACATAAAAAGTCTTCTTTCTAGAAAGGTGCTTTCTATCTTGTTAGCATTTACAAGACTATGTAAGGTTCCAAAAAACTATTTAAAAGCAGATTTCTTCCCTGCTGAAAAAAATAACACACTGAATTAGCTTAATTTAAAAGCATACAATTTTTCCACATGAAAAAAAATACAGTACGGCAGCATAATTTTGCCTTTTGGTTTACTTACATCAAAAAATTGTGTTTATGTGATGGAATTAATTCATATTGAAATGATGTACACATCTGAATCAAGTATTATTAATGCACTGTTTTTAGTGTCCAGGAGCATCCCATACTCACACAGAGAACATGCAGCAGCACCGCCCCATGCCTTCTCTGCTCCTTAGTGAAGATGTCCTCAGGAAATTCATTGATTGCTGTGTGTGTGTGTGTGTGTGCAGAAAGAGAAACACATCCATTAGCAGAGAGTAAAGGAGAGAATGAGTTTAGAGTATTGACACAGAGGCAACTGAAAACCTTTTCAACCCCTCCTTGTCCATTAGACACGCCTGCATTAGCCTCCACCATGGCAGCTCATGCAGACATAGAATAACAAATGTTCCATTTTGCAAGGCTTTAGCTACTCTAAATAAGTTCAACATCTTGTGATATTGTGTATTCTAGGGATGCAAATTCAGAATTATTTTGACATTCAAATTCAAATATCAGCATGTTTTGTGAACAGGCATTCGGATCTCTGTAAAAAAAAAAAGTATGAGCTGTTTAAAGTTTTCCTTTAACCCAGTCTATTTGCAACATCAGAAGATCACGGAGGGAGAAAAGGCAGCTAAAGTCCATCTTAATATCTCACTGCTATTAGACAGTTCTTCCTATATTTGTGATTATTGCTGTGTTAGCAGATTGACATCTGCCTAAATCTATGATTTCTTTCTAAGTAGGATAATCTTGCCTTTGGGGGCACACAGTAGACAAATACAAAGTATGTCTTTTGAATAACTTTCTAATACACAGTAAATGATGAATTATTTCACCAGAATTCCCCTCTTCGATCTAAAATAGGCAGTTCTAATCTTGGGTAGTATTTTCATAAGCAGTCCTCTCGCCAATCACAAGGCTGATGTGGGTTGTCCAGCCCACACAGCTTTAAAAGGACAGTTTCCTTACAGTCTTTCTCTGTTGCAAACCAGAAAACCTGAAAACTTTATCAAGAGAAAGCTAACAACCAAGCGAAAGCTAACCCAAGCAAACATAACTGAGCTGACGCTAGCTCATCTGTGTGCTTGTCGTTCATGAATTTGTCCACCCAAACTTTTATCTGTTTAACCCGACACGCCAGCACTTCCTGAATGTCCATCCTTCAGTAAAGCGAATAAGAACCTTAACTTCTTTAGGGGCTCGCCATATAAAAATGGTTTTAAGCGAGCCATGAACACAGCAGGGTCTACAACGGGACCTGCGTATGTAGAGTCCATTTAACGTATTTTTCCCTGCTTTGCTTTTGCTGTTGTGGTCAGTTCAGTTTCACTGGTGTAGCAGTCTGGAAGTGTTGTACTGACGGCTGTCAATAACATGTGCTTATCAGAATATTAGGACCATGTTTCATTTACATCTTTTTTTCCATTCAAATTTCGCTGGATGCTATAACACTAACTTTTGGTATAATACAATTTTTTTATATTTTACACAGTGTTATTTGGGACTTTGTTGTTTCCTTGAAAAACAATGTTAAAGCTCTACTATGTAAGATTTTTGTGAAACTTAAAAGATGTAGCATTACTGCTATAATATGGTGTCCATGCACTTTTGAGTCACCCTGCAAAACCTGAAATAATAATTTAAACTTCAGAGGTGTTGGGACATATTTTGTTGGAGTTTTTCAGACCACATCACACATCCTTATGTGTTAACTTCACCTGCGCAGGCTCAAAAAGAAGGTCTGGCTAAATCAACATTATACTGAAGAAGATATGACGACTGTAGATAATTCCCTTAAATCCTTCATTCATTCATTCAGGGAAGGGGTCTGATACACAACTGATATTACAAAATATTCTTCCGCATATTGTGTGCAAATACATATTTCTGCCAGAGAGGTCTCCAAATCCCCAATAACTTAAAACTTACGTGGTGTAGCTTTAAGTGAATGCCAATTAACTACCACATGTAATTATTCTAATATTTTAACAGGCAATATTACTGATGGATGATCAACACAACCTAAGTAGACAGTGTATTCTAATGAGAGTTAAAGGAATACAATGTTTTTCAGCCTAATCTCTATCGGCTGCATCTGTAGCATATGGTCAATTACTACGAACAATAATTTCAACAAATTTCCCTATATTTAGTAAAATTTCGTAAATGATATACTTAGTAAAATTTCTATTAGTAAGGATGGTTTTAGTTATTTTCTTTTTAGTGTACAGGGAAATTATTGTCGGTGGTTAGACTGAAAACCACTGGAGTATTCCTTTAATGCCATTGTCAGTATAACCTCTAGAACATTTTTTGAGTCAGGCCACAGCATCAGCCCTCATGGAAGCACATTCCTGACAGAGCGGAAAGAACATGTCCGAGCTAAAGGTTTTCACAAGTTTTTACAGCTTTACTATGTAGTTGCCATGGAGACCCCCACTCTGCAAGCCAGAGTTTCTACTGGCCTCAGAGACACTGATGGACATGTTTGGGAGCCACAGGCTTTTAGTAATGTGATGTTGAGATATATGCAAAGATATATGGCATGTGCACAGCGTACACTCATACGCACACAAATTCACTCACTCAAGAAAGGAAACACAAACACACAGAAAACACTGGGGAAGAAATCGACAGTGTTGAGCATGCAATCTAGAAAGAAAACGAACATTAGTGTTTGGTATGTTGATGCAGCACTTGTCTGCTGACTGTGCCCCATTTAACTGTGTGCTGTTAAGAGGCTTTTGTCTCTGGTAACTAAGTGCCAATTGAAATCTCAAGCTTTAGCTGATTTGAAACAGTGCTCAGAGCCCAAAGAGGCAGGCCTGCTTATGTCAGAGCACTGCTATACACTTCACTCACCAACTCTACAGATGCAATCAACATAGAAGCCTGTTCCTTAAGAAAAACACTTCCACTAAAGTTGCCAAGAGGCCAATTTGAAATGTGTAGAACTGTTGCAAACAGAAAATCAGTTCACATATAATTGAACTCTGTACAGAATAGGGGTGGATGACATGGCATAAAACATTCTCTTCCTCCTTTTTTTTCCCATGATACACAATATGTAAGATAAGATGAACAGACAGAATGCCCCAGAAGTGCCACATTTAAAGAGCACTATCAAAAACTATCAACATAGAGTTTAACATAGAGAACATTACATGTACCGCACTGCACTACAACTAATTACCAGGGCTAGTTTCACTTCCTTTTTAATGATAAAGTGTCATTTATTACGATAGAGATAAAACAGCATCAAAGAGCCCAACCCTAGTACCAAAACTTGCTGTGCAAGGGTGTGTAGTAGGTTGCATATTGCAACACATATCTTTACATTGCACATATTAAATAACCAGGTTATCTTGCAGTGCACAAAAGCTGAATGAAGAAAGAAAAAATTACCTTTAATAATGTATGAATTCAATATTTTTAATCAAATTTCTCCAACCCATAAATCATATTACTGGCAGGTTGTCATAATGCTTGGGAAGCTGGGTCTGATATGGAAATATGTCTGATATTGCAATATGCCACTTCAGTGAGTCTCTTTACTGTGGAATATAAAGTAAGTGCAGGAGAAACACAAGGAAAAGCTCTAAAACCAACAACAACTATGCTAGTTTTAAGCTCTTAGCAAATAAAAAATATCGGTGGATAAAGATGTAAACAGTATTTTTTAAACACATACATTAAAATTATTATTAATAAATATTGGTATATGATTAGTAGTAATTAGTATTATTAGTAATAAATAAAAAAATTATTTCACAGGGATGTGTTCTGTCAGGCATTTGAAATAATGTTGCAATTTGAATGCCTTTTGAATGCCTCATTTAACTATAATTTGCTTGCACTGCTCAGCAGATGTCAAGGCTTAAAAAGTTCCACTAAATCTAAATTCTAAAACTAACTAACCATTAGTAAATAACCATCTTCTTATTATTATTCTACTCTTTTTAAACTGGAGTTTTACCTAATTTTTCTCCCCAATCCAGTCATGTCCGATTCCATCTGCTAGTTAGTTCTTCTCCTATCACATGATGCTGCCAAGCTGACAGGGTGAAGGCTACAATGTGCTTCCTTCAAGACACACAAAGGAGTGGCATCTTTTCAAACTGCTGCTAATGCAACGTCACTGGACAACTCAACATGCTTAGAGGACACTAATTGTCAAAAAACTTGCAGTTGTTCGCTGGTGTAGTCAGCACATAGGAGGATGTGCCACCCAGGGGTCCCTTTTTTTATTTTTAGGAAATACTCTAGGGCTGGCGCAATAGGCAGTGTTGAAAAACTGATAAATCTGACAAAATTATCAATAAATATATATATTTTTATTATTTAAAGGAATGTTCAGGGAAAAATCTACCTACTTATCCACTTTCCACAGATGTAGTCCATCATCCAAAAGATGTTTGGAGTTTTTTTGGAAACTTAATTTTTTGCTTCTTTAGTTTACAACTGGAGCAGCAAGGCTAATACTGCTAACAAACACTGGAACTCAATAGTCACCCAAATATCCCAAACTGTTTCTGTAAAAATACATAAAAACTTGCCTCCTTAAACCATATCTGAGTGTTCATTAAGGCCACGTAGGCTTGTCAGTGTGGTTTAGGACACAGTATGACTTACTTTGATTTTACAGTATGAGTTACTTTGAACTATAAATATTAACAAATCTTCACTGCTACAGGCAGCTATTTCAGTCAACAGGAGTAAGAGTGCTGATCTAGAATCAATATTTGTGACAATGACTGACACAAATACAGAGGAATCTGATCCAAGATCAGTCCTGCTTTGTGAATATCAGCCCTGGCGTCTGAAATGACTGCCTGTAGCGGTGAAGTTTATTCATCTTTGTAGCCCTTATGAGTCATACTATGTACTAAACCACACTGGCCAGCCTGTCTGACCCTAATGACCTGGTTGCAGTTTGGAGAGGTTGAGAGAGGTTTTGCGGATGTGACTTTACAGATACGATTTCGGCTGTTTGGGGGACTATTGAGTTCTAGTGTTTGTTAGCAATGTTAGCCTCATAGCTCCAGTTACTTATCATTGCTGTCTCGACAATACCTCATCCCTATCTCTGAAATGGTAACTTTTCAAGAAAAGGAAAAAACATAATTATAAATGGAAGTTGGAAGAAATTAAGAAATAGAATGTTTTGTTCAGACAGCGACAGTATTCAGCATATTTAGGACAGTTTCCATTTGCATCTTTTTATACTGACTCGATATTTTACACACAAAACAAATTAAAAAACAATATAATTAAATAAAATTTAAAAAACAAACCGAGTTTTTAAAATTTACACCATAACTAATGATGTCTTTCACATCAGAGCTCATGGTTGCTTTTGTAGTTATTTAAAAATTATTAAAAATGAATTAAAAATTAAACATTATTAGAGTTCTAAGCTGAAACACACCCGTACATAGTAGAGCTTCAGCTCCCGTGAGTCAGTGAAACTCCTCATGCTGTTTGTTCTTTTTCATCAGAATGGGCTGTTACCCAGTGTTGCCCTATAACACTGGTGCTGTTGCTACTTTACAGATTTATTTCTTCTTCTGCATCGTCTTCCAGAGCAGACTTGACTTGACGTGTAGGTTTCAATGGACTAAATGCACAAAAAAACGACTCTGTCTAAAAAGACTTCATGGTGACTAAATTATTAAAATATAATTAAGCACAAAACATACTGTTTCCCTGTGTGGTGGCACCACTTTAGTATTTAAACCTTACTCAAAACTAGAACTGAAGTTTGAGAAAACGCAGAATCTTTGTGCGTAAAAAATGGAGAGAAAAAAACAATAAATTCTGCTTTTCATGGCTGTTTTTGATAACTTGATAAAGTCAATAAGTGGCCGCAGCCATAAAATACCGCACTAAGCACGGAAATATCATCTATGTGCTTAGCAATGATTTAACTAGCGTTCTAGCAATTATCACCAGGTCTTCACCAGCAGTGTGTGTCTCTCTGTAGAATGAAACAGCTCATAACTAAGCACAATCCTACATCTTACAGGGATTACACAGCAGAGCTGCCAAGTGATTGAGTGCTCGCACTGCCAAAATCAGCATCACCTCATAGAGACAGAGAGACGCTGCTGCAGGAGAGACGTTAGGGGGCCGATCGGTGGAAAAAAGGACGTGTGACGTGTATCTCTTAAGCACGACACTTTGAATGCGTAAAACAGACAATCCTCTGTTCCAAAATTAAGGCTTTGGTTGCTTAGCAACACAAGCCTCAAAGGGGGTTTGACTGTAAGGAAGGCAGCTGTCTGTAAATGATGAGGGAGAAAAAGATGAAGCAATGAAGAGAGCAAGTGAGGTAAATGTGGAGTGCTAGAGAGAGAGAGATTACTGGAACTCACCAGCTCGGGGTGTGCTGGACGTTTGGTTCTCCTCTACACTTTGCTGTGTTAGTCTTCGTTTGGACCAAATGAGGTCAGAGTCCTTTTTGAGATGGTCTGTAAAGCAAGAACAGAATGCGTTGACCCCCGTTAGCCCCTTCTACCACATGTGAAATGGAAGTTGAACTTTTTTGCATAAACAGATAACAAGAACAAGTTGAAAAGGAACTCGGTTGATGAAAATGTTTAGACAAGCAGACACGTTCCTCTCTTCATCAGGAAATAGAAATCAATTTGCAAATGGGGGGAAAGTGGAGCAATCCCTAATGCCATCCACATGAGTTCCCATGGAAACGTAACGCAGAAGCAGTAATTAATAGAGGGCGTGGATCAGGATCTGCAACACCACTGACTAAGATGGCCCTCATTTGCATATGTAAACTAATCAGTACTAAAAATAGTCCCAATAGAGACCCTGAGAGGCTGCTCATTAGGATTCGTGCCTGCTGACATTCCTTTTCATGTCCAGCAGTGGTATGAGAAGCGACTGGCCAGATGTTCCTGATAGGCTGCTTGATGTGTTATTACTGATATAAAGTGTTTTTTACAGGAAACAAACAGACTTTGAGGCTTCAGAGCTACAGAACCATCTGTTCCTCGGCTGGCTGGGTTTTTAATTTAGAAATCAGTAAATCCTTGTGCACCACTAACAGCAGAACAGCTTAAACATTGATGGACAATCGCTGAAGGTACCTGGCTGTTATCCTCACAGTCCATAGACTCATATAACTTTTGCCCAGAGGTTTTTAAAACACAAAAACCAAACTAAATTTCACTTAATAATTAAATAATTCCCAAAAGTCAATTTCAAACACATTCATAAGGGACAGGATTTTTTTCAGCTTGCGCTGTCTAAAAGTAGATCATCACCCATCATTAAACCTAATTATCGCAGGAAAAAAAAAGGCACTTTATAAGGTCAGGCGCTGCCTGAAAGATTTTGTTCAAGTTATATTCTGAAAACATACAGCTATTAGAAGTCCATCACTGTTCTGGCTTAGCGGTTAAGTCTCATTTTATAGTGATTCTGTTACCCTGGTGTATATTTTATTTATTTACTATGACTAGGAATGGGCCAAATGCCAAAAATATTGGATTATGATACTTCAAGACATTTCATGATTCATGATATGTATCGCAATATTTCGTCTCTCACAGCAAGAAGGGCCGGGCGAACAGGGTCCTTTCTGTGTGGAGTTTGCATGTTCTCCCCGTGTCTACGTGGGTTTCCTCCCACAGTCCAAAGACATGCAGTCAAGCAAATTGGAAATGCTAATTTGCCCCTAGGTATGAATGAGTTTCTGTATATATGTCTATGTGGCTACTCTGTAATGGACTGGCAACCTGTTCAGGGTGTTTCCTGCTTTCTGCCCAATTACCGCTGAAATAGGCTCCAGCACCCCCCAAGACCCAGTAGAAAAAAAAGGACCTGTAGTGCCACATATAAAAATACTATAATAGGCACAATGATTTTATTCAGTGTTTTACAAACTGCAGTAAATCCAATTAAAGAGGCTTAATTATGCTCACTTTGCTGCATCAAGTTAGTCAGAGTTCTTGAAGTACTGATGATACCCACAATATGATCAGAAAAGCGTACTGTGATATCATTTATCTCAATAACAATAAAACGTCATGTTGTCCACCCCTAACTATGGATCAATTAATTCATTAATTTTTTAAAACAAAATACTGGTTTGTACTGAACATATTGAGAGAATCTTCAAACTAGGGGTCTGCAGTATGATGATATTCTACCATTACTGTGATAAATTATGTCACAATATGCTGATGTTACAAAGACAGCACAAGTAGTACTGTTTAACTGGAATTACTGCAGTGCAGTTTGTAAACGTTGAATAAAAATCATTTTACTCATCATTTTTGATAGTATTTTTAAATGTAGCTCTATCAGTGCTTTTGTCTGTACCAGTTTATCAAACCACAGAAAAACTACATATCTTGGATTTATTTTTGCCATGTCGCACAATATAAGCTGCACAAAATCAACTGCTGCAGTGGTGAACCTCATAGGGTGTAGGCTATTTATATATATTTTTTTCAAAGTAGAATTTAGTAATGTATTGCTTTTCTAGCTGCACGTGTCATTAAGTACAATAACACAGATAATATTTCTCCTATTACCATAAAACGGTTCTTTAAGTGTTTTCATTAAAGGCGATGGTGATATATAATGAACCATGAACACTAAAAAAAAATTTGAAAAGCTGTTGGTTATTTTACATTGTCATAAAAAGGGGTACTATATAGGTACATTTTTATAAAAAAAAACTGTGTACCAATAGTCTTACGGTCCAATTGTGTGCCCTAAATGAGTTTTAAAGGTACACTACATTTGCTTTTGCAGGATTAAGGGGCATATTTGTACTAACACTTTAAAATGGAAAAGTAAAATAAAGAGCCTGGAGTTGTATTGAGTCACTGACTCTTAAAAAACAGAACTGCAATCGAATATAGTTCAGTTATGTTTCCTAACCAAAGGTAGTGAAGATGTACCTTTGAGGCTGCCACCCCAGTGAGAGTTTAGTACTTTTCTGAGAGTGTAAGAACCTGTTAAAATATGATCATATTCAGCACCAAAAATGGCTCCGCTATTGTAACAAGTTACAGAACCTTTTTTTTGGCAGTATATAGAACCTATGTACATTACGCTCCTATGGAGAGGAGACTACTATAGACTAATTAGCAATATTCCCTCTGGGGTCTGAGAAGAAGCTGTCAGAGGTGGTGATGATTAATACAGTGGAGTTGAGACACAGGTGTGATGTCCAGGTAACAAAGCTGGAGGTGTGGAGGGTCACACTCTGAAATGTCAGCAGCTGCCGCCACTGTGCTGCTCTTCAGAGAGGCAATTACAGCCAATGTACAGTACAGTCTACACCAGCAGCTCCAATTCAGACATCCATAAACGACAGAATTCTGCTGTCTAAAGTAGCCCGTCAGTTCTTCACAGCCTTCATGGTAAATCTTTATCCCTCACTCTGTCTCAGCTGTTGTGGTGAACAGAGCTATGTTGGCTAATTACCAAAGCAGAATCATTCTCAGGGGGGTTTCTTCACTCTTTGCCACCTAAAGCAACGATAAACTAAACATTTTGAACTGAAATATCCAGTTAATACACGTGTATAACATGTAAAAACACTGAAGAATTTAGGAAGCTTCATGCTCTAGTTTCCTGTCAGGTTTCAGGAGGGACTCTTGGCAGCATGTTGACGTTGCGTTTGTGGGGCGCAGCTATGTGGGGCAAAATAGGCTAACAGGGTCTCTCTCTCTCTCTCTCACACTCACACACACACACACACACACACACGCGAGCTTATTTCTCCATCTCTTTGAACCTGCTGTCCACAAACGCACCTGTTACGTGAAGGAAGCAGCTGAGGGTGATGAGCCCCCCGCAGACACAGAGTCCGCGGAGGAACCGCCGTCGTCTCGACGTCCAAACCGCCTTCATGTCACGCCGCTGGCGCCCGCACCTCTCAAAACATGCTGAGCCGAGAGAAGATTATTTCAGCCGACATGTACGAAGTCTCTCCGCCTTTTCTTTCACGTTCGCTCGATTCGCTTCATCCATGCGTCGCTCACCTCAGCATCTCAGCGCCGCGAGGAGAAAGACGAGCAGCATCTTCCTGTTTACCCTCGAGCCGCGAAGCCGCGCTGGAGACACAGCTCGCCTACGAGCACGGAAATACTCGAAAACACGACAATATCTTCACGTTTGCTTCTCAGTCAGTCTGTGGGCATTCCTGTCACATACTCCTCCGTCTGTGCTCCCCCTCTCTCCTCTCCTCTCCTCCCTGCACGCGTGCTGTGGCCTCGTCACTGAGGGTGTTTCCCACATTGGTTCACTAGTGCGCCCTCATGAAGAACTACTGATAACCCACACAGCTGAAAACTCCTCCACACTGCAGCTGCTGGCTTGAGAAGCCTGTGAGCAAATCTGATAGAGGGTTATTAATACATCAAATTAGATGCATTGCCACATTGTCATATACAGTCACTTAGCTCTTTATTAGGAACACCTGTACACCTACTCATTTATCCTGTTTTCCAATTGTATGGAAGCAGTGCAGTGCAAAAAATCATACAGGCCAGCAGATTCAGGTATAAGTTCACATCAACCTTCAGAATGGGGAAAAAATCAGTGTTTTTGACTGTGGCATGATTGTTGGAGCCAGACAGGCTGATTTGAGTATTTCTGTAACTGGTCAGAGATTTTCATGCACAACATTCTCTATAGTTTATTCAGAATGGTGCTATAAAGAAAAAAAAAAACAGTGTGCAGCAGTTGTGTGGACGGAAGCGACTTGTTGACGAGAGAGGTCAATGGAGAATGGCTGGAGAACTGGTTACTCAAAGTTACTCAAATAACCACTCTGTACAATTGTGGTGAGCAGAAAAGCATCTCAGAATGCACAACATGTCAAACCTTAAGGTGGATGGGCTACAACAGCAGAAGACCAATTTGAGTTCCATTTCTGTCAGCCAAAAACTGCCCAAAAACTGGACAGTTAAAAACTAGAAAAACATAGCCTGGTCTGATGAGTCTCAATTTGTGCTAAGGCACATAGATGGTAGGGTCAGAATTGGCCACAAACAGCATGAATCCATGAACCAAATCTGTGTCAACAGTCCAGGCTGGTGGAGGTGGTGTATTTTCTTGGCACACTTTGGGTCTGTTAATATTAATCAATCATCACTTTAATGCCACAGCCTATTTGAGTGCCGCTGCTGACTGCGTGCATCTGTTCATGTGCATCCACAATTTACCCATCTTCTAGTGGCTACTTTCAGCATAATGCACCATGTCACAAAGCAAAAGTTGTTTCAAAACTGGTTTTATAAACATGACAATGAATTCAGTGTTATTTTTACCAGATCTAAATCCAATATAACATAGACAAGAATCTCAAAGGATTGTTTCCAACATGTGGTATTCATGTCATGAAGAATTAAGGCAAAAGGAGGCAATGCCCAGTATTACAATACTGTTCCTAAAAAAGTGATCAGTGAGTGTGGTGTATGTACTGCATATGTCCACAAGTACAGACATCCGTTGCTGGCACAAGCAATTAAATCTACATAATCTTCATAGAAAAGCACTGCCAGTAAAATAGGGCACTCTGGAGCAGCCACACTTGAACCTAAGACAGTGGAACAGAGTCCTCTGGAGTGACAGCGGTCCATCCCATCCAGTGACTTTGGGATGAGCTGGAGTGGTGTTTGTGTTTGAGGACTAATCACCCAATAGCAATACCTGAACACTAATGCTGTTGTGGCTGAATGCACTCAAATCTTCACAGCAATGTTTCCTTACCAAAAGAGTGGAGGCTGTTACTGCAGCAAAGGAGGAACAAACCTCCAGTAACACCCCTGATTTCAGAGTAAATGCTGAATGAATGGTTTCCTAGACATGAATTAAGTCTAATCTTGAGCACCCCAGTTTCCTCCAATAGTGACCTAAGCACATAAGAATCATTAACACTGTTTCTGTACATCATTAACAACAACAGAACTTTGGGTTTAAAGTCAAACTTTTTATTAACTCAAAAGTATTAGTTACACCTTGGCTTGTGTGTTTCAGTGTTATTTGGCACATAACTGAGTGATTAAAATATAAAAATGCAAGTACAGGAAATAAAAAATAACACATCCAAACTAAAACCTCCTCAATCACAATAACATCCATTTGGTTTAACAAAAGACATGATTATAGTGCACTGGAACAACCTAAATACCTTTAATGGAATAACCGCACCACATACATACAGTACATTATATATCAAGGCCAACCGAAAATCAGTCATGATCAACAGCTCTGTCCCTTTTTGTCTAAAACAATGATACAAATTAACCTGTCAACTAAAAAGGCAATCTCCTGCTGGTACCCAACAGGCAAAGACAGCTGGTAATTGTTCCAAGCCTCCACTGCCTCAGTGCTCCTTCAGCTAAATCAGTGCTTCAAATCAGATAATCTCACTCTCATCTGGAAACATTACAGTAGCTCTGGCTTCATATTACCACAGGAAAAACATTCAGTTGCATACAGTTATCACCGCACTGGCTCCAGGGAGCCTGTGACCTTAAAGTGGATGCCATCTCCAGGCAGCACAGAGGGGATGAGCGGGCAGATCCAGCAGAGGAACCAGTGCTCACCAAGGCATTCCCGAATGTTGGCCAGTATGCCAAGGCTGTAGGGCCGGCGGGCGGAGTACCACTCCCTCGTGGTCTGCCCTCTCACCATCAGCCCCACATGGAAAAAGAGGAAGGCTGAGACCAGCAGGAAGCCTATCACGCAGGTGTCGGCAATGAAAGCGAAGGCAAAGGCCTGCGCTGTCACTTGACCTGATATCAGTGAAAGAGATGTAGGAACACAATTAGAATTATAACTATTTATAATTAATGTGATGTTTCAAATGTCTTCCTGTTTTGCAGCTATTGTCTTTTACTTTGTTTACCATATTGTTTATTGTTGTTGACGTAAGCCCCATTCGAACTGGATTAGTTATTAGTGATTACTGAACCAACGTCCATAGTTTTTACAGACGTGTAACAGACACATGAGCTGTGTTGTTATTGTTATTGTGTTGAACCTGCTGCATATAACACAGGCCTGAACAACTGGGCTATGACGCTCATTCATGTATGAATTAATCAGTCAAATCCAAATTACAAATTACATTACAAACTCTCCCCTGCTAAAACAAACACAGCTTGAATAGTACTGTACATGCGCATGTCACATTATTAAATAATGATCATAGTTATTTCAGATGATCGCAATTATTTGAGCTGACTGTTTTTTCCACAGTCATTATAATTCGCTATCCTATGTTTATGCCACAATAAACAAAGTAAAACAAGTGTGTTTTTATCCATTCGATTGAGGCAAATGAATGCAATAAACATTTATTGAGACATGTCATAGATCTTATGAAAACAACAAAAGTTCTGACTTCTGACTGGTGCTAAAACTCATTAAGAGGGAAGCAGTGTGTAATATTTGCTTGTTTGTTTTTATTTGCGGTCAAACTGTGACTCTCGTCAGCTGGGATATCTAAGATAACTAATCAGCCAATTTGTCCACTTTAGACTTGCACTTTAATAGCTGCATATAATAAAGGTGCATAACAATTAACAATTTAATTGTAATCACAATTATTTATATGCCAATTAATTGTTGGCCAACATTTTATGCACTTAAAGTCACCAACTTACAAACTCTGAATTAAACTAAACTGTTACCGAACAAGACGCAGCCACACATTTACATTTACCACTGTCTCTGTTCTTCTCACTAAACACACGCTCACATTCAACCATCCTCAGAAACAAAGATAATAATAACAGAGCCGCGTTACACTCGAGTTTAAAGTAATAAGCAATATGTCTTATGTCGTTCTTGATAAATATCTTATCACGAACGATACAAGCTAGCTTAGCATGTTAAGTTAGCCAGGCTGCTAACGTGAGCTACATACATGTGAGAAGAAGCTGCATAACAGTTCACTCAGTTAGCGGGTAATTATTTGTTGAGGGTCCACTGTCATCAGCTGGGATATCTAAGATAACTAATCAGCCAATTTGTCCACTTTACATTTGTACTTTAATAGCTGCATATAATAAGGTTGCATAACAATTAACAATTTAATTGTAATCACAATTATTTATATGCCAATTAATTGTTGGCCAACATTTTATACACTCACAGAACTAAACTGTATACAAAAACCACCAGTGTTATTAGTGACAATCAAGAATAATGGGGTTGTCATTATGAATGTTTCTCTTTACAGCATGGACACTTACCAGTGACCAGCATAATCCAGGGAACCAAGAGAAGCATGAAACTGTGAAAGGTGACACCTTCCTTCAAGATAACGATGAAGACCTCAGCATTCATTACCACGGCATACAGCAGACCGGCCCACATGAAGAACAGGCAGCTCAGAAAGTAACGGTAATTACGGAAACCTACACACTGGCCGAAGAACACACAGTGGTGGTCTCGCCGCAGCACACACACATTGCAGTCGTAGCAGTGTGAACACCGTGGAGGTGTGTGTGTCTCACACGTGTAACAGTACCTGTTGGATAAAAAGAGGAAAAGGCCTGCTCAACATAAGGCGAATTCCACCAATTTTTCAAAATTTCTGCATAATTCAGTGGCTGAGATGTAAACAAAATCATTCAGAGTGGTTTGATGTGAAATGGTTCATTTGTAGAGAAACATGACTCATGATTTCTTTACAGTGGTGGTGATAGGAACCAGAGGTCCCGATGTCTACCACACAAGTAGCTATTGTATTTACTATACAAAACCACCAGTGAACCCTCTGAAGTTTTTAATGTAATGTTGATGATGGTAAAATAGTACTAAACCTGAAAAAAAAAAAGATTTTTCCTTGGGGACTACTTTCCCTTAGAAGTCCCTTCATGTATCCCTTCAAGTATCCCTTCAACATGATTACAATAAGTTTTAGTCCAAAACTTTTTCACAAAACGACCATAAATTAATCAAGCCGAGTATTCACAAGCATTTCATGTAATAACTTTCTGTGGGGGAGCTTTCAGAGGTGGACATCTGATTCCCATCACCACCACTGTTAACAATTCTTACTTGGTAAGTTTCACTAGAACAAAGTACTTTACACCAAACCACTATAAATGACTTTGTTTACATTTTAACCATTTGATTATATTACATAACCATCAACATATTCCAAAACCATCAGTATTGCAATTAATAGTAATTAATCCTATTATCGCCCTGCGATGGACTGGCGACCTGTCCAGGGTGTATCCTGCCTTCCGCCCAATGACAGCTGGGATAGGCTCCAGCACCCCACCGCGACCCAGAAGGATAAGCGGTTTAGATGATGTATGTATGTAATCCTATTATCAATGCCTATTCATACAATATGGCAGTGTAATGTAGTTGTATCTGATTATAACAGGACAGAAGAGAAAATAATGTCCACATAAGTAAGATGAATTACCTCCATCCCTGACCCACCATATCCCCGCCAAAAAACACTCCTCGAATACTGGGGTTAGTCTTGAGAAACAGCCAGGCGTTCCACGTTATGTTGACCAGCATGAAGTACTGGGCGAAGAGATGGATGCTCTTCCAGGTGGACGACCAGTCGGACTTCTTCAGCTCTGGCTCAAGCGGGGCCTCGACCACAACCAGATAGCTGACCTCGGCCGTGATTGAGAAGACCAGCACCGTGTTTAGCACGATGGGCAAGTGCCGACAAGTCTTCTCCACACGGCACCAAACTCTACTGCCTAAAGTGACCATCTTTCCCAAAGTCACCAACTTACAAACTCTGAATTAAACTAAACTGTTACCGAACAAGACGCAGCCACACATTTACATTTACCACTGTCTCTGTTCTTCTCACTAAACACACGCTCACATTCAACCATCCTCAGAAACAAAGATATTAATGACAGAGCCGCGTTACACTCGAGTTTAAAGTAATAAGCAATATGTCTTATGTCGTTCTTGATAAATATCTTATCACGAACGATACAAGCTAGCTTAGCATGTTAGGTTAGCCAGGCTGCTAATGTGAGCTACATACATGTGAGAAGAAGCTGCATAACAGTTCACTCAGTTAGCGGGTAATTATTTGTCGAGGGTCCATTTACTACGCGTTCTCATTTTATAAATCAGTGTCAGAAATTAGCCTGAATTTAGATGTGACACTGACTGGCCAGCTAACTGAGCTAAACATGATCTACAGATGATGACAGCTACCAAACAGGCTCTGCAGCTGCAGGGTTGAGTCACAGTGTGAACTTCCCCCTAAACTCAAAGGTTGGGACACACTGGGTTCCTAGTTCCAAGTAAGGGGACAGCAGTCTACTTTTTCTGGTGTTAAAAAGCAAACTGTTTAGAGGTAAATATTCAGATTTTCTGTTAAAAAGTTCTTTAAGGGTTCTTTAGTAAAGGTAAAACTATGAATTCTACGTAGAGAACCATTTAACTTTGCATGGTGAAATGGCTCTTCAGATTGATGCAGAATGTGTTGTATATGGTTCTATATAGAGCCTTTTTGAAAATGGTTCTATATAGCACCAAAAATGGTTCTGCTATTGTTACGATATCAAACTTGTAACAGTAGAAGAACCATGTTGGTGCTATGTAGAAGCTTTTTTAAACAGGTTGTATATAAAACCATTTTCAACACATTCTTAATCAATCTAGAGCCATTTCACCATGCATAGTGAAGAATATGGTTCTACCTTTGCCTTTACTAAAGAACCCTGAAGAACCATCTTTTTTTAAGTGTGTAGGCTATACGGAACACATATGAAATATATAAAGATATCGTCTGTAAAATTAGCGGGGTGTGTTTCGTTCCTCCTTCCCTTTTTCTTTTCGACCCCCTTTCACAGAGTATAATCCCTAATCTCGCTAATCCAGCCCGCTGTGAATGGTCGACTTCGCCCAGCCATTCCGTCTCTGATGAACAGCCTGTTTAACAGCGCTGAAATATTTAACATCTCGGGTTATGAGAGGCAGATAACGAGGTAAGTTCTCATTTTATGTGACTTCTTGTGACTCACCTGTTCCTCTCTTTATCTCTCATCATCCATCCGAGCTCCGCAAAACAGACTCCTTGCAGCAAGATTTCCGTTACTTATACTGTTCCTAACTGGTGAACTGGTACTGGATGACTCCGATTCTCACTGTAATTTGTCTTCTAATTTTAAAGGCTGTTGTTTAGCTGCAGAAAAACGCGATGATAAGCCTGTCCTATGTGGATTATGATTGTTTTCTTGGACACTCAGTAGGGCAGTAGAGGGCGACATTGCCCAGAGTTGAGGATGGCTAAATCCTACTCCCTACGTAGTGCACTGTATAGACCATGGAACAACGGCGCATACTCCCAAATTATATGCACTGCATGTCTAATAGAAGTCAATTTATATTTAACTATTACATTCTCGACTCCCCAGCTAACTTTTAGTGCACAGTTTAGGTGTAGAAGCCAGGTTCCGGTCCTGTGCAGTGCACTATGTAGGGAGCACGGAGCTATTTGAGATTTAGCCCAAATCTGCGTCCAAAACCACATGCTGTTCTACACCTCTGGTTCAGACTCAGTGAGCCTGGTGTTTTGCTGTTAATCAAAAAAAGATCTATAGTATAAAGCTATAATATCTCTACAGTGCTAATATTTCTATAATACATTATAGTAGTTTCATCTGCTATAATATTAGCAGTAAACTATAGTAATTGTCCAAATTTACTATAAGATTCTTATAGAAATCTAGGGTCTGGTTTGATTGTGGAAGGTGACTTCAGATCCTCTGTTTGTGTGTCTCTGTGTTGGTGAATGTGTCCTGGCTTGAATTCCAAAGTCAAAGAATGGACCTGAGGACAGATGTTCAGTCTCGACAGCGAGATCAGCACAAGTAAGCAAAATATTTATGTTTTATCGTTTGTTTAATGTTACTATTGAAGAGCACGATTATGAAGTACTTTGATATTTCTTATTTTACTATGAGTAATTTGTATATTGAGAACTGAACTAGTTGGAAAAGTCTTATGTAAATGCACTGTTTAAAAAGACAATGAAATCTTTTTGTTGAATGTTTAAACAAGTGCTGGGGATACTGTGATCCCGACACATCACGATATTGACGTGATATTGACGTTTACTGCAATGCATGTTATTTTCTGGGTGTATCAGATCGTAAATAGTAAATCAAATAGTAAGTTAGCATTAAACTTTAGCTCAGTTTTATGTACTAGTAACATCTTGTACTTTCTTCAGTATTTTGAAATGATATTGCTTTTGCTTTCGACTTAACTATATTTGTTGGAAATACAGAATAGTTGGAATATACAAGTTACAATATGCAATAGTTGGACATAAATCTACTTTTTAATGTATTTTTACATTTAAACCATTTGCATTCTGTTACTATTTCATTATTACCTTTATGTTGTGTTGGTGACAGCGTCTTTTCTGCTTTTCTGGCTTTTGAGGTTTATCATTCAATTTTAGACCAAAAAGAGAAGAATAGAGCCTAAAAAACTTCTGTTCCTGTGCTGATTGTTCAATTTCAGTTTTATTAGTACTCAGTACTTTACAGTGTCTTGAAAAAGTATCTGCCCTTGACTAGGCCTCTCCAAAACCTTTCTTTTCAGCTATTCAGGGGTAGCCTTTGCTCTTGTGCTTCAGATCATTATCTTGCTACATAGCCCAATTAAGCTTGAGCTTCAGATCATGAACATTCTGCTGCAAGATTTTCTGGTATAGAGCAGAATTCATGGTTAAAGAATTAAGGCAAGTGGCCCTGAAGCAGCAAAACATCTCTACATCTTCACACTACCTCCATCATATTTGACTGTTGGTATAAGGACCCCTGTCTTCCAAAAAGGTCCACTTTGAGTCCACAGAACATTATTTAAACAATTAAATGTGACAAACTATACAAGCCTAGATGAAATCAGGAGGGGGCAAATACTTTTTCATTGCACTTTAGTTTTTGAGCCGCTTTCATACTTCCACACAGTTTGTTTTTGAACGTTTACTTTTACTTGAGTCATTATTTCACCAATGTAACAACACATTATCAGTATCAACATCGCCCAGCACTAACGTGAATCCTTCATAGTCTGATGTAGGAACAAAAATGACCACTGCTAGCGGAGGCCTCTGTCTGACCCGTGTGGTGTGTGTGCAGTAGCAGGGCTGTCTGGCTGCAGAGCCGCTGGCAGGAGGTGAGTGAGAGGGAGCGCAGGGCGCAGCTCCATAACCGAAAACTGCTGCAGGATTTCCAGAGAGCGCAAGAAACCCTCAGTGACCTGGTGGCATGCACTGAAGCTATGAACACCATACGGGTCAGTAAACTGTAAGGGTTTTCAGGCTGCTGCTGTGGGCTGGACACAGACCAACACTGTTCCAGGAAAAAAATGTTTTTATTGTAGAACTAGACTTAAACCACAGCATGTCTGTAAACCTGGCTCTCAGAATGAAAGAGACCATGTATACAAAGTCATCTAAATGCTTCTGTGTCAGATACTCAGTAAGCATTTTGTTTGATAATGTTATGAAAGTAATGCAAATGAAAACAGTAATTCATAATGTAAACTCCCATTAAACAGGACACCTTTAGCTTGCTTAGCTGTGCTGTATAGGCGCCTGAGCAATGGAGCAAGTAAAGCACGTTCACTATTTGCTATTCAAATGAAAATTTTACTTCCAGTGGAAATAAGTTTAGCGTAGCTTCATAGTTAGTTAGCTTAGCATGTTTCATGTAATTATATCAACGTCTCATAAAGCAAAAGTGTCACGTCAGACAATCAGTGAAAACGCCTCATATTTTACTGACATTTTTAAGCAGGAACAAGACACGCCCCAGTGCAGACAAGTTTACTAATTTGAAAGCCCATTCCGGCCAGCTAGAGAAGAAAAATATTAGGTTGAAATGATTATGTTGAGATAATGGCTTATTTTCTCAAGATTTTGACTTATTATGTTAAAATAATTATTTATTTTCTCACTGTATGTAGAAATAATGTATTATTTTATTAAGATTTTATCTGATTATGTTAACATAGTGGTTTATTTTCTTGTGATTTTGACTGATTATTGCGAAACAATAGCTTACTTTCTCGAGATTTTGTCACTCAATGTTATAAACAATAAATGTAGCACATTGTATCATTAAACACACACATGTACAAAAGCTGACAATTGTTTGATAAATAATAAGTTTTAGCATCAGTTAACAACCTCATTTGACCACCCCCCACCAACCCACCCCACCCAAAAAATGTAAAAAATTCTCTCCTATTTTCACTCATAATCAGACACCCTGTTGTGCTGAAGTGTGAGACCCCTTCTCTTCATGTTTGAGCAGGTTGAGTATGAGAGGTACCTGGAGGAGAACTTCCCTCGATGGCAGCAGAAGCTGAAAGATAAGAGGCTCTCAGAGCAGCGCAAGGTTTTTCACACAGTTCTCTTACATTAAACCCCTAGAGAAATCTGATACATGGCCATACATGCATATATATCATAAAGGGTCAGGCATATATTTTGACGTATTTCAATAAATAAATGCATTTATTTCATTTTTAATGATTTTATTGCATAGCTTACAATGTGCAAGGTTCAGAGTTTAGTTGTGTAGCTGTTCTGTACTAATTTTCACTTTGTTAGGAAGCCCATATGTGACTAAGTTGAATAAAAAGGGAAATCCCTGTATGCTAATATGTTCATATATTTGAAATACATATATTGCAATATATCAGATTTCTAAAAATGTCTATGAAAAGCACTT